AACGTGGTGAGCTCCCGTTGCTCGGTCCCAGCTCCTGCCAACCTAGCAGTTCGAAAGCACGTCAAAGTGCAAGTAGATAAATAGGTACCGCTCCGGCGGGAAGGTAAATGGCATTTCCGTGTGCTGCTCTGGTTCGCCAGAAGCGGCTTAGTCCTGCTGGCCACATGACCCGGAAGCTGTACGCCGGCTCCCTCGGCCAATAAAGCGAGATGAGCGCCGCAACCCCAGTTGGCCATGACTGGACCTAATGGTCAGGGGTCCCTTTACCTTTACCTAGACACAGGTGCCACATATCACCCATTTTGCATTTGCTAGAACTCAATCTTTTTAGTGTACTTAGCACCTAAACTGCAGAACTCCCCGCCAATTGATCTCAGGCAAGGCCTCTTCACAGAAAGTAGATGCGAGTTTTAATCTGTTTGAGTTTATTGTTATGTTAACTTTTCAAAAGTTAAGGGGTAGACTCTCTTTCCTTGGAGGTTTATATGCAGAGGTTAGATGGCCATCCATCATAGATGCTGAGATTTCTGCACTGCAGGGGGTTGGACTAGATAACCCTCAGGGTCTCTTCCAGTTCCATGAAATTATTGTCCCTAATTCTTATTGATAATTGTATTGTTTTATCCTTTTTGTAAACTGCTTTGAGTGCCCCCCCAACAAGTGGTGTGTGAAATTTATGAAATTACAGAAATGACAAAACCCCAGGCTTGCTACTGAAAGGACACATAACTGGAAGGTATCACGATGATCCACCTTTATGCAAACACAGGGATGCCCCCCCAACTTTTCCATATTTTACATATACTAGTATACATTTACTATTATTATTATTATTTTATTGTCATCATCATCAAAGTGTAAAATCAGGGCCTACGCAATTGCGAGACACAGGGTAGCACTTTTGTGTTCAATTGTGCATGAAGCAGTCGATTCAGTTTATTGTGAAGCTTAAAATTGGAGCAGGATTAAATCTGTAATGATCAGAACCTATTGCTACCTTTGCATTCCTAATTTGCTGCCACTTGAAAAGAACCTCAGACTCACTGATTTACCGATGTGTTTTGTGTAAGCAACTGTAAGTCATCTTCGTGTATTTTTATTAACAATTGTAGTATTATTATTATTTAAGAAAAGCTAAACAATGTAACACTGCAGTTTTCAACTGATGGAAACACACCACTGGCAGATTTGTCTATTTTATTTTATTTTTAAAAAGAGAAAGAGAGAAGGGAGAAATATTTGGGGAGGGAAGGAACACTGCGATGGTATAATGGTTTGCTACTATGGGTAGCTCTGCATATTGGGGGGGATGCAATAAGTAAGTCAGAAATTAAATTGTTATAACGAAAGAAGAAAATGCTACGGAAAATTGCATAAGTTTTTTTTTTTACTCTCCAGCGCATATCTGGTGTTGCATGTTTACAACGCATTCAAAACGCTGTTTTTTTAACTAATGTAGCTGAGTCCTAAGTCAACTGTCAGGGCTTGTGATGAATGGGTCAGTAAGTTTAGCGTAGGTGTGGAAAACCCTGCTTTGGAAGATCCCTACAACTACAAACATACACACAGGGCCTGTACAATTGTCAGGGATCCTTAAAGGGCAAAATAATGGCTATTAAACCAATATGTCTGCAGCGACGAGATGGGGAAACCATTGATTCCTTGGGGCTAGAGAGTGTCTGGCTTCTAATGCGCTTGGGAGCTTACCTGTACACCAGAAACGGCGAGTAAGTAGCAGACTCAGCATCACCTTGATACGTTGTGCCATATTAATATAGCCTCACCTGTTTTAAGAATTGCATCCAGGTGATTAGGCAAGAGCTGGTTCTGTTTCCTTTTTCTTCTGAGTCACAGTTGGCAAACATTGGAATACATGGACAGATGCAAATAAAAAGAAGACACGTGTGGGTGACTCCCAGGTCCTGCTGCTGCTACCACCATCTTCTGCTATTATGGTTACAGTCCCCTCCGTGTCTGCACTGCTTTATGGAGCATTGCATAGAAAAAGTGGGTCTCTGTACCCAAAGTACTGACAATCTCAATTTAGAAATTGAGGTTGGGTTGGATAGCCGGGGGGTGGGGTGGGGGGGTGGGCAGCTGGTGAATGTGGCAATCGCAGCACAAGAAACCAGCCCTGAGAAAGAAGTAAGGTGTTAAAGAGGACAAAGGATTTTTAAAAACTTACAGTACAGTCGTACCTCTTAAGTCAAACACAATCCGTTCTGGAAGCCCTTTCGACTTCCAAAACGTTCAGAAACCAAGGCACGGCTTCCGATTGGCTGCAGAAAGCTCCTGCAGCCAATCGGAAGCTGCAGAACCCGCGCCGGACGTTTGGGTTCCAAAGAACGTTTGCAAACCGGAACACTCACTTTGCAGAGTTCGGGAGCCAAAATGTTCGTATCGCAAAGTGTTTGGGATCCAAGGTACGACTGTAATTTGTTTTTTTCCTCTAGTGGCAGTAGTCTAGAACTCAGATGGCTCTAGGGAGAAAAATTAAGGGTATATTCTATGAATCTAAAATAAGTGTAGAGTTTTGGTGTTAGGCACAGTACTCCCTGTCGTGACAATCAGTGTGTAAACAAAAACGGGAGAGAGAGAAGTTTCTAGTCTTCATGGTCCTGAAAGTGTGTGGGAAATGTCTACTGAAATCACAGTAGCCAGAGTTCAAGGGTTTGAGAAACCGAAAATTTCCAATTGTCCTGCATAGGTTGAACAGTGTCCTGTGAACATACGCAAACAAAACGTACAAGAAAACGTGATTCAAAGTTAAAATCCTGAGAGATCATAGGAAAAACTGAAGCACTCTGCAAGCCAATCAAGTGCGCAGAGCAACTGTAATATTCCACTGAGGTCAAGAGCTTCCCCTCCACACTCCCAGCAGAATTTCAACACGGATATGCGCTGGGGTTGCTCTACGACAAAGCAAAAAGGCTACGTTAAATCTATATTACATAATGAAGCATCAGCCTCTTCTGAGCTGGCTTCTGTTATGTGAAAAGACCAAAGTAATACCTAAGTAACCTCACTAAGGGGATCAGTGCCTCTGCTGATGTCACGCTGCTAAGAAGATTAACAGGTCAAAATTCCAGCAAGTTATAAAGCAGCATTATTTTTGAGGGAGGGGGGAATAAAACCCTAGTGGAAAACGCATGAATTTTATTAGACGGCGTTACAATTACACAGAGGAACGTCATAAGGAGAACTTCTCAGGTGTCAACTGATCACAAGTTTAGGGTAAATTAACAATATAGGTAAAGAGACCCCTGACCTTTAGGTCCAGTCGTGGCCGACTCTGGGGTTGCGGCGCTCATCTCGCTTTATTGGCCGAGGGAGCCGACGTACAGCTTCCGGGTCATGTGGCCAGCATGACTAAGCCGCTTCTGGCGAACCAGAGCAGCACATGGAAACGCCATTTACCTTCCCTCCAGAGCGGTACCTATTTATCTACTTGCACTTTGACGTGCTTTCGAACTGCTAGGTTGGCATATATTTTCCCCCAAAACTAAAGGAAATAAGGTATGTGGAACCACCCAGCTTTGATGCAGCTGGGGGTGTGTGTGGAATAAAGGAAAAGCAGGCAAGAGGTGGAAACAAAGATTTGGGGAGGCTTACATGGGATGGTGAAAATCTCAAGAAAAGTCATGGAGGTGACAATTACTCGGCCCAGAGATGATGAAGTTGAAGGAGCTGGAAATGTTTGTATGGACAGAGAGGGATGGGCCTTAAATGGGAATCTCTGTGATAGGCTGAGGCCACCTCCTCGCCAATTATTTACAACATGACGATACCACTTCACAGAGTCATGGCTTTCCCCGCAAAGAATTCTGGGAGCTGTAGTTTAAGTTACAAGACCCGTGGTCCCCTTATAGAGTTACAATTCCCAGTGGTTTAACAATAAATGCCGCTTCACCAGAAACTCTGGAAATTCTAGCTCTCTGAGGGGAATAGGGGTCTCCCAACAACTCCTAGCACTTTTAACAAACTACAGCTCCCATAATTATCTGGGGGAAGCCATGACTGTGCTGTATGGTGTGAACGTGGATTGAGGTTCTTTTGCCTGTAAGACCAAGCAAAGTTTTCTTCATAGCTTAAGGCAACAGCCTTTCATCCTTCCAGACGAGAACTCACATTTAAACCCAACATGTGTCCTACTTTTGAACAAATTCTATCTTATTTTGGTCTGCTTATATATCTAGACCAGTGGTGATCAGCAACAAAAGGTCTTTGTGGCTAAACAGGAAGAAGAACCCTGGTCTCCCCAGGTCTAGTAAGACACAGCTGACCACTACACAACACCCACTCGTGTGAGTGTGTGTGTGTGTAATACAGGATCCAGCCATTTGATTAATGTAGCTATTTTTTAAAGTGCTAAACCTTTAATTACTTCTTCACCAGGGACAGGGGTCTGGCATAACGAAGCAGAATCTATAAGCCACCCACATACCCTGTAGGCATAGTAGCTTGTGACTTATTTAATTCAGATTTGTGAGTGTGTGTATATGTATGCGCTTGTATATACGTTTGTGTGCATGTGTGCACATGCTTGCACATGTGCCTGTTTTATCTGCATCAAGGGTGGTACATGTTATGCCTGCCACCCAAATCAGCAGCCTCGCATCTCTACCTCCACTTCTTCTCCACTGTAGATATGCAAAACATATGATACAGCAGCAGCAAGTTGCAAGTTTTCCTGCCCCTACGAGCAGCAGCCAGCAGATTAAGGAAGGGGCAGGGAATCTTACGGCGCGATGGCATCGTGCCACACACTTTACCCTACTGAACATTACAAGGGGGAAGAGGAGATGCTGGATCGCTGCTTCTTTTGGTGGCAAGATGTGACCCGTAACATTTCGTTCCGGCTTCATAAAAGTCAACGATCCAGCAACAACCTAGCATTTGCAGAGCACACTGTTTGACGATGAAAGGGGTACAGATCTAAAACAAACCTGCCGCAAGATATTCCTGCGGAACAAAGCAATCACCTTTTAAAAGAAAAGGAATTTAAAAGGGTCCAACAAAAATCTTTATTCATTTTAAGACTACAGATCTGAATGCAAGTTTCTTTTGTAAAAATAAAATAAAAATCCTCATTAGGTTTACTTACATCCTGGCTGCAAAAAGAACAGTGCAGTCATTATATATATTTACACGAGTCTTGTAGACTTTCAGGCTTGCATTATGCATCCTCGTCCTCGTCTTCCTCATCACTGATCACGTACTTCTTGTGCTTCTTGCTTGCCTTCTCATCGTCTTCTGCTTTTCTTTTACCAGATGGCTCACCCTCCTACAGGAAAGCAGATCGATTTTAAGCCAAAATGAGCATTTCTCTAGGTTTAAGTGACTAAAACTGCAATTTGGATCATCCACGCACTAAGAAAAAGGCATTTAATGCTCCCCCCTTGGTTAATAGAGGCAACTAATAATAATAATAATAATAATAATAATAATAATAATAATAATAATTTATACCCCGCCCTCCCCAGCCGAGACGGGCTCAGGGAGGCTAACACCAGGTATAAAAACAATTGATTGAAATACAATTTAGAGGGAAAAGAGCCTATGGAAACAGAGGCTGGGCTAAGGAAGAATGAATCTTGCAACTGTTTACGCTCGGCTATCTAAAGATGCAAACAGGACAGAGGACAGCTGAAAAAAACAGCCACATCAACAGTACCCGAATCACGTTTACTCAAAAGTTAAATTCCCCAGAGCTAAACCCACCAGGAGTGACAACTCAAGGCCTTCCATATGTGCTGTGCCAGGAAGATTTTGGGCATAACACAGCAACAGAATCTCAAACCAGCCCACATTCCCAGCATGTTCACACACTTGTCTCAGAGACGACTACACTGGCTTGGTCATGTGCACAGAACGGAAGACGGCAGGATCGCCGAGGATGCGCTCCACAGGGAACTGGCTTCAGGCAACAGGCCCACTGGCAGGCCAACTCTGCATTACGAAAATGTCTGCAAACATGACACGAAGGCTGGCAAAATCAACCCTGCCGTGTGGGAATTCCTTGCAGGCGCCTGGAGACAGTCAGGTCATGAATCCATAGCGGTGACCAGAGGAAAAATGACTGCTGGGAGGAGCGCAGAGAGAAGAAACGCCATGGTCCAGCTGTCCCAATGAAACAGGACATCGCCACCTGCAGCAAAACATGCCTCTCCCATCTCTACAGTCACAGCAGGCACTGTAACCTTCCAGTGGTTTGACACACACACCCCCCCCCACCATGGCACACTCTTCCATTGCCTCTCAAGACAGATGGATACAAGCCATTTGTTGCTGGCATCTGTGTTCCCCCCAAATTTGCTTTGGAGGGTTTCCCAACCCTCTGGAGCAGACTCTGAGGGTGCCCAGGAGGCTGCAGATCAACTGCACAAGCAAAGTCTGTCGTGTGAATAGTACAGCAGCACCGGATGCATCCTAATGCGTTTAAGGATTGCAGCTTTGTTGGGGCTTCCAAAGAAGGGACAGGAAGCAAGTATCCGAATGCTCCCTGCATAAAATCTACTGCAAGTCCCCCAAACTAGGCACCATTCATTGTTGTGGGAATTCACATAGTTCCATGATGTCAAGACAGGAGTGTCACTACACATCACAGAAGGTGTGAACTCAACACAGCGATGCCCTTTTTAGTGGCAGCCTTACGTCGCCCAGAGACTCTGGCCCTTCCTGATGGGCATATTACAGTAGTTATGATTTCAGCCTAGATCTCAGCTAACTGCTTGTTGTTAGCAAAAGGTAATGCATCTTGTTTGTTTTGCCAAAACATAGACTGTGTGCAAAATCTGGGGGGAAAGCAAACAATGTGATAATTATAATTTGCTGTCAGGGCTGCCTCAAGTCTCAGCTCACAAAAGACCAACGCCAATCTCTTCTTATATACAAAAGTGTTTATTGCAGTTCATTGTTTGCTTCACATCCGAGGCGCGCAGCCCTACGTCTGTTACGCTTAGACCGCTGAAGTCCCCTCTGAGTCAGTCCCTCCCCTGCACCAGTTTAAGAGGCTTGCGCTGCTCCACCTCTTTCTCTCTTTCCTTTTCCGCAGGGTCTTCCTGCCCGCTGGGGTCTCGCCCCTCCTGGATTCCTCTGATGCGGAATCCCCAGATTGCTCTTCCCCCCTCCTGCGGGCTTTGGGACCTGGCCCCTCCTCCGGGCTCCCTGTACTTCCGCGCGCCTCCACATTTGAACTTGGCGCGCGCGCCCAACCTCTAACCTTCCTTTTGACAGCTACACTACTCCCTTCACTACCCCCTCCCCTTCCGGGAGGGTGGCTTGCTCCGACCTCCCTCCCTTCTCTGCTGCCGGAGCTGCTTCCCCGATACACTGGAACCTCCACCCCCTTCGCTGCACTCTGGCGGGGAGGCTGGTCCTGACGCCCAGCTGCCACTTTGGGATCCCCCGCTGGCCCCCTGCTCCTGACACGTTCCCCCCTGGGGCTCCCCTGGCCTTGACCACCGGTGCCCCCCTTCTGGGAATCCTCTGATTCGCTGGAAAGACTCATGGAATCTCTTGAGTCATTGTCATCCTCTTCCTCGCTGTCCTGGGACTCATCCCCATCGCTCTCCATCTCCTGCCTACCCTGTGCCTCTGTCCCTGAACCCCTGACATTTGCTCTTAATTTTCAGGTAAGTATCCTGTTCTAATTTACAATGAAACCACTTCCCATTTAAGACAGAATGCATTAACAGTGAGGAGCTTAAAGATTTCTCTTTTTCCCCCCAGAGAAGATCTTGTATCCTAGTACAAAATACTTCAGCAAATGGCACCACCTACCCGCAAAAAAACAAAACCGACCCAAATGCATTCAAGTTTAATATTTTTCCTTCAGCTATAAGAAGCCAGAAGTGCTACTGGGTGATTTGGGACTTTGGGTGAAAGCTAATTGCAATCCTCTACTCCCTGACTATTAACACACATCCAGGTTTTGTGCAAATGAAAGATCAAAATGAAGTCCTTGAGAATTTCAAAGTCAGCCTCTGCAACACATGCTTCAAAAGAGGCTGGTGGTTATTTTAATGAAGTAATCCATAATGTGTGTGTCTCTCGCAGTGAAGTAGAATTTCAACAGCTTTCTACCAACTGGAAAATTACTTGCTTTTTTATTAATGAACCCAATTACTTGATTCATTTTTCGCTATAAAGCTTAACATAATGGAACCTAGGACACCCATTCAACATGGGTTCAGATTCAGGGAAGTGCCTGGGGTGCTAGAATTTTTTTTGAGGGGGGGAGCAGGAGTGGCTCCTGGGTCAAGGGCGGCTGATTCAACCATCTACTCAGAAGCTGAAACAAATAGTGCAAACAGTTCATAAGGCATGGACAAAAGTTGAATTCATGCATGCAAACTGAGCATCCATGTCGTGAAATGATATGACCACAATAAAAAAAGGCTTTTAAAAGAGGGACAAATTGAGGGGATGCCGAAAATGCTTCCTTGCCTGTAGGGCTGCTTGGTCTGGGTCAGGGATGAGGAATCTCAGGTGCAGGGTGTGAGAGTGTGTGTAGAAACTAGCCCACCATTCAAGATAAACTTCCCATGCATAGCCCCTCCCACTTTTGTCTCTGGCTCCACCCACCACCAGCATGTGGCCCTCAGAAGGTGGTGCAGAAGAGAATTGCGGCCTGCAGGCTCACAAAAGTTCCCACCTCTGGTCTAAGCACAAATAAAATGCTGACCGTAATAAGACTGACCTCCTAAATAATGATGAACTTCTACAGATTGAATTCAGCCAAGGTCCCCCCCCCCCCCATGCACATCAACTGATCTCGATGCAGTACAGAATTCTTCTTTTGGACTTCTACCCTAATTCACTTCTCCACCTCTTTCTGAGTTCTGCTGAACTCCAACATCACTAGCGCAAAGAGAGCAGTCCTCTGGATCATTTTTGGAGAGCAAGGGCAGGAAAATGGTTGCAATGAGATGCATACCAAAGTACAAGTCTGTGCAGCCCATAATTTGTGGTCCATGCAGATGTGCTACTCTCTTAACTACTTTTTTTAATGCTTAAGCGCCACCATGTGGTGAAGTTGAATGTTAGCAAACTAAATTGCTTTTAAAATGGGGGGGGGGGGGCAGGAAGTAAGCAGAAGTCATGGTTTCGTTGTCTTTCACAGAAATGAGAAATTTGTGGCACCAGACAGAATTCCACTTGTAGAATCCCTTTGATTGGAGAAGGCTTTTCTTTGATTGGAGGTTCTCTTCTTCAATGCCATGTCACCAACCACTTTTGAAACACAAGACCAAAGCCTCTTTGGGCATGCGGGATACTGAGCCACTTAAGTAAAAACATGCAGGCGTCTAAAATTACAGCATTAAACAGATGCTTTCCAGCTACGATCTTAAGAGACAACAATGTTTTCAGACTAGAATCTGTGCGAGCCTGAAGGATGCTAGCAGGCTTTGTGATGCAACTTTTTATCTCAGTACATTACCCTCAAGAAGTTGAGCCCTGACTCCCAAGTTCCAGTCCAACACTGTAAACCACTGCACTACACTGGTTTTAAAATGACATTAAAGTCAGAGCATTCTGGGTAAAACAGTAAAAAGAAAAGAAAAGAGTATGACAAGTCTCAAGAAACATCAGGTCATAGAAGAAGTCCAAGGTAAGAGAGCTTGACTAGTCTTCGGCATTTCAAACTAACATGTACAGCAGAGACAGATGTTGTAGGATATCACCATCCCTGACCTTTGGCCTTGATAGCTGGGGATTCTGGGAGCTGGAGTCCAACAACCTCTGGAGGGCCCTTGGTTCTCCACCCCAAGGTACAGAGTGGTCTATACTTCAAACCAATTATAGTAAGCCTGGGAGTCATTCTGGACTCACAGCTGTCCATGGAGGCGCAGGTCAATTATGTGTCCAGGGCAGCTGTTTATACGCTCCATCTGGTACGCAGGCTGAGACCCTCCCTGCCCACAGACTGTCTTGCCAGAGTGGTGCATGCTCTAGTTATCTCCCGCTTTGGACTACTGCAATGCGCTCTATGTGGGGCTACCTTTGAAGGTGACCCAGAAACTACAACTAATCCAGAATGCGGCAGCTAGACTGGTGACTGGGAGCGGCCACCGAGACCATATAACACCGGTCTTAAAAGACCTACACTGGCTCCCAGTACATTTCCGAGCACAATTAAAAATGTTGGTGCTGACCTTTAAGCCCTAAACGGCCTTGGTCCAGTATACCTGAAGGAGTGTCTCCACCTCCATCGTTCAGCCCGGACACTGAGGTCCAGCGCCGAGGGCCTTCTGGTGGTTCCCTCGCTGCGAGAAGCCAAGTTACAAGGAACCAGGCAGAGGGCCTTTTCGGTAGTGGCACCCGCCCTGTGGATTACCAAACTTTTAGAAGACATCTGAAGGCAGCCCTGTTTAGGGAAGCTTTTAATGTTTAATAGGTTATTGTATTTTCGTGTTCTGTTGGAAGCCGCCCAGAGTGGCTGGGGAAACCCAGCCAGATGGGCGGGGTATAAATAATATTTTTTTAAAAATTATTATTATTATTATAAACACCTGAGCCACTCAAAATAGCCGCCTTCACCATTTCTCTCACCTCGTCACTGTTGAGTTTCTTCGCTTTCAGTAATCTCTGTGTTTTATCTTCATCTGAGCCCTCATCGCTGTCTGAAGAATAAATCCTCGCACGCTCCTCTGAAAGGGAAAAATATATACAGTGTATATGCATTTCTCTCCAAGAGCTAATCTAGAAAAACTGACCGTAATTTAGAAACTGGCCGCTTAGAAGTGACAATCCTTTCCCTCCATGAAGCACTATCAGCGTTCTTTATTTGCTTGTCATCACTAGCCATTGCAAAACGAAACAAACAAAATAATCACATATTATTTTCCAAAAGGATTTCCCGCCATCCTCCTCTTAGGTATTAATGCTCCACTTTTCCTTTGTGTGATAAGCCTGAAGCAGCTCCCTGGACTTAAAACCAGATAAATCCAAGACTCCGCGCTAAGCCGACCATACCTCTTATTCCACCTTTATATCTGTTTTTAATTGCTGCCAGGCTGATGGCTTCTTCTCCTTCGTCCTCTTCATCGTAGCGGTCAGGCTCCAAGTAGCTGGCGCTCAGTCCCCGCTGGTGCTGCTTCTCTCGCATTCTCCTTTGCTGGGACTCCCTGCGAATGGAAGCTCGCAGCCTCTCCTCCTCTTTCTGCAGGGGGAAATGGCAACAACATAGGGGTGTGCCAAGGATTTCTCAAAACAGGGCTCAGACTGTGCACTGCCCTGCACATCACCCATCACTAATTTACACCCCTCTTATTGCCCAAGCAGAATTCAAAGTGGTTTTCAAGGTACACCAGTTACACGAATATTAGAATAGAAGCATCCATAATTAAAACACCCAATAAAACAACCCTATTAAACAAAACATTAAAACAGGTCAAGATCGTAGGGGTGCCTGTGTAAACAGGTGCATCTTCAGAAGCCGGTGGAATGCCAATGCAAATGAGGCTTTGGCATTCTTGCAGCAGTTAAGTCTCGTTCCACTTTTATTCCAGGTTCTTTTTCTGCTACATGCTGCAGCAGAGAGCAATGTTGCACAGGTTTCATGTGCTCTGTTTCATGACTTGCTCTGGCCTGGATTACACACCTTGATCAATAGGTTAGAGAGGGAGCAAGAAGGATCCAAGTAAGGTTTTTTGTTTTGCTTCAGGCTAAATTAACTTGAATGGGATGCAGGTGGCACTGTGATCTAAACCACTGTGCCTTGGGCTTACCGATCGGAAGGTCAGCGGTTCAAATCCCCGCGATGGGGTGAGCTCCCATTGCTCTGTCCCTAACCCTAACCCAACCTAGCAGTTCAAAAGCATGCCAAAGTGCAAGTAGATAAAGAGGTACTGCTCTGGCAGGAAGGTAAACGGCGTTCCCATGCGCTGCTCTGGTTTCGCAAAACAAAACGTTGGCTCCCTTGGCCAGTAAAGGGAGATGAGCGCCACAACCCCAGAGTCATTTGCGACTGGACTTAACTGTCAGGGCTCCTTTACCTTTTTATATTAACATGGCTCCCAACTCAGCTCCACTATTTCACCAAATAGGGGGGGAAATGTGTTTTAGTCCACTGGCAACATAGCAGCGAGGCACTGCCCATTTTACCTAGCAGTGCTGGTGATACCATAAAATGGTTTATAAAGACTGATTGCCAGATTCCAATGCTGAGTTTTGCAGGATATGGCAAATAGGAAGTTACTCTTATCTCTTCTGCTCCTCCCCTCTTGTTCTTTTCTTCTTCCCCTTTTCAACTGTTTGCAGGCTCAAAAAAGCCCCCTGGCCACCCACAGAGATGCCAAGGTAGGTAAGGTTGTTTTCTATGGCAATTCAGACTCCTGCCGCGCAAGAGGCTTGCTGCATTGAGGGCAGTAAGTCTAAAGATGCTGCTGTCATGCATACAAACAATATTTTAAGATTTGCATATAAGGGACAAATTTAATAATGGCTTAGAAGGCAAATTTTGATTCCAGCTACCCCACCCCAAAACTATACCTTAATCATTTCTGTTCGTTGGGACTCTGGATCACGGCCAGCCATGGGCAAAATACGAATTTTTTGTGTCTTGGAACATCTGTCTGCGAGCGAGAGAGTCATCTTTCTGTGTGTGGCACTGTCTGTTGAGTGAGGCCTGCGGTAAAATTGTTACTGGGTTAAAAAGCACTTCTTTCAGGGAACTGCAGGTTTGAGAAAACAATTGCACATGACTGAGCTGATTCACACAACACGCTATGTCAACCTGTAGCCAATACCATCTTGTGGGTTGATCATCGGTTGCAGCAACCTCCTTCGAAGAAGCCTTTTCAGTGACACGAACACTAGGAGGTTGCCTTCACAGAGGCTCCCTGTGAGCAATGATCAGTTGATTCTCAGCTACAGGGAGCCCCTTTGGAATCTCTGCAGAGGGGGAAATGCTCCTAAAAGTAGAACATTTCTCTCTCTGCAGAGAAAGCACTTCGTATCCCTGGAAAGAACAAAATCTCCATTTTAAATTTCCGCAATTTTCTCTCTGTCTCTTGAGAACGTGGTTGCATCAGGTACTTCCTAAAGGACAACTGATTCCAGCTGACTGCCAGGCCTTTGGCTGTGCAGCGCTCTCTTAAAGCCAGGCATTCAGCTGATTTGGCTCCTGGGCCTGAGGTTCCCTACCTGACACTATTAGAAACTGAGATATAAAAGCTCTTCGGCATATGGCCCCTTAAAGCTAGGTTACAGGCACTCTAACAGAATGTTTGGACGCATCTATTTTTTAAAACAAGATCACAAAGCTGAAAATGAATTGTGTATATTCTCAGCTCCAGCGAAAATCTGACTCGCGCCATAGCATGGCAACAAAAAACCAACAAACACTACTGTCCACCAGCCAGTCAGATGGTGATGTCAGGTGCCATCCTGGCGCCCAGGCACCTTCACTTGGTTGCAAGTGGCTGATAGCCAGGTGCAAAATGTGCCTGGCTAATTCCGAATACTGCTACCTGCTATAGGCCATAGACAAGTGACCATAATAAAATGATTCAAGAGTTTTGTGGCACATTAAAGACTAACATATTTAGTATAACATAAGCTTCTGTAGACTAGAGTTCACATCATTCGATGCATTACATATTTTCCTGAATTGGAAGGTAGACACAGAGAGAGAGAGAGAGAGAGAGAGAGAGATGATAGATAGATAGACAGATAGATAGATAGGGTTGAGGGTGGGTGGGAATTGTAAGAAGTGAAATTAAGAGGGCATAGAAGTAGATTCTGAGCATTATGTTAAAGTTAAAAAGGTATGTAAAATCATCAGTGACCACAGCAGCACTGATGAAAATAATCTAAACATCCTGACGCTGATCAGTTAATTAATGCCTGTAGATGAGGCAAGTTTCAATGTTCTTGTTTCAACATGGCTACCCCCCTTGGAAATAATTAGGCAAACCACCTTGTATCCTCTTTCACATTCACTGTGATGCGATTACATGTAAATATTTTCAACTCAATGGGATCCACATGCTTACCTGAAGGTTAGCTTTGTTTTGAACACAGCTTGCCCCTGAAGACCTGTTCCTTGCCTGATGAAGAGATGGTTGTGATCCCCCTGCAATGGTGCTTTGTACACATCGAAAACTTCATTCCCCAAATGTAGTGACATGCTTCAAAAGGAAGGAGGATAGCTTCGATCAGCACACAAGCCAAGAGCCTTATTTGCTTTGCTCATACAAGTACATTAAGCCAACTGAATACTTCTACTGATGTATTTACAGGCCCGTGATGCCCATATCGTGCACTCTGCCATTCTGTCTCAGCTTTATCCTCTTTCTCCAGTCTCCTTTCCTTGCTCCCGTTTTACTTAGGCAGGAAGCCTTATTGCAGCAGCAGCCTTTGAGTTATTTTTCTGTTTAATGGAAGGCGCCCAGTTGATACAAGTGAACTAGATATAGGATGTTATTATCTGTTTACAGAGCAGTGAAGAAAGTTATCCCACAAAATTCTGACGACTCCTTACATCATGGATTATTATTTTTTTACAGGTGTTACAGAATTTGTCAATGCCTGTGTGAAACTTGCTAATTCTCCCAATCTATAATTATGCTCTCCTTGGTTCTGTTCCTAGCCTGTCTTTTATCGTGTTTATTGTCAGCTTTCTTTAACGTGCTGTATGGATATGTTTTTCTATGTATTCTTGCCTACTGCCTCCAGGCCCTCCTGCCATAACACGGATGCCCTAACAAAATTGGAAATAGCAAAGGAGAGGGATATGGGCTTCTTAAGCTTCACTGACGGCACCTTGCACTTTCCTCTCCCTGTGAGTTTTTATATGGGTAGCGACATCGGCCATTGAGCAGCACTTCCACCAAGGTGTCTACCACTGGAACCTTCTCTGTTCCAAAGAGGGTGGGAGGCATTAGTTATTTTGAGCTACCTTGGTAGCTTTTCTGACCTTTAGTGGGGCAGCTCATTCAGCCTGGATCATAGCAACAAAAGCAGCAGCAGTACAAACAGCGGTATATAGATATTTAAATAAATAAAATGAAAGGCGTCCAGAAAGGTGAGATGCAATGAGGCTGAATGAAGGGATAGGGCAGAGCTCTGTCCCAGGTAAGGAACTGAATTGCTTAAAAGCTGGCCGCATGATTCCTTGCAGGAAGACTCAGCTCCTTCATGGATGTGTGCCCTCTTTCACTCAACTCAGAAAACAGAACAATAATAATAACTGGGTGAACGAGACCCGAGATAGAACTCTATGCTACACAACATGTTTCCTTCTACGGTTCAGAAGCATGGGTCAAGCGGGATCAGGCACAAACTGACCTCCCATCAGACCATTTGACTATCCGTGCATTGCTTTCTCGAACCTCGCTCCCTTCTTCATCTCGGCGAGTTCGCCAGCGTATCGTGTTCTCCACCTGTGGGGACACAAAGTTGCAGGAGGTATTTCTTGAGAGAAATGTCACAACGCTTGCAAGAAATAGAGTGTGGGGAGTGGGGGAATAATGCTGGTGGGAATGTCATACGCTGGTATTCTGAATTGCTGAATTCATGTTTAAATATTAACTGGCTTAATGTATTAGTATTGTGAATCAATGAGCAGAAAGACAGCTCAGTGTACCATGAGGGATTCAGCAGGGGGGCGGGGAGGAGAGGCCACCACTGCAAGCTCAGACCTTTTCTGCTGAAACTTTAGCGTAACATGTTAGTCCTCACATATAACATGCATGCAAACCTGAAATTAACTTTCTCTCCTCTCCATTCCTCTCCACTCCCACTGTTGCTTCCCATGTGCCCCATTTTAGAAAGTAAGCTCCTTCAGGAAGGAACCTATCTCCCTCCCTGTTATGCTGAAAAGTAATAATCCATGTACACTGGTACCTTGGTTTCCGAACTTAATCCGTTCTGGGACTTCCAACACAGTTCAAAAACGAAGACGCGGCTTCTGATTGGCTGCAGGAGCTTTGTGCACTCAATTGGAAGCCATGGAAGCCGTGTCGGATGTTCAGCTTCCGAAAAATTCCATTAAACTGGAACACTTACTGCTGGGTTTGTTGTGTTCGGGAGCCGATTTGTTCAACAACTAAGCCGTTTGGGAACCAAGGTACCATTGTACATTGACGGAGATATAAATAAACAAAAACCAAGGAAGAAACCCCAGGTGCTCTAACTGGCACAGAGAAGGTTATCGTGCATATACTATGGTGGTGCTCTAGTCAGCCCTATTGATGTTCCATAGAATGTCATATTTTGTGTTTAAATAGTAATTTGATCACTTTCAAGAACTTCACATAAGTTAGCGTGGTCATCATCATTTATTTATTTCATTTACAAATCACTTCCCAGAGCGATGGATGTTTTCCTAACAATGGCGTTGTAAGGTGGGTCAGTATTCTTGTCCCCCTGTTGCAGATGGGGACCCACAATTGGCTGGGGTGGGTGGAGAAGGCTTGCTTAGGGCCACCTACTCGCTGCTCTTCCTGGGAAGAAGTTTCTTGCAATGCTCAGCTTCATCTGAACCCTCCTGTAACTTAAGCCCATTTAATCTAATGGGCATCAGTTACAGTAGGGTACCTTTCAGCTGAACGTTATGAGAAACCTCTTGATGGAAACAGGAGTTGGACCATGAAACCAATTGCCTGGCCTCTTCGAGAAGAGTCTGGGCAGCTGCCTGTTGGAAATGCTCAAGTTGTGGGTTTCCTGCATTGAGCAGGGGTTGGAATAGATTACTTAAAAGCTTCCCCTTCCAACTTTAGGGTTTGATGGGACTTCACCGCAACAGTGGATTTGAGCTGACTTCTTGGTGCACTGCTACATCTCTCAGAACTATGCTACACAAGCTCTCAATGTCTAAAGAAGGGATGGGGAACCGCTGGCCCTCCCAATTCAGCTGGACCACAGCGCTCACCATCCCTGACCATTGGCCATTCAGACTGGGGTTCAAGGGAGATGGGAGTCCAACAACGGCTGGTTCCCCAACCCTAATCCAAAGCACGAGGCTTGACAGAATTGTGTTCCAAGACAGAGCAAGGAGTGTTTAATAATAATAATAATAATAATAATAATAATAATAAATTTTATTTATACCCCACCCTCCCCAGCCAAAGCTGGGCTCAGGGCGGCTAACACCAATAAAATCACAGTAAAAACATAATGGGGGGGGGACCAATTTAAAATACAGGTTAAAATGCAATTTAAAACGCAGCCTCATTTTAAAAGTAGCCGATAAATCAAAACCATAAGGGGAAGGAAACATAAGGGTCAGACTGAGTCCAAACCAAAGGCCAGGCGGAACAGCTCCGTCTTGCAGGCCCTGCGGAAAGATGTCAAGTTTGCATGTTGTGTGGAAGCAGAATTTAAGGTATACGGTACCTTCAGTTTTAACCTTGTTCTACCTTCTTCATCCAGCATCTCCTCATCTTCAAATTCATCCTCATAATACTGTGGATCAAAAGGCCTGCAATAAACCGGAATATGGGTTACCATGGATGTCATCCTTTCCTTGCAAAACAATTTGGTACCAGGACTGGAATTCTCACACAAAAACCCAATTATGGGTTTGTGGCCGCAGTTCCTTTGTACACATGGTAGGGGGTGGGAGAGAGAACAGAGAAGGCGAATGAATATTGGAGAAGGGCTGTAGAACATCTGCCTTGCATGCAGAAGGTTCCAAGTTCAGTCCCTGGCATCTCCAACTTGGGTTGGCAGCAACACACACGGGACACCCTGGAGAGCCACTGCCAGCCAGTGTAAACAGTGCTGATCTAGGTGGACCAAGGTGTGACTCAGTATAACGCAGCTTCCTATGTCCTTAAGGTTTGCACATTGTACAACAACATCACAAGCAGCTTGCTTGTGCATTCTATTGTGCAACAACCTTCTTCTGGTGCAAAACATTTCGCCAGTGGAACAAGTGCACTGCTAAGTGACTTTCACTTCGCACTACATTAAATACAACCCTCAATTACTATCTTCTACCAAGACAGAGGGTTTCAAAGTCACACCTGAGTTTCCCTAGTACAATTCTGTTTATTTAAAATGCTTATATTCTCCCTTTCTTCCTTATAATAAAGATGGTTTATAATAAAACCAAACACAGAATTAACGTGTTAGCATTATTATTTTTTGTAAAAAACCTATTTACGAATGTTTCCTGACTAAAGGGGGGGGGAGGACTTGTGTTTTTTTACATACAGTGGTACCTCGGGTTAAGTACTTAATTCGTTCTGGAGGTCCATTCTTAACCTGAAACTGTTCTTAAGCTGAAGCACCACTTTAGCTAATGGGGCCTCCTACTGCCGCCATGCCACCGGAGCACAATTTCTGTTCTCATCCTGAAGCAAAGTTCTTAACCTAAAGTGCTATTTCTGGGTTAGCGGAGTCTGTAACCTGAAGCGTATGTAACCTGAAGCGTATGTAACCCGAGGTACCACTGTAGTTGCAACTCATCTGTGGATAGCACTACAGATTGGTTTTCTGTTTTTGTTTTTTAAGACCCTGGAACACTTGTTTCTCAGACTGAGCCTGTGACTTTTACCTGGGCTCCACACTGAGGAAGTTGGGAAGCTTCACAAAATATAAGTCATTTCCCAAGTCTGTGTTGACTTTAGGAATTTCGACTTCTATCCGCGTTTCAGGAATAGGTTCCTCCTCCTGTTGATCCTCGTTCAATCCATTCTCGTCCTATTCAGTGGGGAGGGGAGAGAAAATCAATTAGGAAATGTAAATATAAATATAATTCCATCTCTTCCATTTATGCATATGTGTGATTTAACCATACAGAGAACATACATTTTATCAACATTATGCCTGCTCAGGACATCAGCATAAGGCAAGCGTGGGGAACTTTTGGCCCTTCAGATGTTGCTGAACCACAACTCCCATCATATCCAGCCGCTGACCATGCTTGCTGGGGCTGATGGGAGTTGTAGTTCAGGAACTTCCAGAGGACCTAAAGTTCCCCAATCCTGGCATCAGGAGAGAGGGGGGAAAGAGACCTTCAACTTTCAAAAGTCCCGAATGGAATACACTTATCTGCAACCCCTTCTAAAAGGATCACAAATCATTATCCCACTTTTTCATAATGCAATTTGAGAATACAAATCTTAACATACATGTAAGCATTAAAATATTAGTGGTCAAGTTGTCAGGTTAAATCCAACACAGATGCAAAAGCAGGACCAACAAAGGTACTTACAATAGGTTGCCCTGGAGTTGGGGGCTTGTCTTCCCCATCGCTCCCCGAAGATATGTCATCTGCTCCTCCAAACAGATCCATTGCATCTTTATTACCTTGCCCAGAAAATAAGAAACAGAAATCATACTTAGAAGGTTGGAAACTGGAGGTGGGGAAGGACTGGCTTTGTTTTTAAGAGACACCTTATTTATAGAAAATATACTCTACAAGGGGCATAAATATATATATTAAAAATAAAATAAAATTGTCCAGTAGCACCTTAGAGACCAACTAAGTTTGTTCTTGGTATGAGCTTTCATGTGCATGCACACTTCTTCAGATTCTTCGTTGAATGTAGAGGGCTGGTTTATACCTGGCATTCCCTGTGACGAGAGATTGGTTGTTAAACCACTCTGCAAATTGCAGCTCTGTGAGCGGAATGGGGGTCTCCTGACAATTCTCAGAACCTTTGACAATTTGCAGTTCCTGGGATACTTTGTGGGAAGTCATGACGGTTAAAGTGGCACAATAGTGCTTTAAATGGATGGCTCAGGATGCGGCCCGAGAGGGTGGCAAGCGGAGAATGACATTCGAACTCCTAGCCAGCCATAAAGCTTATGAGGCTTGGTATGACTATTTTCCACCTAGTCATTTTGACACTTTGGCACACCCTATATGCAAAATTTGACAATTCCAAAATACAGACAAGCTTTCACTTTTGCAAGATTGAATATACTGCCTTCGGCTGTACTTGAGGGTCGATTTCAAAAAATCCCACTGGAAAAATGGTTATGTCCCTATGGAGATGGCAGTATTGAGTCAGTGTGTGTGTCTGGCTTGCACTCTTTATAAAGATTTGAGGACTGAGGCTATGACCCCTTTATTACTGTCCATGCCGGGTTGCTCAACCATTCCTACTGTGTCCTTTCTTTTAGCAGATCAAGGTGATCAGGTGACAGCAAAAAGTGCAAGGTTTTTAGCGGGGGCAATTAGAAAAGATCTATTATTTAATTATTGATGTAAGCCCTCAAAATGTATTTTCTATAGTTAAGTTTTTACCTCTATCTTCAGCACATTTTACTTTCTTGCTACGGCTTCTGGCTGATGCAAATAAAGATTCTTCTAATTCTGATTCTTTTCTCCTCTCAGACAGGGCTGTTGTGAGGATTTATTTAAAAGGGTTGGGAAATCAAGCATTCCCCTCTTTTTAATCTTAATATTTTGATAATTTTATTACATTGACTTCTTTTTAAAATCTCTTGGTTTTATTGGCATTTTCTTATGAGTATTTTATATTATTTCATGTAAAGTTTTATATTATTTCATGTAAAGTTTTATATTATTTCATGTAAACCATTCATTATTAAATTGTTATTTCTTTATCATATGTGTTAAAGTCACTTTTCTTACAAGGTGGCCCAAAGTGCCTTACATCCTTGTTTATCCCTTCCTAACAAACAAAAACAAAGCATTTTAAAGAAACAAAAAACTAACTACCAAGTTTGCCCTCCAGCATACCTGGAGAGAGGGAGGCAGGCAAAGACTTTCTCAGAGCCTCCTGCTCCAGCTGGACTCCTTTGCCCTACACAGAAACCTTCTTCCTACAACTGGCCTGTGGGAAGGTGTAACAAAGTTATCAGGTAGACTTGGCAGATGGACGTGAGGTGTGCATCTAAAGAAGCCAGTTCTCTGGCAGTTGGAACTTTGTCAGTTGGGAGAAGACAGTTAGATCTCCGGGGCAAAGAGTCACAGAAACCGAGAGAGTGTCAGAGAGGGAGTGAGAGCGAAACTAGGTGATCTCAGCTAAGCCTGCCCACCCGGTCATAAAGATGACCTGTCCTTTAAATGAGAGTTATTCCACCTTGGGGGTCCCCACCTGTTCCTGCGCAAGACCCATCGTTATCAGCCAGTGTGGTCAATGGAGAGGGCATGATGGAAGTTGTAGTCAAATGGGGACCCAAGGTTAAAGAACGTTGCTTTAAATGACTTTAGTGATAAGGAACGTGTAGCTAGACCGGAAGCAAGTTTCTTGCTTCTTAGTCTTTAAGGTGCCACAATAATCTTTGTCATTTCGGTAGCAGGTATGTATCTTTTGGTTTTGAGACTTTGCTCTGTATGCCTTGCCCTTGTTTTATTTCTAAAAAAACTCCCGCCCTTGCTTATCAATGACGTAAACCCTTCCAGGTATTTAGTGGCGTGCTTCAGATGCCTGAAGCATCTACTGGGGATTTTCTTTTGAAACTTAAGGGTGGTCCATTCTGAACTGGTCTGGCAAAAATTGACCTGATCTCCTAAACTGCTCTTACAATGAGACCTAGAAAATTATATGCACCACAGAAGGATACCAGGAGAGGGTGCTCACTTTGGCAGCACAGATACTAAAATTGGTTTCCAGGAGAGGGAGCCAAACATTGTTAACACTAGGTACCTGGGGTTGGATTATTGCAAATTGCTCAACTTGGTTTTAATATTGTAATTCTAAATTTTTATACCCAATTTTAATTTTGTATTTCTGTAGTGTTATAACTTGCAAGTGTAATGAAAGCCAGTGTAAACTGTTTTAACTCATTCTAACAATGTACATTTATTTTGTTGTAACCCACTCTGGGACCTTATGATGAAGGGTGAAAAAAAATCTGTAAATAATAGTATTTTTTTTGGGGGGGGGGGAATAAGTAAGTATTAGGTAGCTCTAGACCAGATGAAATTGTCTCAGGTGCCAGATCCAGTCCATGGAGCAACATGGAGCCAATCCTGGTTTATAGGAACTTTCCCACTGAAGCACTTGACCTCCTTTGAACCCTATAAAACAGGGACAGGGGAAATGTGGACTTCCAGCTGCTGTTGGGGCTAAAACCCCCTTAATCCCTGGCCACTGGCCTGCTGGCTGGGGGGTGATGGGAGTCCAACAGTATCTGGAGGTCTACAGGTTCTACATCCCTGCTCTAAAGCAAGTGACAAGAGATGACCCAAAATACTGAAGTCAGAGCTACCGTGAAAATAATCAAACATGTAGATTTGTTGTTAAACAGTTGCTTAAATAAACTGTTGCGGTGACAACTTTTGATCTATTGCAGTGGAGGATGTGAAGGGGAGCTTGGCACTGCAAACTGCTCAGATGAGTTTTGGTTTTTGGTTTTTTTACTCCCAAATGACAGGAAGAGGGGCTGCTTACCTTTTTGTCCTTCCACATCACTATCCATTTCAGAATCTGATGCAATTTGTTTCTTACGCTTCGTTTGCATGACTTCTTCATCACTGTCACTGCCTCTTGCCGATTCTGCAAGAGCAAATATCAATCTTGAAGCCCCCTCATAACTTTCTATTATTATACTGTATATATTTCCATTAATGTATTTCCATTAATATATTATTATATATTACACAATCCAGACACCCTGAATAAAACACAGCGGAGAAATGTCACTTTGAAGAATGGCATTCGTACCAGTACTGTTGATGAAACCACACGGGTGCTAAAATAAAAATGACCGAGCAATGCAGTGGGCATATATAAATGGAAGATACTCAAATCCCTACTTGGCCTTGAAGCTCCCTGGGTAGGCATTCAGCAAATTTTTCAGCCTTACTGCTATCAAAGGTTCACAGTGAAAAACAAACAAACCCCCCAAAACATTACAACCCATCCTGAAATTTTGGGGGAGTTTAAATTTTTTATAAAAAGGTAAGTGGAAAAAAGTGTGAGCAACTATTAAACCCAAATTCCAAGAGATATTCTAAAGGGACAACTGCTCTGCAAACTAAAGATGGATGGTGCTAGACTTGTTGATTTGGGGTGGATGAAAAAGAGTAATCGTAGCCTTCAAGATATGAGTACTAAGCCAAAGCTCAGTGGTAAAGCACATGCTTTGCATGTAGAAGGCTGAGAAAGAATCTTGCCCAAGAGTCCTCCAGACCTAAGGTTTCCCCAGCCCTGTGTCTAGACATTTGCACCCTCAATTTTCCATACCCGATTTATGTTCATGCTCTTCTTCATCCTCCGAGAGCCTTCGCTCTTCATCATCGGAATGCTGGGGCCTCTCTTCGTCAGAGTTCTGCATCTTTTCCTCGTCTGAATGCTGCAGCCTTTCGTAGTCATCATCCGAGTTCTGCATATTCTCCTCATCAGAGTTTTGGGGTCTTTCCTCTTCATCAGAAACCTGCAACCTCTCTTCGTCATCATCCGAGTTGTGCATTTTCTCCTCGTCAGAGTTCTGCAGCCTCTCTTTGTCATCAGAAGCCAGAGGTCTCTCCTCGTCGTCCGAGTTCTTCTCATCATCATCCAAGTGCTGTGGCCTTTCTTCGTCATCCGAGTTCTGGAGCTTCTCCTCATCGTCTGACTGATCACTTCTGTCTTCCCTTTCCCACTTTTCATCCTCAGAGTGTGCTTTGTCAGAGCCTTCTGCCTCAGAGTGGTGGCTGCCTTCATCTGACCTGTGATCCTCTTCATCCTCGTCCTCCTCGTGAGCAGCTTCTGAGCCACTGTGCTGGTCCATATCTGACTGGTCATTATCCTCATGTTCAGAATGCCCAGAGCCTTCCGAGCGATTGTAGGATCGCTCAGACCGGTTATCGCTGCCACTGTGGTGAGAGGCGCCATCATCCTCGCTGTCGTCACCAAACAATTCTTTGTTACTGGGTTTCAAAGCCTCTCGGTCGTCATCTCTGTCACTCTCACTACCAGAAATATTACTGATGGAGCCAACAGGCTCCTGGTCAGAGTCTGAATCTGACCCAGAATCAGAATCTGTGAAAACCAAACAAACATAAAAGGACAATGTTAGCAAGAGGAAAAGGGTCAGATAACATATATAGAAATCAACTGACCAATACCATTTTACAGTGGTACCTCGGGTTACATACGCTTCAGGTTACAGACTTTGCTACCCAGAAATAGTACCTCGGGTTAAAAACTTTGCTTCAGGATGAGAACAGAAATCGCGCGGTGGCAGTGCGGCAGCAGCGGGAGGCCCCCATTAGCTAAAGTGGTGCTTCAGGTTAAGAACAGTTTCAGGTTAAGAACGGACCTCCGGAACGAATTAAGTACGTAACCAGAGGTACCACTGTATTTATGTTCACCTAGTCAGAAGGAAGCAAATCCATCAGATATATGCAATTTGAAGAACTAGTCACTTTGCTGAAAACACTGACAGCAGTGAAAAATCATAATTAAGTAGTAGTCCAGGAACAATCCTGACTGAAGTACTATACAGAAGTAAAGCAAATGTTGACTGAAAATGGGCAAAACAGTAAAAACAGGTTCAGGTGGATAGCTGTGTTGATCTGTCATAGTCATAATAAATAACAAAATGAAAGATGAAAAAATCTTTTTTTAATAATTCCAGTGGCACCTTTAAGATCAACTAAATATAAGCTTTCAAGGTATGAGCTTTCATGTGTAATACACACTTTGTCAGATACTCCGAAGCAGAGGTCGCTTCAACCTTACAACTGCTGATGGCTGTTACGGCAGTTGGTTCCATAGAGAAGAACAAGGGATTTTTAAAGGGACAGATGACCAAAATTAGCTTTATCATGTATAATGGGACATGAATCCAATATCTCTGTTCAGACCAGGTCTCTCCATAGTTTTTAGTTTGGTAATGAGTTGTAATTCAGCAACTTCTCTTTCAAGTGTATTTCTAAAATTCTTTTGCAGTAAGACAGCTACTTTAAGATCTTGTATAGAATGTCCTGGGAGATTGAAGTAAAAACAGGATAGCCTGAACCCTTATATCCCAGCTTGATCACTAAGATCACCTGCTGGAGCGTCACTTTTAAATTGTCAACTTTAAATTCTCTATACAGGCAATTAGACTGCATCTTTCCACAATGGTTAATTAACGTCCATTTTAACTTTTTTAATATGATTTTTATTGTATGTTGTATGTATTATTGCTGTAAACTACTTGGGTATTTTTATTTTTACCGTATAGTGTATAAATATTTTTATAAATAAATAAAACAATATTTAAGGCGCTGCTATTTAATCCCATTATGCCATTGTTTCAGAAACACTGCTATGAACTGGCCCATAAATAGCAGCTCTCCTGGTCATCTGTGCAAAGTAAGAATCACCACCAGGTGACCACATAAGTAAAATATTATCCAAACTGGCTTACCCCCAGCTTTTAAGCCACGTATGACTGGCATCAGAATGCGACAGATAGGTAAACTGGCAATTACTGTATTGGTTAGTAACTTTTGTGGGTTTATTTACGAGGATGCTATAGGCTGACTCGAAAACAACCGACACGGCCACAGCATTTTGGTGCTGGCGAGGGCTGATAATAGTTGTAGTACAAAACACCTGTAGGGAATCAGTTAGAGGACGGGTGACTTAATGATATTTGCATTTGGGCAGAGATTACATTTTTTATCTTGCACTGCACCACTCTGCTTGCCAATATGACAACCACCACACATCGAACCCTAAACAGCCTGTCTAAAAAAAGGTCTCCCTTGCCTGTTTTCTTCTTCTTTCTTTCTTCTTTAAAAGACACCAAGACCTTAGATCCAGTGCACAGAACCAGGTACTGAACAGCTTGGAGATCACCACAGTAAAAATCCCTTGTTTGATAGTGGCCTCTAGTTTAATAGATGGTGGGTCTGGCCAAAGATTTTCAGCACCAGATTTGAAAGAGTAGGAAGACACACATATCTGTTTCTAAGAAAACCTGATTCAAGGTCCACAAGTGCGTCATGGAGTACACCAGTCTCCTGTGATCCGAGGAAAAAACCCCACAGCAAACCACTATGTAAAACAATATACGCTAGCAGCATTGTTTAAGATGTTCTTGCAGGGTACCTAAAATGAGGAAGAATTTCAGAATAGATGTGCATGGGTGAGAAGGGGGATGGAGACGAATGAACAGACAGAGACCACAACATTGTGACCAGATGAAAAGGAAATTACAGTCATACCTTGGATCCTGAACGCCTTGGTACTCAGATGTTTTGGCTCCCGATTGCCGCAAACCTGGAAGTGAGTGTTCCAGTTTGCAAACAGTCTTTGGAACCCTAATGTCCAAAGTGGCTTCCAATTGGCTGCAGGAGCTTCCTGCAGCCAATCAGAAGCCGAGCTTTGGCTTCTGTTTTGGGAGTCAAACGGATTCGACTTCCAAGGTACAACTGTATTGTACCTTTAACAGCAGCAAATAAGGATTGCAGTGTTTCTCAAACTTCAGTCCCCAGCTGTTGCTGGACTGCAAATCCCATCAGCCCTGACCCTTGGTCCTGCTAGCTAGGCATGATGGGAGTTGTAACTCAACAACAGTTGGGGACCCAAGTTTGAGAAACACTGGATTATAGTAACCATAGCTTGTGACAAAAGCAAAAGAAAAGTTCCCTCCGTTGTCACGCAGCTGTTCAAAGGTACAGAAACCGTGCCTTCCTTTGCACTTGCCCCATTCACATATTGCGAGTTTTGATGTTTCAGACCCAGCGGAAAGGGGGGGGGGGGGACAACTGAAATCTGATTGCAGGTAAATCTGGGGAAGAGCCACTCAGGTGGGATTCAACCCATCGCTCACTGTCAGCCTAGCCCTCCCTCACAGAGTTGCAAGAATAAAAAACGGGGCAGGGGTGGGAAACAAACCACAACACACCGCCCTGAGCAACTTGGAAGCATCCAGTCCCCTTCTCCCACCTCATCCCAGCTGTGTTGCGAATATGGCACTATGCTCATGTTCAGAGGAACTCTTTTTCTGCATGGCACTTTGCTCATGTTCAGAGGAACTCTTTTTCTGCATGGCACTTTGCTCATGTTCAGAGGAACTCTTTTTCTGCATGGCACTTTATTCACGCTCAGAGGCACTCTTGTTCTGCATGGCCGCCTCTCGTGCACTCTGGTACCAAAACGGGGCTTGGGGCTGAGCTCTGGGCGCGAACAAGAAAACAAGGAGAGAATTTCAAAGGAATCAAAAGGCGGGGGGGGGGGGGAGAGGTTAAAAGCCAAGGCCTCCTTCCGCGCATGCGTGACACAATGCGATATGCCCCCCCCCCCGGCGTCCGTGTCTCCCCTCCCCCGTTACCTTTTTGCTCCGGCTCGGTGTCAGCATCGCTGCCGAACAGCTCCTCCATGTCCGCCATGGCGAGGGGAAGCCCAATTTCCTCAGGCCACCTCAGCGGACCCGGCGGCAGGGCTAGCGGAAGAGGGCGCCTTCCCGTGACGTAAAACAGTTGCGACTGTGGGGAGGCGGAGTCGTGCCTAGATTTACAACAGAAGATGACAGAATATAGAGTGGCGCAGGGCCTGCACTTCCGGTTTAAAATGAAAACCTATACAGTATCCACTTGCCTTAAACCGGAAGTGTCCGCGTGGGCGGGCGGTAGTGATTCGCATAGAGATAGAAAATAACAGAGTCATCTCAATCTCTATTGCGATAAAAATCCTTCTGTGCTGCAGTGGGTCAGGGCGTCTGGCTGTTAACCGGAGGCTGGTGGTTCGAGCCTACCCAGGGATGGCTATGGGCAGGATTCCTGCATTGCAAGAGGTTGGACTACATGAGCCTTAGGCAGTGCCGGATTTACGTATAAACTAAACAAGCTATAAGATTAGGGCCCCAAAAAAATTTAAAGGGGAAAAAAACCTGGATGTACATCCCAAAATATAAGATAAAAAACCGAATAAAACCTACATACAGCAACAGTGTTTTGTGTTGCGTAGGCTCTTATTTGTTATGTGCAAATGGCTTTAGATGCCAATTAGGTCCATAAATTTGCGGGTGGCGCTGTGGTCTAAACCACAGAGCCTAGAACTTGCCGATCAGAAGGTCGGCGGTTCGAATCCCCGCGACAGGGTGAGCTCCCGTTGCTCGGTCCCTGCTCCTGCCAACCTAGCAGTTCGAAAGCACGTCAAAGTGCAAGTAGATAAATAGGTACCGCTCCGGCGGGAAGGTAAACGGCGTTTCCATGTGCTGCTCCGGTTCTCCAGAAGCGGCTTAGTCATGCTGGCCACATGACCCGGAAGCTGTACGCCGGCTCCCTCGGCCAGTAGAGCGAGATGAGCGCCGCAACCCCAGAGTTGGTCATAACTGGACCTAATGGTCAGGGGTCCCCGTACTTTAAACAAGCTATAAGCTTATGGCCCCACTCTCTTGGTGGCCCCCCCAAAAAATTAAAGGGGGAAAAAACTGGATGTACATTTCCAAAATATAAGATAAAAAACAAATAAAATAAAACCTACATACAACAGTGTTTTGTGTTGTGTAGGCTCTTATTTGTTATGTGCAAATGGCTTTAGATGCCTATTAGGTCCATAAATGACCATATAGCATATATTCAACACAAAAAACAGCGGCAATTTGTTGTTGACAAAGGACAGCTGGACATATAAAGGGCCCCATTACCTTCAGTAGCTTAAATCCAGCCTTGTCTGTGCTACCTGAGAACGTGTGAAATATAATTGTTTAATTGTACACTGCAATGGAGAAATGCCTGTGTGTGTACTGCTGAAGCATTTAACATTGGAAAATTCCACTGGAGTATACTAAGCTAGAAGAGAGCTCTCTGGGATCTAGCTGGGGTGATCCTTAACTGTTGTTGTTGTCTGCTAGCTTTCATGTGGTGTTTAATTTTAGATTATGTGAAGATATTGCAAATCTGTGGCTTGAAGGCAGTTGCCTATTAGCCTTCCTCTGGACGCCACAGAGACAAGGATGTGATAATGAAGCGTATCAAGATAGGGTTGCCATCTGTCCGGAATTTCCCAGACATATACGGAATACTGCTGTCTCTAGCATTGTCCGGGTGCAAATTTGTAGTTATCTGGGAAAATATGTATGGCAGCCCAATTTTCCATAAACAACTTTGGGCAAAGCTCAACAACTTTTCTGTCTGGATTTTCACTCTTTGAAATATGGCAACCCTATGTCAAGGAGCTGGATGCAGGTTAATGCAAGCTAAGGGAGAGAGATTTGAATGTATGTCTTCTTTCTGCATGGTGAGGAAGGGGAATCCCAATGGTTGGTTATGAAAGTTTTGTCTGACTTTATAGATGCTGAATATCTCCCTTAGCAATTTAATAACAAAGCGGTAGTGGGGTTGGAACGCAAGACGATCCACAAGGTCTATGTGCTTCTTTTTTGACCCATCCAATCCCCAACTGAACCAAGTTGGTCACCAGAGTGACATGTACATTTCAGGGTGAGAAAACCACTGCAGTGACTACTTGGGAAACACAAAGATGCAGACCATGGACCTCAATTTCTTTCTTTCTTCCTTACTTGGACCTCAGTTTCTGATATAAAGGAATGCCTTCCGAATCACATGAAACAATAAACCTACTTAAAGCGGGAGAAAAACCACTTTGTAATAATACTTTGAAAAAATCATTTGGATATTTTTATTACAATAACAGCAGCATACAGCGCTGGCATTCCTATATATTCCCATTCATGTTTTTCCCCCACAGAAACTTTGCCCAAAGATTCGAGAAAGTTTATAGCTTACAAACAGTATTATCTGTATCAAAAATAGTAAGAGAAGATAACATTTGTAAACAGTATTAAGTGGAAACACATTATTTTGTCATATAGTATGAAAACATTCTGTTCAAGATAAGTGGAGCCTAAAGCCAAGGGTTGTTTGTTGTTGTTGTTTTAAAAAAAGGGTAAGTGCATATATTTTAAAACATAAAGCAGTCTCTCACCTCAGCAAGAACCATTAGACTAAAAATGCACAAAGCCTTCACCTTTTCGGGAAATGGCCCAGTTCTACAGTCATTTCTGAACCATCGTTGTATGTAGACTTTCATGATATGTGCCCTTAACAGTAAGCTTAGTGAACCGGAATGAAGTATGAAAAGTCAGACAATTGCACTGTATTATAGTGTGCAACTCAGAAAGCTTTACGTTCCAAGGAGTAGAAACAGGAATGCATACAGAACTAGAAAGAGTTAAAGTATCCTCAGAAGTCCTATCTCAAAAGGACAATTTGATGGCTTAGACCAAGTTCCCTGCCTCTTTTCTCTACTCATTGATTGCTTGGCATTAAAAAGATGCCTGCTTCTACTCCACTAGGACAATGATCACTGGACTCTCTCAGGCTAGCTACCAGCTCACACAGACCTCTAAATTTAGGTGCTGCTAAATGCTCATATCACCATAATACTGATGGTTCATCTGGGCCAAAGGGAGCCAAGGTGATTCTCTCCAGGTGCTTCTTAACTCCTGCCACCTCCAGCCAGGGTGGTCAACGGTCATCTTGGATGGTCAACGGCCATCAATGGGAGGTGCTGCCCAAAGCATCTACAGGGCACCCCACTGACCGCTCCTGGTCCGAAGCACAAGAGAGCTTCACACTTTACTGCCTTCCTTCATCTTTTAATTGAACATTTTCTGACAGTCATTGAGGCACCAATGAACTCTGCACCTGATCTGACAAATATGAAACCAGCTCAGTTAGTAATACAGAACCCTCCCTGTAACAGAAAAACAGAGAAACATTTACTCTGTGTGTGTCTGTGTGTGTTTTGACAACTTTTATATTGTATTAGGCACTACAGAAATTGAAAACCATCACCTCTTGATCCTAATGTGATGTAGGCAAACTCCCATGCAAGCCCTATTGAATTGAATGGAGGTCATGCAGTAGCAGTGCTTTCTGCACCCCATCCCTCGAGTTTCAGACAATGCAATACTGTACAAGTATTTATTATGTTTTGGTCAACTTAGTATAGCACCACTTGTTGAAAAACACCCGTGGAGCATTCCTGCCCATGCACTGTGGCTCGTGTGAGCCAAGTACCCAAGTAAGTGCAGGGCTGCAGTCTCAATAGATAGATAGATTTTTTTTTTTAATGCACGCAGATGATTTGAGTTCATTCTTTAAGGCGGGGAAAACACCTCTAAAAAAAGCCTGCCAGTTTGCAGTCTCAGCTCTCATAAAAAGCCATTCCTGTTTTGTGGCTCTCCATATGTCTGAAGCAGGCTGTTTTGGAAGCCCCCCCAAAACTAAACTGGGTGTATCAGCTGCCTGGCAGGCTGTAAACCTGACAGGCATTTTGTCAAAAGAGAAAAAATAAGTGGGAGAGAAAGCTACTTAATATTTGATTTTTCAGAACAAACCCACACTATCTTCTAAATAGGTGCATTGTATTTACAGACTGAAACTTTTAAAATGCATATGTTTATACGGAGGCAACTATCTCTTCCCCCCTCCGTTTTTTCCTTGTTGTTGGGACTGTTTTAAAGCTTTGCAAGTGAGAAAAGAGATTTGGATTTGTTTTCCAAAATTGTTTTTAAAAATGCACGTTTCTGTTTTACACACCTAAGTGCCAATAGAAAAAAAAATGTTAATATGGTTTCTTTAATGCAGTCTTTGCATACAATGCAAAAACGAACAAAAAAACCCACCTCTGCCCTATAGCACCCTCCAGGTTGTATGTACTACAACTCCCATCAGCCCTTCACTATCATGGATGATGGGAGTTTTAGTCCTAACATCCGGAAGACACCTGTTTTAGGATGACTGCCCTACAGAAACACACAACTTTAGCTTTGGTATTCTCAGTGCACCAACTCGGAAAAACGTATCACTGATTTCAACACAACTTCCTTTAAGGTAAAATGTTTGCAGTTATGGCCCATATTCAAAGAGACAATGATGTGAAAAATAGCACATCAGAGTTGGGCAACTTTAATCAAAATGCTTTCATCCTGGCCTGATGCTCTGCTCTGTGCCATTTAGATTTGCACTCAACAAATCAAAGAGCCAAAAGATGTCGGAAAAATGAAGGAAAAACAAGATTGAACCTGGCCAGAGTTGTTTCCTAGTTTTTCTGAAGATAGAACCCTGAACTAAAAAATGAACCTAAAATCCTATTCTATATACTACTACTGCTTGTGCTCCATTGACCTTTATCATGGTTTGCATAGGAGAAGCCTGACGGATTGTGTCCAATATGCATGATTATTCCCTGTACCACGTGAAACTGGAGATGTAAGTCAGCAGCAGGCATTAACATAGTGGCATTAAAACGGTCCTTATTTCACAGTGGGAACCAAGCTCAGGTCATAAAACCATCCTGTTAGTTGTAGCTGTTGTAAGGTTAAACGTATGTGTTGTTATTAACAGATGTTTGAAAACTGTGGGTTTTCCTTGCCAGCTGCACCAGAATTGTGAAAGAATAAAAAATTTCCTATGCACATGACGGATGTAGCAGAGTAAGGGCTGGAGCCAGGGTTGAGGGGGGGCCCTTAGTAAAAGACCACTTGGCATTTTAAGTCAGCAAACCCCTAGTGGCAAGGTTGGACAACTGAGAAGCCGCCATTAAAAAATCCCCACGGCATCTCAGAGCAGTCAATGTATTGCCCCACAGCACTGTGGGAAACTAAAAATGGTGGCGCCCAACTGGAAGCCATTTTAATTCCTCACGATGCCCAAGTGATGCTCCGTTGACTGCCCTGGGGCATTGTGGGTAATTTAAAATGGTGGCTCATGGGAGGCATCGGTGAAAGTGGGCCCTGTTGAGGTGCTCAGAGGCTGCAAGGCCGCAACAGCTGTCTGTGGGTGCTTGTAAGTACAGGAAGCCTGAAGTTTCTAAAAACGTGCCATGTCACACTGGTCAGAACTCACAGCCAAAGAGCATAAAACCTGGTTGCCATGTGTTTTGGCCTATACAAAACAGCATACCAGCGGACTGCTACTTGATGCTGTGCTATGACTCAGATGCCGTTTGTGTAGGTTTGGCATGCTGCCACTGAAGAGTGTGTGTGTGTGTGCGCGCACACACATGTGCACACACACACACACATATATATACTCACACAGAGAGAGATTCCAAGGAATATAACTCGACACGACGCGGATGAAACAAAAACAACAAAAGGTCCATAAATACATCCAGTTCAGACATAACAGAACAAAGGTGCCGAAACGTCATGTTCTGTACGTTGACAGAAAAGGAAGCCAACCAAACACCAGATATTGCAAAGGCCGTGGGCTTAAAATTTCAATCTCCATTTCTGTCGGCTTCACTTACCTCCAATGAGGTAAGAGAGTAGAAGCAGCCCTTAAAAGTGGGATAATAATCTCTTATAAAAAGAAGTTTCAAGCTTAAATCTCCATATCAAGAAAGCATTCTACATGGTCAAAGCACGTTAAGAACCGGAGGAGTAACAGCGGCATCAGTGATTTATCCGCATCACATACAAAGTTGAAGTAAGTGGTCAAAGCCCTTTGTTTTTCTTGGAAGGGTCTCTTTCTCTCCCCCAACCCCACCCCACCCGAAACATTTGTTTTCTAAAAATATGGAGTCCGTATTTTAAATAAGGACTCCGGGTTTCCTGCCTGAAAACTTCCTCCCTGCGGGTTTAAAACTGTCTGCCGATCCTTGACTGCATGTCATGACGATACTCCGCAGATGCTAGAATTGGTACTTATCTTTGTGGAAGACACACACCCAAGTTCTGAAATGAAAGGCTGTTCAAGAACTGATCTTGGGCAGATGTAGTTACAGGGCTTTGAACATACATGTGTTGGATATCACGCATACAAATATACATTTACAACACAGACACACAAAAACAGAACACCCGACAACAGGAGGAATGGCGATTCCAGTCTTTTCCCTTCTACCCAGCTAAGAAGTAATCTTGAGGTTGCCGAAGAAACCATCTCAGCAGATGCACCTGGATGAGCTCCAAATTCTCCATGCCACACACATCTGGAAGCCACGAAGGTTTATTGATGGTCTCCTTCCACTCTTCTTTTGCGAACTGTGCCCACAGAGGTGGGGGAAGAGAAACAAGACATGAGACAACGCTGGTGTAAGGCTATCATGTTTCAGTTACTGGAATGACGTCTATTAACAGCCAAGAACTAGGAGGACTAATTGCAGCATCTGTCATGCACATTAAAAATGGTGGCCATGACTGAATTCTCCTACCCTTTAGCGATTTTTAAAAATTTCCTTTGTTTATTATGGGTTGGATCCAAAGTTTCCTTGAGTGAGCACAAAGGGACTTCTGCTTACATAACTAATACCCATCTCGCATTCCACCTATCCCTCTCTCTCCCACTGCGCTGCTCCAAGCCACATCCCATGTCATTCCAAAGCATCCATGACTGATGGATGGTCCATTCTCACCATCCAGCAAGCCAAATTTTAAAAGCCCCACCGAACCTGAAGAACAGCTTGTAATGTGGCAGTGGCTATGCGATGTGGTTAACAAAACAAACCACATCCATGCTGCAGCGCATTGGGACTGCGGAGCTGTTGCTGCAATTACTCTTCCTGTGCCTTTTGCCTGCATAGCAAAGATACTTGATGTTATTCAGCACTTTTTAAAACGGGTCTGGAGTCTTTGCACAGCACAAAAACACAATTCTCAGCAAGCAGGTCATGTTGACCTGAATTGGTAAGAGATTAAAAACACAGCATATTATGCAACAGTTCAAGGAGGTCTCCTACTGCAAACCTTGTTTTGTTTTTTCAAACCAGGCAGGGAAATACCGTATTTTTCGCTCTATAGGACGCACTTTTTCCCCTTCAAAAATGAAGGGGAAATGTGTGTGCGTCCTATGGAGCGAATGCAGGCTCCTTGGCTTTGCGGCGACGCGCCTGTCCTGGAAGCCGGAGGAGGAACAGAAGGGTCTCCTTCTGTTCCTTCTCCAGCCTGCTGAAGAGCGCTGCGCCTTCTCTCCCTCTCTGCGCAGCACCTCTCCTGTGAAGGAGAGGCGCTGCGCAGAGAGAGAGAGAAGGCGCAGCGCCCCTTGAGCAACGCGCCTGTCATGCGAAGCCGGAGGAGGAACAGAAGGGTGCGCCCTATGGTCCGGTGCGCCCTATGGTGCGAAAAATACGGTATTCATTCCAAAACAGTTAATTTGATAAGCCAAAGATTTAGCTGGCCAATTCTGCGCACACAATTCTCTGGCCTTTTAGTTAGGTTAAGAAAACACGTTAGTCCATCACGTCAACAGTGGAGAGAGTCCAAACAGTCTTGTAAATATTTTCAGAAGGTTACTGAACATGTATATTAAGCAAGGAGGAAAAAAAAATGTATCAGCCCTGTATTTTGAAAGGAAACAGTTATTCAAAACTTCTAAGTTTAAATGTACCGAAAACTCATTTTTTGTAAGAATCGGTAACTAAGAAGCTCCCTCCATTGGTGCAGGCAGACCTAGGCTTTGAAGAATCCAATTTGCTTTTTCTAGAACCCGCTGGAGTGTAAAACAGCAGCTCAGAGGCACAGACACACTTATTAATTTAATGAAATTTATATACCACATAAGATATTAACTACATATCTGTGCCTTTTAACTGCAGCTGCTGGTTTGATTCCACAACTTGCAGGCCTAGGGAAAGCAGAAGAAGGTAAAGAGTTGTTGAAGCCCGCTTATACTAGGATTCTCCTGCACATCCTGCACAGGCAATTCATGTTTTTAAAAAGCCCTTCATTTTAACCAATGCGGAACGCAATGGCGCAGTTGATCCCAGTTGGCTTACGCAGCTGATTGGTGGAGGCAGCAAGCATAATTGCGAGCGATGTTATGGGACATCAGGAGAGAGCATTTGTGGGAAACAGCCTCACAGGCCAAAGTGGAACCTGTGCTGGGTCCAGTTAGGTTTGTGGAACAAATGTGCCCCCGTACCCAACTTAAAGGCAATGATAAGCCATTATCGTTGTGTAGCTGGGCCCACAGAATTAAGGAACAAGGAGCCTCTGAGCACATGGCCCAGTACATTTTTTAATTCGGTACTGGAAATGAGCTCACAGTCCTTTCATCTCAAAATTTGATGCCCCTCTCCACCTTTCTTCATTGCAGCGTCCAAACTGGGAAAGAACAAAATGCCCCAAAGATTGGATTATTGGAACACGTTCCACTTTGGAGACGACTTGAAAACCTCCACTGGTCCAAAATGCAGTGGCCAGATAGATTACTGCCAGCGGTTCTGTTTAGATCTTACCTAACGTGTTTTAATACAAGTGCACTGGTTGCTGAGTTTATTTCCAGGCCCAATTTAAGGTGCCCATGTTAGTGTTTAAAGCCCTACAGACCGCTTTGGGTGTTAAGATTGAAGAGGAGACCCTATTGGTTGTTTTCCCATCCTCAGAAGCTTGGGGCTGAGGTGGCTCGGAAAACGGCCTTCTCTGTGGCAGCCCCAAAATTGTGAAATTCTCTCCCAAAACAGGTGCCCCAGGCTTCTCCATTGTACAGCTTTCAGTAAACACCAAACACACATCTTCACCCTGGCTTTTGATATATATTTAGGACCCACCTCAATCTGTGTTTGCAAGATGGTTTGAACTGTTTTTAACATTGTGTTTTAATTGCTGTAACCTGCCCTAAGACCTTAGGGTGAAGGGTGGGTAATAAATACATGATAATAACGTATTTTTGGTGGTGAATATAACATGAATTATGGGAATTACACTAGAACTTAGTCCAACGTTGATTTTATTTAACTGGATCAAGGAGGGTATCCCAAAGGAAGTGAAATCTTTTAATAATAAATTATTATTTTATATCTTTAAAAGACATCTGAAGGCAGCCCTGTTTAGGGAAGTTTTTAATATTTAACGCTGTATTGTTTTTAACACTCGATTGGAAGCCGCCCAGAGTGGCTGGGGAAACTCAGCCAGATGGGCGGGGTATAAATAATAAATTATTATTAAATTATTATTATTATTATCAACAACCTTGTTAACAGCAGCACCCAAACGTGTCGACATGCAAGTGGAAAAGTCCACTTGTTACATTTATTTTGTATTTTTCTTTATTCCGCACCCTACACTTTTGAGCCCAATCAGTTCTGAGCCTGTTCTTTAAAAACAGCGACCCATTATGACACTATATATTGCAACCCATTGCTGCATGAAACTGCCTCAAGAACAGAATTGTACAGGATTTCATTTGCACCTCCCTAATTAATCATGCTATTAGAATGGAATTCCAGAGCCTCCACGAAATGAAAAAAAAGCATGCAGAAGAGTGTGATGGAAACATGGAGCAACAGTGTGCACACGAAGAGCTGTTAGGAGACTCATACAGAGACAAGGAGAGGTTTTAAGAGAGTTTCTCTTGCAGTGTTCAGTACCCAGTTGGGCGTTTGCAATAACCTGTCTCAGAAGCTTCAGGGCTGAAGAGATGAAAGGGCATTTGATGACATTTTTACTCCTATACGCCAAACTAGGAAAGCAAAATAAAAAAGCAAGATATAAATAGATGAGAAAGGATAGACCATCCAGCAATGACATATCACAGCTGGAATTTGGGGCAGCGGTGGAAAACAGGAAAGTTTACAATGTGCTGAGCAGCTTTTTGAAAATGAAAGTAAGAAGAGGCCAAGTTATATTTCCTTAGAAGCCTAGAGTCTTTTCCTGCAGTGTTGAGGGCACCTTTTGCCCTCCATCCCACAGGTGCTTTGCATGTACAGTGGTACTTCGGGTTACATACACTTCAGGTTACATACGCTTCAGGTTACAGACTTCGCTAACCCAGAAATAGTACCTCGGGTGAAGAACTTTGCTTCAGGAGGAGAACAGAAATCGTGCTCCGGCGGCGCGGCGGCAGCAGGAGGCCCCATTAGCTAAAGTGGTGCTTCAGGTTAAGAACAGTTTCAGGTTAAGAACGGACCTCCGGAACGAATTAAGTACTTAACCCGAGGTACCACTGTACTCTTTGTTAGTAGCTGTTCAAGCAACTCTTAAGCTCAGTCAGTAGAGCATGAGTCGCTTCATCTCAGTACAGGGTCATGGTTTTGAGTCCCACATTGGGCAAAAAGATTCTCGCATTGCAAAATGCCCTCAGCCAGCTCTCTACCCAACCACCTTCCTATTTACAAACAGCTGGTCAGCTCCGCCTTAGCCTCAGTGCTGCCCTTTGTAGAACTCAGCGGGGAAGAGGACGGGGCCAAAACTAGAATGGGGTTGGCTCTCCCTGTCAGTGGCTCAGGCACAACAGACTGTTTGGCCTTTGGCCCTACCACTCCCAATAGGCAACATCTACTACCCAGGACACTTGTGGTTAAACCTGCTTGCTTTCCTCCCCATTCCCTCCAATTCCTCTTCCCTTGGGTTTGTTATAAGTCTCAGGGGAGCCACTCTGGAAAACTTTACAGTTAAATAGCAGCATTTTGTGGAAGGAGGCATTACTTGTTCAGGTCTGTTTTATTACATACAGTGGTATCTCGGTTCTCGAACATAATCCGGAAAACCGTTTGACTTCCGTAATGTTCAGAAATCAAGCCGCAAAGGGCAGTCTGCAAATCACATTGAGAAAATCGAAAACAACCAACCCTGGAAGTTAAACACAACAATAATATTTCGTTCGTACAGTAACAAACAGCATTTAAGGTTACATGTAGTTTATTCTCACTACATGATTGAAATTTGTTTTTTGTATTATTTTATGCTCTTCCTGTGCTTGTTGTACAAGTAACAAGAACTGTATTACTGCTTGTTAACTGTATTTATTTTGTTAACTAATAAAGCATTATTTTTTTAAAAAGAGAGAAAATTGAAAAACACGCAGAGGAAGCTGTTTAACTTCTGAGGTGTGTTCAAAAATGGAAGCATTTTCTTCTGGGTTTTCGGTGTTCAGGTTCCGAAACGTTTGTCAATGCAGACATTCGAGAACCGAGGTACCACTGTATTTTGTGTTCGCATTTTGTATTTTTCTGTTGTGAACTGCCTTGGGGTCTTTGGATGAAGGGCAGAATATATTATTATTATTATTATTATTATTATTATCCCTTGACTAAGTAAATCAATCTGGCTGGCCATGAGGAGAAACTAGATGCGGTATTCAATAGGCCAGACGTGGGGAACATTTTGCAGGCAGAAGGCCACATTCCACAGCAGGCAACCTTCTGAGGACTACACACGAGTAGTATGTGGGGTCCTAAGGCAACTGAAGGATGGAGCAATGCAAGTGACTCTTAACCTTTGTTCGGCAGGTTATATTCCAATTATACAAATCCAGCAGTTTCACACCCACCTTCATCCAGGAAAGTAAGATGAATGATCAGAGTTGAAGGACACTTTCCAGCCAGGCAAAAGCAGAAGGAGGCAAGATAAGAGCAACCTAGAGGGCCACATTTAGTTTGAGGTTCCCCACCCCTGAGACAGGCCTTAGGCCTGATCCAACGAGGCTCTTGAAGAGGAATCAATGTGTAGGGGGAGGATATCCGCTGGAGGGGCTGAACTTTTGGTGTCAGTTTTCCTCACAGGCACATTCTTAAACAAATTATGCCAAGTAGCTGCCACTACGCTCAGTGTGACTGAGGCCTGCTGGTTCTGCAGCAGAAAACGCCTTACCCAAATCGTTGTTTTTCGTAATTGCATCCGCTGCTCTGGCTCGCGGTCCCTGCTGTGTGAAGTGATATCCGAACTTGAGGATCTTTGTGTTATCCTCAAGCATCTTCACGATCTCCGTTTCTACAGGGGTCCCCAACTGCTGCCTCTGGTGGAATCAACAAAGCATTAGAAAATCAGCAAACGTCGGTCCAGGGTTGCCCAAAATAAAGTCTCCTAAGCACCTTGGGATTTTTAGATCAGTAGTGGGAACACTGAGATGGGTGATTTGACCCTAAAAGGGTCAGTTAAGAGGAGTTATGTTTCGAATTCAGAAACTATTAAACTTTCAGGCACCAAATTAAACCTTGAGGCAAATCGTCTCCTGCTTTCAATAAGAGTCAGATAGGGTAAAAATAAAATTATTATTATCATTATTAATGCTTTGATACTGCCCTGGCAGCCTCACAACTCACAGTAAGAGCAGTTTGGCAGTCAAACAGACTCCCACAAGAGGTGGTGGACTCTCCTTCCTAGGAGGTTTTTAAGCAGAGGTTGGATGGCCATCTGTCATGGATGCTTTAGCATTGCAGGGGGTTGGACTAGATGACCCTTGGGTCCCTTCCAATTCTATGATTCTATGAACTGACACTGCTTGGGAATTTTAAGAAACTAATAAAAACTCCAGTGATTTTAAGAAGTCAGTGCCATTTTGAAAGGTTTGGTCTGTCATCTTGATTCAGAATGGTGCTCAGTTTTATCCAAACACAGATGAAAACCAGGTTTCAGAAACCATCATGCGTATTTGGTTACGGTATCTTAAGAGGTGTCCAAATGCCCCGAGAGAAAAACAGACAAACCATTTTTTAAAATATAAGATATCAGAGCATATCTAATTATTTAAAAAAATTGTAAGCTCAGGACAGATATGGACTATGTGTGTGCAGAGATTGCAAACCGCATGTTAAAAACAATACCACAACATCCCTATCTCAACTGTCAAAACTAATTTGTTTAATAACTAGTATGTAAAGAGTAGCTAACATTTTTTAAAAAAACAAAACAGCTATTTTTAGTCTCAGCAATTAAAGTTATAGGGCAATTACTGTCATTGGAAGGCGGCTGTTCAAGACCAACACAGAACTAAGCGGGGGAGAGAGAATTAAATTCATGTTGTAGATTAAAAAATGTTACAGGTAGGTAGCCGTGTTGGTCTGCTGTAGTCAAAAAAATTTTTTTAAAAATCCTTCCAGTAGCACCTTAGTGACCAACTAAGTTTGTTATTGGTATGAGCTTTCGTGTGCATGCACACTGTTGCCCAGATGTATAGCTTCAACTTCTGTAGGGACCCTCACACAAGAACCAACTGCACTAACTGTCTCTCTATTTCCATCTGTCTGCCAACTGCTTTCCCAACTGCTTTTCCCAACCAACCAACCAACTAAACCTTGGGCTAACCCCTTTTATAAACAGGTAGGCTCCGCCTCTGGCTTTCTATTGGTCTACCTATTAACTCTTTCTCTCCCCCTGTACAGACATTTTCAAAAGAACGGGCAAACGCCACATCCCTCCCAGATTAAAGAAGTTTGATCAGTAGGGATAACTGAACAGAGGAAAAATTATTAACTGTCCATGGTTAACCTTCATCATCGGGTCTGATCAAACTTCTTTAAGGGGGGAGGGAGCCAGGATAAAAGTTAGAGCCAGGATAAAATAAGACTAAGAGGGTAAAGGGTAACAGCGTTTCAAATGCATTTAAAGTTTATTTCTACCTCCCCTCACACAAGAATCATCGAGTCTTCTTGATAAAGCATCGGCCACAATGTTTAGTTAGTTGGTTGGTTGGGAAGAAGCAGTTGGGAAAGCAGTTGGCAGACAGATGGAAATAGAGAGACATGCACACGAAAGATCATACCAATAACAAGGTGCTACTGGAAGGATTTTTTTTATTTAAAAAATGCTTCAGGAAAGGATTAATTACTCCAAAGGCATCACTCCTCTGAAGGGTAAAATTGCCTAATTTGTCCCACTACAACATTCAGGCTGAAAGGAGACATTTGAAATGTGTAATGCGGCCAATAGGCCCTCACTTTCAATCTCTCAGCCCTCTGAGTGTTCAGTAGAAGGTCTGAATGCAGAATCTATGCAGTTACAGCTTCCACCAAACAGTGTCATTTGAGAGGTGGACCAATAGCTCAACCTTCAGCCTCACCCCCACCAAACTAGAATTATTTATTTTTCACAACAAAGCTTTGGATCCTGGCTAGCCTGCACTTTGACAGTTAACTTTGCATAAGAAGCAGCTGAAGTTACCTGGTTATCGATCTTTATTTCGGTCAGGGTTTCGTTCTCCTTGAGTGCTTCGACCAATGCCAATATGCCCACACCGGTGATGAAGTTGGATTCAATGTTTAGACTCTTCAGTGTTTTGTTCACCCTCAGCATGTCGGCAAAAGCCTTGAAATACAAAGAGGTGTCAATGAAATCAGCCCATAAGGAAAACCAAAGTAGAGTACGACCATGTCAGGCATGAATGAAAGCCTACACCATAACGGTCAATACCCAAAAGGCGATGAGAGTGACGGTGTCCTGGTTCAAGACTTCCCTTCCACCAACATCTTACAATGCTTTCAGCCTTGCCTCATCCTGCAAACCTGGCTAAATTCTACAGCGCAACAGTATCACCTAGGCTTCAGAAACTACCGGAACACTGTCAGCTGACCAACCCCTGGCCAATCAGAGCCCACCAGGCCCTATAAAAACCCAAACATCCAAGTCAATTTCTCAGTTTGAACAACTCATTATTGTGAAAAGCTGCTGAAGGGACTAGTCTTGCCTCATCTCCCCCTCATTATCATTTTATCATTTTTCATTTGTATACCGCCTTTCTATCTTACAATACTCAAGGCGGTTTACAAGCTGAAGAAACAAAAAATGTACATCTTATGACAATCTAATGCAATACAAAAATGTGATAATAAACCATAACTTTAATATAGGCAACCTCCATCAAAAAAGTAACATTCAACAATCATTGGAATAGTATAAAATAATAATATCAACATATAAAAGTTAAACAGAAATCCACTCAACAGTTAAAATAATATCTAAACTATAATCAATAAAACAACCCTCTCGTGCCCCTGACCCTTCTGACTATGTCCTCTGGTTCTTGCACCAGAATGAGACCCCTAGTGTCAGCCTTAGTCTGAGCTTATCCAAGGCACAACAGGTTTTGAAAGCATCTCTCCCTCATGCACCGCCTTTTACCTTAACTCAATTGTTTTGAGTACCTCGTTTCAAGACAACACCCTAGATTAGCGAACCCTGGAATCTCACTTACGACAGCAACAGGGTCGTTGCTCCGAGTAGCCGCAAGGCTGAAGCTCTTCACGTAAGTATTTGTTTCCAATGCCTTGGCAAATTCTTTCAGTGTTGGAATGGGAATGTTCTTCAATCAAAATTAAAAGAGAATAAGACACAATTAATATTTTGATGGCAGTTCCCTCCTTCCTTCAACTTGGGAGAAGTGGGGCCCTTGGTCTATTTTCACGAGGGAGGAAAACGAGGGGAGAGGGTGGCAGAAAGAGAGATGCCCCACACTAAACATATAAATAATAAGAATAAGAATAAGAATACCCCGCCCATCTGGCTGGGTTTCCCCAGCCACTCTGGGCAGCTTCCAACTTTAAATAGTCATGGCTTCCAGCAAGTAATCTTGGGAGCTGTAGTTTTGTTAAGGGTGCTGAGAGTTGTTACGGGGTTCCTTTTCCCTTTCAGAGAGCTAAAATTCCCAGAATGGTTCACAGTGAATCCAAGGAACTCTGAGAACAGGGATTTCCTAAAAACTCTCAGCAAGGACAGCATGTGCCACTGTAAATATCCACAGGTCAAAAAACCAAAATAAAAACAATACAGTCGTACCTTGGATCCCGAATGCCCTGGAACTCGTACGCTTTGGCTCCCAAATGCCGCAAACCCGGAAGTAATTGTTCCGGTTTGCAAATGTTCTTTTGGAACCCAAACATCCGACGAGGATTCCACAGCTTCTGATTGGTTGCAGGAACTTCCTGCAGCCAATCAGAAGCTGCAATTTGGTTTTGGAAGTCGAACGGAATCCAAGGTACGACTAATTAAATAACAATTTGCATTGTACTAAGTTAAGCACACTATTTGCCATCATAAAACACTGGAGCCACATTGCCATGGACACAGAAATTCCAGTCATTTTGAAAGCTACATTTCTGGACTCCAGGAACAGGCACCTGTACCCCACCGGATGCTGTTAGACTCCCATCAGCCTTGGCCAACGTGGTTGAGTCAGGGATCATGGGAGTTGTAGTCCAGCAACATCTGGAGAGCCACTGGCTTTCCATCCCTGCTGTTCTCTGTATGCTTCACAGTTACCTTTATGTTGTTCAAGTTGACTTCAACAAGGCGTGAATCGTTGTCTTTAATCCTTTGCAAACTCTCCTCTACGTTTGTGGGATTTGGTGGCTCGTTGAAGATGGGCATGATCTTTTCGCCTTTGACCACATCTGAATCGAGAGACAGGGAATGTGAGAAACACGAACATTGAATTTTTCAATCACACACCCCAAACGGCGCCGGTACTAGTTTTAAAATACAGGTTCAGGTGTTGCAACATTTTTCTGTCAGGGCAAACTGTCAACTACCATCAACAAAATTCCACAGGGAGAAGTCTGTAGTATGGAAACATAGGGATAAACCAAAGTACACAGCACAACCTCCCATATCTTGAATTCTTTAAAAAATATATTGCCAGAGCCCATGCCAATGCAATGCAGAAGGAAACTCAATTCTATTCCAATTTAATTGTAAAAAACTAATGTTTAAAATGTTTTAATTTGAAAGACAGTTACATTGATCTTTTAATTTACTCCATGATGGTATCTGATGGTTGCTTATTTTTATATGTTTTATTACAAATACTGTGTGTGTGTGTGTGTGTGTGTGTGTGTGTGTGTGTTTTAAATTTTCCTTCTCTGACTATTTGTGGGAGGTTATTGAGTCGTTCTTGTTTTTATTTTGATTATGTATTTTGTGTTTTAATATTGTGATTTTATCTTGTGAACCGCCCTGAGACCTGTGGATATAGGACAGTATATACATTTTAATAATAATAGTAATGGAAAACAAAATTCTTTACAATGCCCCACCGCTTCCTCAAGATGTCATGTGTTACTGATATTGGGAGAACTTTAAATGAAAAATCTGGAATGGTAAAAAGATAAATTACAGGTTGTATCCCACTAAATTGTACTCGTAGTAGACCACCTGAAATTAGGGGGTCTGCTCTGAATGCGTCTGATACAACCATACAAACAAATCATTACATCCCTTTATGAGTATTGTGTTGGACCGCCAATGGGTTGCCGCTCCCAAAAAATCCTTCCTCCAACAGAAAGGATCTTGAGGAGAGTTCCCTGGAAAGAAGGACTGACTGTTAAATCATGATGAGCTCTGTTGCATTGTGGTGGGGAAGCCATGACTATGTAAAGTGGTAGGACACTGCTTTAAATGTATAGTGTTTGTGGGAGGGAGGGGTGATTGGAAAAAACCCGGTGTCGGTGCTGACCTTTAAAGCCCTAAATGGTCTCAGCCCAATATCCCTGAAGGAGCGTCTCCAGCCCCATTGTTCAGCCCGGACACTGAGATCTAGCATGCAGGGCCTTCTGGTGGTTCCCTCACTGCGAGAGGTGAGGTTGCAGGGAACCAGGCAGAGGGCCTTCTCGGTAGTGGTGCCTGCCCTGTGGAACGCCCTCCCATCCGATGTGAAAGAAATAAAACAACTATCTAACTTTTAGAAGACATCTGAAGGCTGCCTTGTTTAGGAAAGTTTTTAAATGTTTGATGTTTTATTCCAGGCTTTTTAAACCTCGGCCCTCCAGATGTTTTTGAGACTACAATTCCCATCATCCCTGATCACTGGTCTTGCTAGCTAGGGATCATGGGAGTTGTAGGCCAAAAACATCTGGAGGTCCAAGGTTGAGGAAGCCTGTTTTATTGTGTTTTATTGTGTTTTAATGTTCTGTTGGGAGCCGCCCAGAGTGGCTGGGGAAACCCAGCCTGATAGGCAGGGTATAAGTAAACTATTCTTATTCTTGTTCTTGTTCAGTTGCTGGGAATTGTACAGTGGTGCCCCGCAAGACGAATGCCTCGCAAGACGAAAAACCCACTAGACAAAAGGGTTTTCCGTTTTTCGATGCGCTTCGCAAGACGAATTTCCCTATGGGCTTGCTTCGCTAGACGAAAAAGTCTTGCGATTTTTTTCGCTCCCCCCCCCCTTTTTCTAAGCCGCTAAGCCGCTAATAGCCTTTTAGCCGCTAAGCTGCTAAGCCTTTAATAGCCGCTAAACCGCTAATAGCGCTAATCCGCTAAGCCGCTAATAGGGTTGCTTCGCAAGACGAAAAAACCGCTAGACGAAGAGACTCACGGAACGGATTATTTTTGTCTTGCGAGGCACCACTGTAACTCTGTGAGAGGTAAACTTCAGTGCCCGGGATTCTCTGAGGGAAAGAAGGAGGGTCAGACGCTTGGCAGCTTCCTGAAGTTGCCCAGTGGTTCCCTGGGCCTGGCAGAGAGAGCGTTCCTGGAGCCCAGAGCCCATTGGCTTCCGTCCTTGGCCAGGCTCTGACCTCACAACCAGCTGTGGAATCCTGGGGAATGTTTTGTTTCCTAGGAAACCAGGTGGTTGCTTGAAAGAATCCCTGGGTCAGTTGAAAGCCAGTTGGATCAGTTAGCAGCCCATAAAGCAGCGATTCTTCTTTTGTGGTCTTGGAAGTTGTTTGACGGACTTTCTGGACCTTTTTGGTTCTGAAGATCTTTGTGGCACTGGTGGTGTAGAAGGTAAAGTCATGGGAAAGATGGGAGGCACAGTGGCGGAGGAAGGGGGGGTGCCCCGCCCCAGGTGTCATCACTGGGCGGACGGGACAAAATGATTTTATTTTTTTTAAAGGGCTCACGAAACTTTTTAGGAGTGACATGGTGGCTTAGCTGCCTGCAGGTTCCGTCTGCCTGAAATGGCAGCGTGGGACTTGCGTCTGCCTACTGCCTCTCCCTCAGCCGCCTTACAGCTATGGAATCCTGGGGAATGTTTTGTTTCCTAGGAGGCCAGGTGAGTTCTTTGAAAGGATCCCTGGCTGAAAGCCCAGTCAGTTGGATCAGTTGGCAGCCATTCAGATCCCTTCTTCTGTTCTTGTCTTGTCTTGAAAGCTGTTCAGATGGATTGACTGACTTTCTGGACCTTTTCGGTTTTGTACCCCCATGGCACAATGTGCCGGTAGTTGTGCAGAAGGTAAAGTCATGGGAAAGAGGGGAGACATCCTGAAGATTCGTGCCCCCACCACATGCCCAGTTTTTAAAGATGCTCCTTGGACCAATGTTAATGTTTTATCAGTTTAATTTATTATTATTATTATAATTCTGTTGGGAGCTGCCCAGGGTGGCTGGGGAAACCCAGCCAGATGGGCGGGATATAAATAATAAATAGTTGTTGTTGTGCAGATGGGGCATAAAACTGTGCAATTAAGCCTCACAGGAATATTATGACGAGAAGAGCCTCTTGAACCTCCTTAACAAAGGCATAAGAGACCCACAAAGTCACCTCTCACAACAGAGTAGCCTTGGCACGCCGAAGGAATCCTATTAAGCTGCTGCCTTGTCCAGGACAATAGCTTAGGACACTTTAAAATAAAAATGGCACACAAAAAGAATCCACCATGCGTCTGCATGTGCTCAATTGCATTAGGAAACCCCAATGCAATCAGCGAGGCTCACTTTCAGTCGAACCCACAATGTTGCATTTCTGGACTTTCAGCATGAAACTCACTTGAGAAACTTTCATTGGCGACACCGTTGCTACTTCCCACAATATCGCAAAACTGAGAGTTGCTTATCAAGTTGTGCATTCCCAGGATAGCTGTTCAGGAGAAAGGAGAAACAAACAGCGGTTAGGTTTTGCAGCTGGGCCCTTAAGGCAACGGAAACATGAATCTGCAGCAGAATTTCCCAAAGACCAAAGTCATTCTTACGACTCCTTGTACAGCGCCACTAACATGCATGCACTCTTCTGAGATATGGCTCACACCATCATCATCTATGCCAGAGACTGGAACCTGTGGCTCTCCTGATATTGTTGGGACTCCCCACTCCCACCAGCCCCAGCCAACATGGCGGATGGTTAGGGATGATGGGAGTTGTAGTCCAATCATTCGTGGCTTCCCATCCCTGCTGTAGGAAGAAGCCTTAAGAATACTTATATGCAGGAGCATGCTTTTAGAAAAGCTAAATCAAACTCAACACACACATACACACCAACCAACCTGCAATGTCACATAGTTCAGTGTCTGTAGCACTTGTCAATGCTTCCTCCAGTTCCGGATCAAGACTCACTTTTTCTTCTGTGTAAGACTGTACTGGCTTTGGCTTTGGAATAAATACTTTCCCTGTTCAAAAGAGGAGGACAGCTGTTTTAGGATATTATCGGTGCTCAGCTTTCGACAACCTTGCAGGATCCTGAAATCACATTGCATGATGATCAGTAGCTTACAAAGTCAATACAGTGGTACCTCAGGTTACATACGCTTCAGGTTACAGACTCTGCTAACCCAGAAATATTACCTCGGGTTAAGAACTTTGCTTCAGGATGAGAACAGAAATCGTGCAGCAGCAACGGCGCAGCAGAAGGAGGCCCCATTAGCTAAAGTGGTGCTTCAGGTGAAGAACAGTTTCAGGTTAAGAACAGACCTCCAGAACAAATTAAGTTCTTAACCCAAGGTACCACTGTACTCACCAAACCAAACCAAACCACATCGCTAAAGGGGTAATGCCTCAGTCCTGTATACCTGGAGTGTCTCCACCCCCATCACTCAGCCCAGACACTGAGATCTAGCATGCAGGGCCTTCTGGTGGTTCCCTAACTGAGAGACACAAGGTTACAGGGAACCAGGCAGAGGGCCTTCTTGGTAGTGGCGCCCGCCTTGTGGAACGCCCTCCCATCAGATGGCAAGGAAATAAACAACTATTCGGCTTTTAGAAGACATCTGAAGGCAGCCCTGTGTAGGGAAGTTTTTAATGTTTGATGTTTTGTTATGTTTTATATGTGCTGGAAGCCACCCAGAGTGGCTGCGGCAACCCAGCCTGATGGGCACGATACAAATAACAAAATTATTCTAATGATTATTATTGAATAAGGTAAAGGTAAAGGGACCCCTGACCGTTAGGTCCAGTCGTGACCGACTCTGGGGTTGCGGCGCTCATCTCGCTTTATTGGCCGAGGGAGCCGGTGTACAGCTTCCGGGTCATGTGGCCAGCATGACTAAGCCGCTTCTGGCGAACCAGAGCAGTGCATGGAAACGCCGTTTACCTTCCCGCTGGAACGGTACCTATTTATCTACTTGCAGTTTGTGCTTTCGAACTGCTAGGTTGGCAGTAGCAGGGACCGAGCAACGGGAGCTCACCCTATCATGGGGATTCGAACCGCCAACCTTCTGATCAGCAAGTCCTAGGCTCTGTGGTTTAACCCACAGCGCCACCCGCGTCCCTTATTATTGAATAGGACGTCCCTATTTTCATCAGAGGAATCTTGGAGGGTATGTGAGCAAGGAGGATGAAAGAATGAGGAGCGTGTGTGGCTCTGGGAGAGTCCCAAAGACACATACAGAGAAGCATAGAGGGTCACATTAAACACCCCCACCCCAGGCCAGAGATTCCCCACTGCTAATATACAGCATATACTGCCGCTCAAAAATGGCTTTATTTGTTTATTTAAATTACTGGGATAGCTCAGTCAGTAAAGTAGAAGACTCTTAATCTCAGGGTCATGGGACTCAAGTCCCATGTTGGGCAAAAGATTCCTGCATTGCAAGGGGTTAGACTAGATGACCCTCATGGTCCCTTCCAACTCTACAATTCTATAATTCTAATCACAGCACCTAATGAGCATACCCAAGCCCTCATGAACTACCCCAAAGGTACTTCCTTGGATCCTGGCCTAGATCATTATCACCATTAAAGGCTGCATTCCACAACAAACATGTCAGCCTGTCTACCAGTTCGATATAGACTGCATTTGCCAAATTGAACACGAAAATTCAGCTATTACATCTAGATAGAGATCAGTGAGTAGCTCAGTAATCCGACAACATAATTGGCTTCAGTCTTTTGATTGCAATGCATCTGAGCAATTTTTGGCCCATTTTAAATTGCAGGCAAAACTTAAATCAGCATTTGCCAGATGTTCTGTATGGATGCCTGATGGCACCAGGTTGGCACAGCCAGGCTTGATGGGGGCTGATGGGTTGTCAAATTCCAGGGCATCAGATTGGGAAAGGCTGCTGGAAATGGTGCTTCAGACATCTCTCTGATGGATGCCTGACAGCAGTACGTGAAATATTTCTCTGCTAAGGCATTCTGAGTAATTCAGTAGATGGCACTCCTATCCCAATTTGCTGCCTTGATGGCAGAAAGTGAGGAGGAATTAAAGAACCTTTTAATGAGGGTGAAAGAGGAGAGCGCAAAATATGGTCTGAAGCTCAACATCAAAAAAACGAAGATCATGGCCACTGGGCCCATCACCTCCTGGCAAATAGAAGGGGAAGAAATGGAGGCAGTGAGAGATTTTACTTTCTTGGGCTCCATGATCACTGCAGATGGCGACAGCAGTCACGAAATTAAAAGACGCCTGCTCCTTGGGAGAAAGGCGATGGCAAACCTAGACAGCATCTTAAAAAGCAGAGACATCACCTTGCCAACAAAGGTCCGTATAGTTAAAGCCATGGTTTGCCCAGTAGTGATGTATGGAAGTGAGAGCTGGACCATAAAGAAGGCTGATCGCTGAAGAATTGATGCTTTTGAACTATGGTGCTGGAGGAGACTCTCAAGAGTCCCATGGACTGCAAGAAGATCAAACGTATCCATTCTTAAGGAAATCAGCCCTGAGTGCTCACTGGAAGGACAGATCGTGAAGCTGAGGCTCAAATACTTTGGCCACCTCATGAGAAGAGAAGACTCCCTGGAAAAGACCCTGATGTTGGGAAAGATGGAGGGCACAAGGAGAAGGGGACGACAGAGGACGAGATGGTTGGACAGTGTTCTCGAAGTTACAAACATGAGTTTGACCAAACTGCGGGAGGCAGTGGAAGACAGAAGTGCCTGGCATGCTCTGGTCCATGGGGTCACGAAGAGTCGGACACGACTAAACGACTAAACAACAACAACAAATGAGAGCAAACATAGGAACGACCGTGGAGCTGAATATGTGTGTTCAGTATGAGAAAGTTGTAAATGCACATAGATGCAACCAACCCGTGCAGCAGGAAAACCCAGAGGAGGGGTGGGCAACCTTTAGCTCTCCAAATGTTGCTGAACTACAACTCCCATCATCCCCAGCAAGCATGGTCAATGGCGATGGGAGTTGTAGTTCAGAAACATCTGGAGGGCCAAAGTTTCCCTACCCTTGAGCTAGAGGATTGAGAGACGTGCAGGAACCTAAGAAGAAGCCTTAAGCCAGCTCAGACTAATGCCCACCTATCCCAATATCGCAGACTCTGACTGGCAACAGCTCTCCTGGCAGAAAGGGTCTTCTTTCCCTTCGCCCTGCTACCTGATCCCCATTACTGTCGAATGAAGCCTTGAACCGTCTGCATGCAAAGCACATATTCTACCAATGAGCTATCAAAACAGGAGCTTCTAACTCCAATTCCCATCAGCCCCAGTTGCCATGACCAATAGTCAAGGATGATGGGAGTTGTAGGACACTGCACTGGAGCAGACTGGACCATACCTCCAGACCATAGTCAAGGCCCCTGCTCTGTGTTTACCCACCATCTGAGTTACAGAGAGTGGCAACCCCGGCACTGAGATTACGGGACTCCCTTGCTCTGGGACCAATACTCTGCTCCATCCCTTCTTGGCTTTCAGATCCCAGAAAAAGCTGTGATTCTGAGGGCTTCTGCAGATCCTGAAGGAGACTCCAGAAGGTTCTGAAAGCCTGTCTCCATCCCTAGAGACCCTCTTGGGCGTCAAGGTCATTGGAGGGGGCTCTGTCAGTAGTTCCACCACTCCCATAAGTGTGAGGAATGGCGGTATGTGAAAGGGTTTTCTCTGTGGCAGCCCCTAATTTGTAGAAATCCCTCTTCACAGAGGCATCTTCACTGCATATTCCCCTATACGCTGAAGAAACATTTATTTACTTGAGAGTTAAGGTATTTTGTTTTGTGGGACCAATCCTTTTTGATGAATCTATACTTGCTATGTTTAATACTTATTCATGTTTTTAATTTGTAGGAAGCCACCCAGAGCGGCTGGGGCAACTCAGTCAGATGGGTGACATATAATTATCATCATCATCTTATTCTTCATCATCAACTTGGTTGGAACAATTTGACTTTTTAAAATAATTCTAATCTTTTAAAATTACTGTATGGTTACCGTGCTGCAACCCATCCTGACACCGTATGGAGGGCAGGCCAGAAATCTTATAAGTAAATCTAGATAAATAATTCCTGCTTCTCCTAGCCATTTTGCTTGGACCAAGCACTTTTATTTTACGTTGTGGATTCTGTATATTAAAAAAAAAAAAGACAGAGAACAAGATACAGCAGCCTTTCTCAATCTTGGGTCTGTAGATGTTGTTGGACTACAACTCCCATTATCCCTAGCTTGCAGGACGTGTGGTCAGGAATGATGGGAGTTGTTGTCCAACAACATCTGTGGACCCAAGGTTGAGAAAGGCTGGGATACAGGCATAATAATGAAGCAAGAAAGGGCAGCATCTTTTGCTGAAAAGTGAATCTCGCCAAACAGTGTCAAGCCTCCCTTTCCAGCTCATCACCATCTGGTTCTGTTTTCCTTGAATTCACTTTCACGTTGTCACAAGTCTTGGCAAGAGCCAACTTTGATCTTCAAGATAAAAGGAAATGAAACGGGGTGGGGGGAATCAAATATGTCTGGAATCCATCTTAGCAATATTACAAGCAATGGAAGACTAAAGGGTCGGAGTTTTTATGGCACAGAAAACTTGGACGTAGATCTGATGGGATGACTCAAGACCCACTTTTGCCCTGGACTCGTTTTATAGTCTTTAGAGGTCCATGTCGAAAAAAATATGACTGATATTGAACTTGATTCTGCAAGGCCTCCAAGACACCATGTACAATAGGGCCTGTGGGTTGCAGCCTATTAAATCCTACTTAAGGGTAAGCACCTTGAAATCAACGGACAATAGCCAGTCATGCACATTAATTGCAATGGGTGTGCTCTGAATAGGCCTGAAAATGGGTTCAATCCTATGAACCAAAAGTTTTCAGAACCAAAATGGGAGACAGAAGATTTACCACAACTAATTGAGAGCTGCTTTCTTCATATACAGTGGTACGTTGGTTTAAGAACTTAATTCATTCTGGAGGTCCGTTCTTAACCTGAAACAGTTCTTAACCTGAAGCACCACTTTAGCTAAAGGGGCCTCCCGCTGCCGCCGCTGCGCAATTTCTGTTCTCATCCTGAAGCAAAGTTCTTAACCTGAGGTACTATTTCTGGGTTAGCGGAGTCTGTAACCTGAAGCGTCTGTAACCTGAGGTACCACTGTACAGGGATGATCTCATCAACGATGGCGTATATCATCATCTTCAGCTGATAGACCGGAACACATAACTGGGCCACTACGCAGCCTATAGTGGTTTGCAGCAATGGCAACATCACTATTTAGTGGTGCGTTGTTGTTTTTAATGGGTTGTTTCCTTCTTTTTTAAAAAAGACGATAGGAAAACAAGTGCTGAAAAGTAAACACGTACATTTAAAAGCAGACCTCATGCTGCTGGTTGGATATGATAGCGCACAGGAACATGTGAAGTTGTCTCATGCCACAGATCTATCCACCTCATGCCCTCCAGATAACAAGATAGGATGAGGCTGCTAGATCAGGGCATTGGTCCACCTAGTTCAGCATCCTGTCCTCACCACGGCCAGCAAGATGCCTGCAAGCTGGGCATGAATACAACTGCCCTCTGCCTGCCTGCGATTCCCAGAAATTGACATTGAAAGACATTTGACAATGGAGGAGGTAGAACAGGGGTAGGCAAACTAAGCCCCAGGGGCCGGATGCAGCCCAATCGCCTTCTCAATCCAGCCCGCGGACAGTCTGGGAATCAGCGTGTTTTCACATGAGTAGAATGTATCCTTTTATTTAAAATGCACCTCTGGGTTATTTGTGGGGGCCTGCCTGGTGTTTTTACATGAGTAGAATGTGTGCTTTTATTTAAAATGCATCTCTGGGTTATTTGTGGGGCATAGGAATTCGTTCATTTCCCCCCAAAAAAGATACAGTGGTACCTCGGGTTAAGAACTTAATTCATTCTGGAGGTCCGTTCTTAACTGGAAACTGTTCTTAACCTGAGGTACCACTTTAGCTAAGGAGGCCTCCTGCTGCCGCCGCAGCACGATTACTGCTCTCATCCTGAAGCAAAGTTCTTAACCCGAGGTAATATTTCTGGGTTATCAGAGTCTGTAACCTGAAGCGTCTGTAACCCGAGGTACCACTGTAGTCCGGCCCACCACATGGTCTGAGGGACGGTAGACCAGCCCACGGCTGAAAAAGTTTGCTGACCCCTGAGGTAGAACATCATAGCTAGCAGCCGTTGATAGCCTTCCCCTCTAAGAAATTCTCTCACCCTCTTTGGAAGCCTTCCAAGTTAGTGGCCATCACTGCCTCCCATGCTGAGGACTGAATTTGGGACTTTCTGCACACAAGGACAGTGCTCTACCAAAGAGTTATGAATGCTCCCCAATTATATAGCAAGTCTGAAAAAGCTGAAAGCAATGGATATACATTACATGCTCCCTTCTCTCTTTTACTTTTCTCTGCCTGTGATAGCCTTCACAATTGCATTTCTGTTCCTTCTGATTAGCATTATTCTTCATGGTATGCAACAGGAAAAGAACCTTGTTATTAAAAACAGAATTGGCTCCACAAAAGAGGGCTCTGAGGCAATCTGACGAAAACGCGCAAGCTGCCACCCCCCTCGGCAACATGGCAAGCGCGCAACTGGGGAAAAGCACCTCCCTCCTGGTTTTTTTCCAGGGGAAAAGCTGCCAGTTCCCATTCTTGTGCCTTTCCTGTCCATTTGTTTCCATTATTAAACCTAGCACTGCAAAGCTGCACGTTAAGAACTGAGGCGGCTCAGCCTTCTCCCACAGCTGCAAAGCATTCTGGGTTCTGCAAAGGCTGCAACACTACAGAGGCGATGAAATCTCTATGAAAAGCACAAAATGGGTACTGTCCAAAATTCACTGTGAGCACCTAACCTGGATTCCCCATGGCAGACTCTGCAGAACAGCCATAAACGTACCGTATTTTTCGCTCCATTGGACACAGTTTTTCCCCTCCAAAAATTGAGGGGAAATGTGTGTGCGTCCTATGGAGCGAATGCAGGCTTGTGCCATAGCTGCGCGCAACTCCTCCGGCAGGGAGAGGCTGCAAGGGGCTATGGCTTCTTTAGCCCTGCGCAGCTTCTCCCGGGAGGGAGAGGTTGCATGGGGCTAAACAGGAAGCCAAAGCAGCCAGTGGGATCCATCCCGCTCGCTGCCTTGGTTTGTGCCATAGCCGCGCAACCACTCTGGCAGGGAGAGGTTGTGGGCAGCCTGTACGCTGCTCTTTGGGGCTGGGGGGGGGGAGATCTTTTTTTATTGATTTCCCCATCTAAAAACTAGGTGCACCCTATGGTCCGGTGCGCCCTATGGTGCGAAAAATACGGTACAGTGGTACCTCGCAAGACGAAAAACTCACAAGACGAAAGAGTTTTTCGTTTTTTGAGTTGCTTCGCAAGACGAATTTCCCCATGGGCTTGCTTCGCAAGACGAAAACGTCTTGCAAGTTTGTTTCCTTTTGGATTTTCAATGCATTCCTATGGGAAACCGTGCTTCGCAAGATAAAAAATTCGCAAGACGAAAAAACTCGCAGAACGAATACATTTCGTCTTGCGAGGCACCACTGTACACCTTTGAGAATGTAAAGGAAAGCCCTGCTGCTCCAGGCTAACAACTCATCTACCTGTAGTTCAACACTGCCTCTGAGAGTGGAGGTAGACTATGAACAATAGCATACTTGTGACAGAGGAAGCCTGGACGACCAGGCAACGGCCTTATTATTATTTATTGAGTTTATATACCACCCTATAAGGGACGCGGGTGGCGCTGCGGGTTAAACCACAGAGCCTAGGACTTGCCGATCAGAAGGTCGGCGGTTCGAATCCCTGCGACGGGGTGAGCTCCCGTTGTTCAGTCCCAGCTCCTGCCAACCTAGCAGTTCAAAAGCATGTCAAAGTGCAAGTAGATAAATAGGTACCGCTCCGGCAGGAAGGTAAACGGCATTTCTGTGAGCTGCTCTGGTTCGCCAGAAGCGGCTTTGTCATGCTGGCCACATGACCCAGAAGCTGTACGCTGGCTCCCTCGGCCAATAAAGTGAGATGAGTGCCACAACCCCAGAGTCGGTCACGATTGGACCTAATGGTCAGGGGTCCCTTTACCTTTTACCTTTATACCACCCTATACCTGGAGGTCTCGGGGCAGTTCACAGAAAAGATCACAACATATATAATCGGAATAAAAACAACAACCCAATAACACCCCCCAAAGAAAAGAGCCACATTTTAAAAGGGCATAGGATGTCAAACAGATCAGCCAAAGGCCTGGCTAAAAAGGAACGTTTTTGTCTGGCGCCTAAAGGTGTATAATGAAGGTGCCAGGCAAACTTCTCCGGGGGGAGCGCATTTCACAGAAGGGGAGCCACTGCAGAGAAGGCCCCGTTCTCGTGTTGCCACCCTCCGGACCTCTCAAGGAGGCGACACACGAAGAAGGGCCTCAGAAGGTGATCTCAGGGTCCAGGTAAGTTCATATGGGAAGAGGCGGTCCTGAGCCAGTGGAGCAGAGCACAGTTTGTGCTATTTCCCTTCCATTGCAGTTCCAGGAGTGCACTTTGGCCAAAGCGCACACACACAGAAACTTTCTCACACAGCTCTGAAGAACTTCTGAAGTACTCAAAGATAAGGAGTGTGAGAGTCACCGGATGGCAACTCCCCACAGACCATTGGCTGTGTTGGCTGAGGCTGAGGGAGTCCCCATAACCGACCCAAATTTAAACACTGCTTTGTTCTTCCCTTTTAAACACTGTGATCAATGCCACAGTGAGCTGGTTTAGCTGCTGCCTCATGCAATCAACGACAACAAAAAAGACCCTCACACAAATGCAAACTTGGTCTCACTGGAGCTCGCAGCGAGTCTCGTCTTGCGCAGACCCACCCTTATTTCTGTTCTGAGAACACTTCCGAGATTCCTTTCCAGGTAATGAGCAAATACGCTCAAAACTCAAGCTCATTGTTCAGTCGCTGTGAGGGCAAAACTCTGCACAGCCTTTGGAAACAATGACATAACTATACAGGCAGGGAGCCAAGTGAGAGCTTTTCGAGATTCCTCTCGCCCGACATGCACCAACACAAACGTTGTCGAAAGGACACATCTGCACTTGAGCTTGCAAGGGCCACAGGAGTGTTTCTGCTGATAATCTGGGAACATTTCATTTCTCTAAGGAGGAGATCACATAGTAGAGTGGTTTTTTGGGGGAGGGAGAACGCACATATCAAAACCCACAAGACGACCCGGATTGTCGCCAGATTCTGCGCACAGATCTGTAGGTGCAGACCATCCCCCAATTCAATCTAGTTTGTTAAGAAAATTCCCAAACTCGGATCCACGGGCGACTCGGGGTCATTTCTCTAAGGTTGTCTATCTTAAAGTTTTTATGTGTTTATATGCCTATCACACTTTTAAACTTAAAATCCATTGTTGTATATTGTTTTAAATGTTTGTTTTGCTAGTGGGATTGTAGTTCCATTTGTGTTTCTTAAGCTGGTCTCTGATCGCAATAAATCTCATGTTTCATATCAAAACACCAACAACTTGGCATAAGAGTTCCGAAGGGTCATCCTCTTCATCCTGGAGAAGAGTGACTAGTGGGGTGCCACAGGGTTCTGTCTTGGGCCTGGTCTTATTCAACATCTTTATCAACGACTTGGATGATGGACTCAAGGGCATCCTGATCAAATTTGCAGATGACACCAAACTGGGAGGGGTGGCTAACACCCCAGAGGACAGGATCACACTTCAAAATGACCTTGACAGATTAGAGAACTGGGCCAAAACAAACAAGATGAATTTTAACAGGGAGAAATGTAAAGTATTGCACTTGGGCAAAAAAAATGAGAGGCATAAATACAAAATGGGTGACACCTGGCTTGAGAGCAGTACATGTGAAAAGGATCTAGGAGTCTTGGTTGACCACAAACTTGACATGAGCCATCAGTGTGACGCGGCAGCTAAAAAAGCCAATGCAATTCTGGGCTGCATCAATAGGAGTATAGCATCTAGATCCAGGGAAGTAATAGTGCCACTGTATTCTGCTCTGGTCAGACCTCACCTGGAGTACTGTGTCCAGTTCTGGGCACCACAGTTCAAGAAGGACACTGACAAACTGGAACGTGTCCAGAGGAGGGCAGCCAAAATGGTCAAAGGCCTGGAAACGATGCCTTATGAGGAACGGCTAAGGGAGCTGGGCATGTTTAGCCTGGAGAAGAGGAGGTTAAGGGGTGATATGATAGCCATGTTCAAATATATAAAAGGATGTCACATAGAGGAGGGAGAAAGGTTGTTTTCTGCTGCTCCAGAGAAGCGGACACGGAGCAATGGATCCAAACTACAAGAAAGAAGATTCCACCTAAACATTAGGAAGAACTTCCTGACAGTAAGAGCTGTTCGACAGTGGAATTTGCTGCCAAGGAGTGTGGTGGAGTCTCCTTCTTTGGAGGTCTTTAAGCAGAGGCTTGACAACCATATGTCAGGAATGCTCTGATGGTGTTTCCTGCTTGGCAGGGGGTTGGACTCGATGGCCCTTGTGGTCTCTTCCAACTCTATGATTCTATGATTCTATTCTATGATTCTATGTGTGCTGAGTATCACTGAAGTGTGTACAAACCAGGGTGGGAAAACTATGGTTTTCCAGGCACTGGTAGACTCCAGCTCTGATACAAAAAACTGAATGAAATCAAGGCTAAGATGAACATGACGCATTTATGCATCAGAAATCATAGAGAGCCGTTTTGGTGCAGTGGTTAGAGTGCTAGACTAGGACCTGGGAGACCAGGGTTCAAATCCCCATGCAGCCATGACACTCATTGGGTGACCTTGGGCCAGTCACGGCTTCTCGGTCTAACCTACCTCACAGGGTTGCTGTGGGGATTAACTGAGGAGAGGGAAAATCACCTTGAGCTCCTTGGAGAAAAGGCAGAATATAAACACAATCAGCTCAATCAATTTATTTCACATACTTGTGCAAGAAAAAAAAAACCTGTGCCAAAAATCAAACACAACATCTGGTAGCTAATTGAATTATATGGAATTGTATTGCAATAAAATACAACAGATCCAAAATAACAGAGGCAATAGAGAATCATATAGCATCTAGCACAGTGCATTACATTTGCTACAACAGGCAAGAATCGTTAAGTGGTTCTTCATGACCCTCAGCAGTTTTCAACTGGGCTGTGCAGGGGAAAAGTCTAGGAACCCACTGCCTAGTTGCTGGCTTACAACAGACTGGCTTGCAGCTGAGCAATCCTGGGTTGTGAAACAAGGCAATCAATGCAAAATGCACTGCATTGCCCTGTGGACGTCCATGGGTGATTTCTATTCTAAAAGTAAAGGGACCCCTGACCGTTAGGTCCAGTTGCGGACAACTCTGGGGTTGCGCCACTCATCTCGTTCTATAGGCCGAGGGAGCTGGGATTTGTCCGCAGACAGCTTCTGGGTCATGTGGCCAGCATGACTAAGCCACTTCTGGCGAACCAGAGCAGCACACGGAAATGCCATTTACCTTCCCTCCAGAGCGGTACCTATTTATCTACTTGCACTTTGACGTGTTTTTGAACTGCCAGGTGGGCAGGTGCTGGGACCGAGCAACCGGAGCTCACCCCGTCACAGGGATTCGAACCGCCGACCTTCTGATCGGCAAGCCTTAAGTTCTGTGGTTTAGACCACAGCGCCACCAGCGTCCCCTGATTTCCACTCTAGTTGAGTCTAAATACACCCTCAGTGATTTGACCAAGGTAGCATAGGAAGCCAAAACTGGCCAAGTAGATGTCAAGCCACAAAGGCTTGGGGTTCTCAGGCAGGTGAAATCAGATGAATCAAATCATGTGGGCAAATGAAGAACAGTTTGCAAGCGCTGACGGTCAGCTGCAAAACCACACTTCCTTTACCAGTGCCTGCAAAGCCTGCTTCTGGCAAGGAGTCACATCTTTCTTTATCTGCCTACACCCAGGGCCGGATTTAGGTTTGATGAGGCCCTAAACTACTGAAGTCAATGGGGCCCTTTATATGTCTAGCTGTCATTTGTCAACAACAAATTGTCACTGTTTTTTGTGTTGAATATATGCCATATGGTACTTTATGGACCTAATAGATATCTAAAGCCATTTGCACATAACAAAATGTATTTTATCAAAGTGATTGTTGAACTTATCTTATATTTTGGAAATGTACATCCAGGGTTTTTTTTCCTTTACATTTTTTGGGGGACCCCCAAGAGAGTGGGGGCCTAAGCTATGGCTTGTTTAGCTTATACATACATGTGGCACTGCTTACACCTGACGGCATATATATATAGGAAAGGTGGGTGTGGCTTCAGGAAAACAGGCTTGCGGGTCAATTTAGGACTCCCGCTTGGCCCAAGCTCACCACCTCTGAAGTAGGGAATCAATTCCCCAACCCTTCTGGGTCCTCGAGCTGTACGCTTGCAGCAGACAACGATTGTTTGCATGCCTTCTTGATAGTCACAATGCTTTTTGCCACAAAGCTCCCATTGTTACGTGGATGAAATCTGTATTTTCTTTCCAAATGTCATTCCGCGAAAGAAAGTTTTCTTGCATCAGCCCTCTCCACCAGCAACAGTGGCTCATTGTATGTTCGCCAACAGCTGGGACAGGGTGAGGCTTTCAAGTTTTAGCAACCGCTTACGACAGGGGCAGGGGAGTGCTCTATTCATTTTGGAGAAGCAGCCCTCTCCGCTTTGATACTGAAAAGCAGAATTTCCCGAGGACCTCAGATTCATGCAGGCAAGTGCACATCCGAGGCCCAGTTCACACATGTGAAGGAGTCAAAACACACACACACACACACACACACACACACACACTACTTCCTCTCTGTCTCATTCCTCGGAAGACAGATGGGGCTATAAGGTTTAAACTGGATCTTTACAAATGTTTAAAATAACTTTTTCTAAAAACAAAACCCAGAAGCCTTTTTTAAAGGACTTCTAGGTGCTGAAATCCCAAGGGAGCAGAAAATACTATTTACATACGTGAGTATGGCTGCGCGGATGTTACTAGCCCAGAGATGGAAAGAAGATAAAGTCCCTACCAGAGAAGAATGGCAGATCAAGTTGAGGGACTATGCCGAAATGGCAAAAATGACTGGACTGGAAGAATCAGAAATCAGGAAGACCAAAATTTTAATAAGGGGTGGGTGGGATTTAATAATCTATCTTAGAAATCATTGTAAACAGCTAAAATCGTTAGTGGGATTGGCATAGCACTTGTAGTTTAATGGTGAATTTGGGATATAATGGAGATGCGAAAGTTTTGAATTATTATAAAAGATGCAGGAGGAAAGGACTAACAACAGGACCCACAAAGGGGAGGAGGAGGAAGTCCAGGAGATTCTGAGGATTCTTGTTTTTATATTGTATGTTGATACGTGAGTGTAAAATTTTAATTTGAGAAACCTAATAAAAATTTTTATTTTAAATATAAAAGTAAATAAACTGGATCTTTACGTACAACTACCAAGCCAAGCATTACCAGTTACAGCAGAAGCAAGGAAGAAAGGTGAGGAAGTAAACTCACATCAGTTAGTTTTCAGGGCGAGTTTGCGCAAACCATTGTGCCTGGTGTGGCAGTGGGGCTGGGGAGAGGCGCCCTTACCTTTCTTTTCTCCCGTGAACGGGACAAAATCTTCAACGTCTTTATGTTCCAGCGCTTGCTTCTCCAGATACGAAAGGAGTTTCTCTCTGTCGAAAGCACCGGAGGGCTTTTTGGAAGTCTGGTCCTTTTGCCGGAACCCTGCAGGCAACAGTGCATTCTGCAAAACGAAAACGACAAGGCTTCTACCGCTCTTATTCGTCAAAAAACAACAAACCGCAGAAGCGGTCCATTAAAATACACGCAGGTATCTTAGGAAGGGGTTGAGAAGGCCAAATCCTCCCGGGTCCTGTCTTGGGAACAGAACCATCACCACCATCATGTTTCCTTGCATCAGCCCTATCTCCCGGGACAGGATGAGACTTGCAAGTTTGAGGACAGATCTAACACAATGATAATATCTGCATTTATTCATCACATCCTACTTCTGGTGCACGTACTTTTAGACCCCTCCCTGAGCACACACACATAAGACTCTCTTCCACTTGGCAGGAACTGGGATACATCCCGATGCTAATATTAATTTATTTAATTTTATTTATACCCCGCCCTCCCCGGCCAAGACCAAGCTCAGGGCGGCTAACATCAAGTATAAAAACAGTTGATTAAAATACAACTTAAAAACAGGATTAAAGTACAACTTAAAATGCAGCCTCATTTCAGTGGAAGCCCAGATCAAAAACTGTTTGGGGAGAGAAAACGTCAAATCTTCACCAAGGCCAACTATCCAGACTGGTCCTACGTGGGCCAGAAAAGCCAGGGAAGTCCCCAAATAGGGATTCCATCACAGAAGGAAAAGGAAAAAGAGGGAGGGGATCAGGCTGATTCCAAGCCAAAGGCCAGGCGGAACAACTCTTGTCTTACAGGCCCTGTGGAAAGAAATCAGATCCTGCAGGGCCCTGGTCTCATGAGGCAGAGCGTTCCACCAGGCCGGAGCCAGTGCTGAAAAGGCCCTGGCCCTGGTTGAGGCTAATCTGACTTCCTTAGGGCCCGGGACCTCTAGGGTATTGCTATTTATGGACCTTAAGGTCCTCCGCGGGGCATACCAGGGGAGGCGGTCCTGTAGGTACGAGGGTCCTAGGCCGCAATGTGCATAAAAGGTAAAGGTACCCCTGCCCGTACGGGCCAGTCTTGCCAGACTCTAGGGTTGTGCGCTCATCTCACTCTAGAGGCCGGGAGCCAGCGCTGTCCGCAGACACTTCCAGGTCACGTGGCCAGCGTGATGAAGCTGCTCCGGCGAACCAGCACCAGAGCAGCACACGGAACGCCGTTTACCTTCCCGCTAGTAAGCGGTCCCTATTTATCTACTTGCACCCGGGGGTGCTTTCGAACTGCTAGGTTGGCAGGTGCTGGGACCGAACGATGGGAGCGCACCCCGCCACGGGGATTCGAACCGCCGACCATGCGATCGGCAAGTCCTAGGCGCTGAGGTTTTACCCACAGCGCCACCCGCAATGTGCATACATGTGTAATATTTTGTGCTGGATTTATTCTGAAACAAAATTGTTTTTATTTTGGCATTTTTCTACTGAACCGAATCCATTCTGTGAGCACCCTATTTCTTGCTCACGGATAGGCCATTTCTGGGTGTGAAAAGAGTGCTACGTGTGGAAAGTGAACCAGAGATGATGTTGCAGCACACAATCTGCTGACCTTTTCCTCTGGAATCCACACCCGTTAATGCTTATAGCTTAAAATCCATTGCGCCTGCATATCCAAGGCACATGCCATTCCAGATGTGGCCATCCAGATGTCGATGAACTACAACTCTCACCATGCTGTACCTGCGCTTCTCCCAAACTTGTATCTCCAAGCTGTTGTTGGACTACAACTCCCATCATCCCTAGCTGGCAGGACCAGTGGTCGGGGATGATGGGAATTGTAATAAAAAAAATAGCTGGATACCCAAATTGAGGAAACCTGCTCTACCTCCTTTTCTGTATACTGGTTGCTGGGAATCACAGTGGGGAGAGCACGGTTGCATTCATGCTCTGCTTAAAGACTTCCCACAGGCATCTGGTTGGCCACTGTGAGACGCTGGACCAGATGAGCATTTGAGGGTTGTCCACATGGCACTTATCCTTGACCATTGGTCATGCTGCCTGGGGCTGATGGAAGTTGAGAATCCAGCAACAGCCAAGATGCCCCAGATTTCCCCAGGATTTGCTTTCCATTGAAAATATGTTTGCACTCTTGTCACTGAGTGTCTGGAGGCGGTTGGAGGATGGATGGCGGCTAACAGATTGAGGTTGAATCCTGACAAGACAGAAGTACTGTTTTGGGGGGACAGGAGGCAGGCGGGTGTGGAGGACTCCCTGGTCCTGAATGGGGTAACTGTGCCCCTGAAGGACCAGGTGCGCAGCCTGGGAGTCATTTTGGACTCACAGCTGTCCATGGAGACATAGGTCAATTCTGTGTGCAGGGCAGCTGTTTACCAGCTCCATCTAGTACGTAGGCTGAGACCCGACCTGCCTGCGGACTGCCTCACCAGAGTGGTGCATGCTCTGGTTATCTCCCGCTTGGACTACTGCAATGAGCTCTACGTGGGGCTACCTTTGAAGGTGACCCGGAAACTACAACTAATCCAGAATGCGGCAGCCAGACTGGTGACTGGGAGCAGCCGCCGCGACCATATAACACCAGTCTTGAAAGACCTACACTGGCTCCCAGTACGTTTCCGAGCACAATTCAAAGCATTGGTGCTGACCTTTAAAGCCCTAAACGGCCTCGGTCCTGTATACCTGAAGGAGCGTCTCCACCCCCATCATTCTGCCTGGACACTGAGGTCCAGCGCTGAGGGCCTTCTGGCGGTTCCCTCACTGCGAGAAGCCAAGTTACAGGGAACCAGGCAGAGGGCCTTCTCGGTAGTGGCACCTGCCCTGTGGAACGCCCTCCCACCAGATGTCAAAGAGAAAAATAACTACCAAACTTTTAGAAGACATCTAAAGGCAGCCCTGTTTAGGGAAGCTTTTAATGTTTAATAGGTTATTGTATTTTAGTGTTTTGTTGGAAGCCGCCCAGAGTGGCTGGGGAAACCCAGCCAGATGGGCGGGGTATAAATAATAAATAATAATAATAATAATAATTATTATTATTATTATTATTATTATTATTATTACTGGGACTTGCAGTTCGTGCAACAGCACTAACACATGGGCTCATTCCATTCAGGCTTCTTGTAGTGTCAAGCCACTGTTTTTTGCACTCTCTTGCAGCATTAGCTACCCTGAATGTTTGTACAAGAGAAAGCAGGATAAGCACTTTTTCAAAGAGAGGGAATCGTCCCGCTGACCCAAAACACACCTCTGGATCGAGATCATCCAGGACGGTTTCCAGTTGTTTCAACTCTTCTTCCGATAACTTGCCCAGGATTTCATCCTCATCGAGGTCCTTGTATTTGTCCAAGTCTTTTCGGAAGGGGAGAGCCATCACTTCAGCTTGCGAGGGGGCAAGCAGCTTTGTCAAGTGTACGGCAAGGCTGGCAAACCTGGGTTTTATTTTTAACAGGAACTGTGGAAAGAGGGACAAAGAACTCATCAACAAGGGCACTTTGCTGTGTAGCGGTGTGTGCAAACAGAAGGCCGTTCAAGAGAGTTAGGATGGTGAAGAGCAGCCGTTCCAACTGCAATGGCAGAAAATAAACTACAGGCAACGAGCGATTTAGGCAGGTCCGAATGGCGCACATGAGCTGAACCCGGAAGTAGCCCCCAAATGCCACAAATACATTAGGAAAAGGGGCGGAACAGGGCAGGTTTATGCGCACTCTTATGCCAATGAGCGAGGGAGTCCGGAACATAACCCCTGTGCAAAAAGAGCCTGTGTTGCTGTTACTAATACCTATTATTATTATTATTATTATTATTATTATTATTGCTGCTGCTGCTGCTGCTGCTGCTGCTGCACTGGCTGCCAGTGAGATAATGGGGCATATTCAAGGTGTTAGCGCTAGCATGAAAAGTCCTAAATGGCTTGAGACCCAAGCACCGCAAAGTGTGCTGCCCCACCACCCAAATATCAACCATCTCAGGTCCTACATTTGGCTGGGGAGGACATCCTGAACAAGGAAATTCAGAGTCAATAAAGGACTTTACAGGAGGTGATGCTGAAGACCTGTTTAGACCTCGGCATCATCATCATGATCATCATCATTTAAAAGGCTTAATTACCGCCATGTACCCTCCTCCCCTGGGACGCGGGTGACGCTGTGGGTTAATCCACAGAGCCTAGGGCTTGCTGATCAGAAGGTCGGCGGTTTGAATCCCCGCGACAGGGTGAGCTCCCGTTGCTCGGTCCCTGCTCCTGCCAACCTAGCAGTTCAAAAGCACATCAAAGTGCAAGTAGATAAATAGGTACCACTCCAGCAGGAAGGTAAACGGCGTTTCCGTGTGCTGCTCTGGTTCGCCAAAAGCAGCTTAGTCATCCTGGCCACATGACCCGGAAGCCAATAAAGCAGCCAATAAAGCGAGATGAGTTCTGCAACCCCAGAGTCGGCCACGACTGGGCCTAATGGTCAGGGGTCCCTTTATCTTTACCTTTTTACCCTCCTCACAACTTAGATCTGGACTGCAGCACTAGGAGAGGCAATTAGACCTTTCTTTGTACATCACCTTCCTAACTGAAACCTCTCTACATCCCCCAAGCTGTGAACCTGAAAGATGCTGTTTCAGGCTTGATATCTGCACTTTCTGCTTCGTGGTGCAAACAGAAGCTTGAGAGGAGCAGTTTCAAGCAGCAAAACAAGGCCCAGGGAAGGGGGAGAATCAGGACCTCCACAGTCTGGTGTGCATGCGCGCGCCCCCACCACCTTCTGCACATCAATGCACCTGCTATTAATGCTGCTTGAAAGTGCCAGGGGAGACCCCAAACACAGCTCTCTTACAGCATATTACGTACATTTTATTTTAAATCTACACCTCTGCCTCCTCTCCCGCCTCCTGCCTTTTGCCCTTTAATTTCAAATCAGAACTGGGGGGAAATAAAGAGTAATAGTTTTCATCAGCAACGTTATTGTTATGGTTATTATTCTTATTCTATTGACACTTGTCCCAGGGATTAAGAAGGTGAGGATGTCCAATCCCTTCCCAACTACGATGTCGTAATATTTTAAATCCACACACTTTAAAGACATGTATTTAAATGTGCCCATTTGTAAGTATTTTGATATGCTGTTTAGGATCTGTTTGCATTACTGATTGTTCTTTGCCATCCAATGATCCTTTGGGAGGAAGGGCAAGTTATTTTTTTTAAAATCTAATAAACGCAAAACTCAACAAAGTGATGTTACGTTCATCCTGCTTTGCAGTTAATTTCTTTGAACAGGATGATATACAAGGAAAAGCAGTATATGTATATTGATAAAACGCCAGCAAGAAGTGCACATTTCGCTTGAGAGGCTCATGCATTTTGTATTCAGACATCCATACTCTCGAGTGCAGAAGGTCAAGTGAGAAATGACCCTAAGGAAGCTTAAGGGTAAAGTTTGAGATCTGCTGTCCGAGTTTAAGTCAGGTCGCATCTCAGATTTCTGTTTAAAATCTAGCGCCTATCTGCATTGCTGGGCATGCATTGCCCAGAAAATGCACAAACCCCTTTCCCCTACCATATCATACTGCTGCATTTAAGAAGAAGAAGAAAACCTTTGGCTTAAGACAGTAACTGAATACACAACTTTCATTGTTAGAACAGCAATGGAAACTCCAGAGACACTATACTAGGCAAAAACAGGGAAGAGATAATTTATCTACTCTTCAAACACTAGTTACAAATCCCAGGACCTTGGAGTCAGCTGCACATACAGAAACTTTGTAAAACCCTTTATTAATTTTGTTCACGCTCAAGGTCACCTTCACAGTCTGAATCTGGAACACGCACAAAGGAAACCTTGGCTGCATTCAAAGCGGATCACACACAAGCACAGGTGCACGAGTCAGCAAAAACAGCAAAACATTTTCCCCGCTGAGTCGCTTGCATCCCAGTGCTAGCTACTGGTTCTATCAGCCTCTCCCAACTCCTGTATGCTTTGGACTTCAACTGCCATCAGCTGCAGCCAGCATGGCCAATGCCCAGGATGATGGAGGTTGTTGCCCAACATTTGGAGGGCGGCAGGTTGGCTGTAAGATGGCAGGCAGGTGGCAGCTGGCTGGGGGCAAAGGGAGGTTGGTGGGGCAGTGCCCCCTTTGTCCAAAAGGACCAGTCTCTACTGCTAACCAAGGGAGGGAAGAGATGAACTACTTCCCAGAGACAGCTCAGTCGCTAGAGCATCTTAATCTCAGGATCATGGGCCACACTGGGCAAAAGATTTCTGCATGGCAGGAGGTTGGACTAGATGACTCTGGAGGCCCCTTCCCATTCTACACTTCTATGATCCTAGAAACCTTTATAGGGAGAGGTGGGGAGATCTATGGGCCTCCCAATGCTGCCGGTCTACTGGTTCTCCATGTTTGCCTTATGACAAGGATGGACAGCTGAGAACAGATGTGGTCTCCAAAACACATCTGGGGGGATGTTCCTCAGCTCAGTAGTAGACAATACAGCCATGTTCTTGTATGGCCCTCAAGAACTTTTTCATAAAATGTGTTGCCTATTTGAAATAAACAAACTTATTCTTTTCTGCACCAGGTTCCACATCTTTTTCTACGACAACCCTTTTCTCGCTGCAGCTGAAACAAGGAGTGGTTTCTTGCACGCCACAGAGTAGGAGTAGCCACTTCTCTTTCCCTTCCACTGTTTTCCTTTGCAACCCAAAGAGTCAATTCAGCTATCAAGAGCAAGCACACTTTATCATAGTTTCCCTTATCTGCCAAGATGGATCCCTTTGATTTTGGGGTGACTTGGAGAATGCAGAATTCAAGCCATTCAGAAACAGGATCCTAAACTAAAGGAAGGGGATCTTAAGCCACCAGACAAGGAGACTTCATTCGGAAAGCATATTCCTTCCATCTATTACAGGATGTGGGGAATCTCTGGCCTGCCAGGCGCTGCTGAACAACAACTCCCATCCTCCCTGGCCACTGGTCATGCTTGATGGTGCTGTTGCAACATCTGGTAGGCCAAAAGCTCGCCACCACCATAGATAAGTTACCCAATTTGACTTCACTTGACTTTTTTAAAACAAAACAAAACAAAACTCAACACACCTGCTGTAAATAACCCGCAGCTTCATTAAAAGCTGCCTACCTTCTTTTTATTCCTGTTTTTCACCTACAAAAGAACCTGTGCATTTAACCTAAGGATGGAGATGAATCTGGGTAACAGCTAGTGGTGCTTGTCCCCAATGCTAGTCCTGCTCAGAACAGACCCACTGAAATGAGTGGACACAACTAACTAAGACCCATTCATTTCAGTGGGTCTGCTCCAAGTAGGACTTAGTTTGGGCACAACACTGGAATTTATTATGTGTTCAAAGATGGTGGATCAAGCACTGCGTGTTTCTCCTCCCCAGACATCCCAGGTACAACCTGAAACTTGCACAGCACTTAATAGTGCTACGGGCAAGACTCCATTGCTCTAACCCCACCCATTTTAATTACTCTTGATTAAGAGTCTTGGAGAACTCAAAAGCTTGCAAATCATTCTGTGGCATTTTGATTGGCCTAATGAAGGCATTGCCCTAATGTGAATCTGGGAGCATTTCATAATTTTATCACTTTGCTCTTATTTGATTACACAGTTTCCCTTACATCCTGCTCACTCAAGTCCAAAGCTGCTTTCTTACTCGATTCCATTAGAGCTCAGCTTACAGATTTCTTTGAACGTCATTGTTTACTTTAAAGGAAGTGCCTAACTATTTGATCTTGCCAATATGTCACCCACTGGGCCATGTTCTCTTTGACTCCAGGGATCAAATGTCGGAGATTTCATTCCCTTGCTCCAAAACGTAAGAATTCATATCAACGTATCATACATAAAGTAAATATCAAAAACTGCGTCGGTTGCCGGTAAATTCTGTATATTTTGGGAAGGGGGCAGGAAATATCAAGATTGTGACATCTGCTTGCAAGTCAAGGACCAGTTAAGAACGTAAGCCAACGATCAGCATTAACCTAACATCTATGTTACAGACATGTGCTTACTCACATCCTGCTATTTTCCCATTAGCAGCAAAAATAAATCACTGCTGCGTCCAACTTCTATACAAAGTGAAAGTCGGCAGCTCTCTAAATAAGGTGTCAGGTATACAAACAAGAATTTGAGTGCCGCTGGCATACAAACAGGTCTGAAACCAGAGACAGCTGTTGAGTGGGAAGCAGAGGTCTAGGCAGGGAGAAAGAGCTGTGAGCATGGCCAGTCAAAGCAAAGTGATTATTGCTCAGGAAACACCCGAGCCTGAACAGGAAGCTGTTACAGCATTTCCTGTTAGGGAGAACCAATGGCCAGTGTGGTTGGGCAGAGCCACTCCAGCAGCTGATAATTATTATTATTATTATTATTATTATTATTATTATTATTATTACTTATTTATACCCTGCCCATCTGGCTGGGTTACCCCAGCCACTCTGGGTGGCTTCCAACCAAACATTAAAACAATACAGCATCAGACATTAAAAACTTCCCTAAACAAGGCTGCCTTCAGTTGTCTTTTTAAAGTAAAATAGTTGCTTATTTTTGCCTTGACATCTGCTGGGAGGGAGTTCCACAGGGCAGGCGCCACTACCGAGAAGGCCCTCTGCAACCTCACTTCTTGCAGGGAGGGAACTACCAGAACGCCCTCAGCGCTGGACCTCAGTGTCCAGGTAGAACGATGGAGGTGGAGGCGCTCCTTCAGGTATACTGGACCGAGGCCGTATAGGGCTTTAAAGGTCAGCACCAATGCTTTGAATTGTGCTCGGAAATGTACTGGGAGCCAATGAAGATCTTTCAGGACCGGTGTTATATGGTCTCGGTGGCCGCTCCCAGTCACCAGTCTGGCTGCCGCACTCTGGATTAATTGCAGTTTCTGAGTCACCTTCAAAGGTAGCCCCACGTAGAGCGCATTGCAGTAGTCCAAGCGGGAGATAACTAGAGCATGCACCACTCTGGCGAGACAGTCCGCGGGCAGGTAGGGTCTCAGCCTGCGTATCAGATGGAGCTGGTAAACAGCTGCCCTGGACACAGAATTGACCTGTGCCTCCATGGACAGCTGTGAGTCCAAAATGACTCCCAGGCTGCGCATCTGGTCCTTCAGGGGCACAGTTACCCCATTCAGGACCAGGGAGTCCTCCACACCTGCCCGCCTCCTGTCCCCCCAAAACAGTACTTCTGTCTTGTCAGGATTTAACCTCAATCCTTTACTGCCTTTGGAGATGCCTCAACCCAGGGGTAGCCAACAAGGCACCCTGCAGATACTGTTGGGGCTACGACTCCCATCATCCTTTACCACTGGCCATGATGCCCGGGGCTAAAGGGAACTGTAGACAAACATTATCTACAGGGCCACAGGTCCCCATCCCTGCTTTGCATTTCCATCACCTTCCATGTTCGCTAGGTATCGCCTCTTTCCACCCAGTGGAGATTCTGAGATGAACGACAGGTCTAAAGTCAAGGCATCCACGTGATTTCTCTCTTAGGAACATGCGGTATCTTTTTCAGATCGGTGAGACTCGGAATTATTTCTTTTGATCTCCCTGTATTCCTTCCCACCATCTTCTTAAAACTTTGCGGCTGTGGAGACTGGGTTATACACTTAAACATCGCCACTGAGTCCCACGCCACCTTACTTTGTCTCCCTCTCCAGGATGCTGCACTGCAAGGCACCCGTTTGCATGGTGACTTTTACCCAGCCTAACCGACCTACCTCACAGGATTGTTGTAAGATAACAGTGGGAGCGGGGGAAATCCCCCAAACCACCCAGAGACCCATGGATGCAAAGGATAGAAATATAATAAGATATTGTGGGAGGAATGGAAATTCTATTCTGTATTGGAAATGGGCTTGAATTGGGTCAGGTTAGTCTGGAACAGTGCGCCTCGTGAAGGATGGAGAGTGCATTAATAATAATAATAATAATAATAATCCGCCTTTCACCATAAGGTCTGAGCATGTTTTTACATGAGTAGAATGTGCCCTTTTATTTAATATGCATCTCTGGGTTATTTGTGGGTCATAGGAATTTGTTCATTCCCCCCCCCCCAAGGTCTATGGGACAGTGGACCAGCCCCCTGCTGAAAAAGTTTGCTGACCCCTGGTCTACATTGACAGGCAGCAGTTGCCTCCAGATTTCTGGGACTTTCTGCATGCAAAGTAGATGCACTAACCACTGGGCCACAGTTGTTCTCCATGAGCGCTGCAACACTGTGGTACTGCTGCCGTTGCAACATCCCTGTCGGATTTGGGGGGGGGGGGAGAAAAGCTTAGAAAGCAAACAAAAGTTCCTGCTCCCATCAGAGGAAGGGCCTCTCCCCACCTCCCAAACCCCCATTCCAATGTGAGCCAGCATCTTAAAAGGGAAATGGCTTCCTGTAGCTAATGACCACAGCACTGTTGGCTGCCAAGCTGTCTATCCATTTGCCAAGTCAACACTAGGCTCTGTTTCTGTTCCTTCTCCCAGCGTAGTGCAAATCTGTTTATAATCAGACCAGACCACAATACTCTGGGAGGAGAAGGGAACCTTTTCCAATACGAGTGCTGGGGACTAGAGACAAACAGCCAACATTTTATTTTTAAAGGAAGGCTGGCACAATGGCCTCCTTATTCTCTCTTATCAAGCATTGGTACAGTTGGCCAAACTGTCACAGGAGGACCTAGTTTGTTTCTGAGCTCCATCACAATCTTACACCTGCATCATTCTATTCCAAAGAATCACTAAACGTCCCAAAGTGAGTAATGGTCCCCATTTTTTTTAATATCTGGAAACAGATGGAATAACAGCATCTCTTGCGCTGCAATGTGATCTGGTTATCAGTGCTGCCATCATTTTTGCTCCTCGTCTGTCAGCATCCCCTATCCTATGAGATGCCCATTTTGAGCAGTTTGAACACACTGCAAACACTAGACTGGTTCAGGATGCATGTCACACTGAGATGCAGCCGACAGCAACCCCCCCCCCCCAAAGAAAACCCTGACCAGGTGATGCTTTGCTTACAATGTTCTCTTGCAGGAACTTAGGGCTCTCTGCACTATAAGCAGTACAGTGGTACCTTAGGTTAAGAACTTAATTCGTTCTCGAGGTCCGTTCTTAACCTGAAACTGTTCTTAACCTGAAACAACACTTTAGCTAATGGGGCCTCCCGCTGCCGCTGTGCTGCCGCCGCGCGATTTCTGTTCTCATCCTGAAGCAAAGTTCTTAACCTGAGGTAATATTTTTGGGTTAGCGGAGTCTGTAACCTGAAGCGTATGTAACCCGAGGTACCACTGTATTAGTCATGGCTTCTCCACCCCCAAGAATCCAGGGACCTACATTTAGCAGGAAAGGGACTGACTGTTAAAGCACTCTAGAAATTGTACCTCTGTGATAGGGAAAGAGGTGACCTAACAACTCTCAGCAGCCTTAGTAAACTACACTTTCCCAGGAAGCGGCTCTGTGATCTTTCCAAATCCTACAGTACTACCTGTACCAGACTTGATATTTTTTTTTAATGTGCTTTTAGCATCAGTGACTTCATTGTTAAAACACTATGAGAAGCAATGCATCAATGAAAATGCTAATAATAATGACCAAGTATGCCAGGATTCGAACCTAGGGCCCCTGGCGTGAAAAGCATGTGATTCACCTGTGGATTTTCATCCAAAAGCTGAAGATACCAGGGATTCAAACGGCGGCCTGTATGCATAGCATATTCAAGTTTTTCCTCTGCAACGATGAGGGATAGAAACTTGCTTTAGATAAACATATTTGTCTTATACCAGGCCTGAGTCATTAGTCCATCTAACTCATGTAGAGTGAACTTGGACTGGCAGCAATGTTCCAGAGTTTCTCGGTCCCCTGCCTGAAAACTTTGGAGCTATCTACCTGCAGCAACGGAACTGCGGCTATTTGTCCTGAATTAAGACCTAAATAAATGTTTTAGTAGAGGCATGCAAAATACATGCACTCAGGACCCCTTGACCTCAGGCACTAACAAGGCTACAATGAGGTTACTGGAGACGAGTGACCTGCAAAGTTACAGAGTCCTAATTGTTTTCTCTTTAGAAGGCGGGCAGGGCTTCCAAATTTACTGAGGATCTTTGCAAAACAAAGCCCCATTGCTGAAGTTTTAAAATAGAAAATGACATCAGAGGCAAATAAACAAGAGCTGGTTTGGAACTAAGAAGCCTTAAAACGTTGTCCTTATTTTTGGTCCGCCTCTTATTCCAATCAGCCTCTGGATGAACCTCAACGGGAGAAGGGAGGGTCTTTTGCAGGCAAAGTTTATCAGTTTTCCGCCATCAATCACAGGCTTGAAAAGGTTCCAGCTGCTTAAGGGAGACCAATTCCAACCTTCTCACCAGAGAACCCTCACATTGGCAGCAGCGTTAACTCTTCACCAGCCAGGAAAACAGTTCGGACATCCCTGCTCCAGCTGTGCCATAAAAATCTGCCTTATTGATTCAGCAAAAATGGTCTCCTGTTCAGTCTTCCAGCCAGCCAGCAATCCCCTTCCCAGGACACTCCATTGCATCTTCCCACCCACCCACAGTGATTTTCCATTTCCTCTCTCCAACCACAGTCTGCCAGCATTCTTTCACGACTCTCTATTCCAGACACGGACACATTTTGTACCCTCCCCTGCCCCTCCCCAGGTCCAAGAAGCTGGTCTACGCTGGCTGGGCCATCAAAAGTTGTAGCCCGACAACATTGGGAGGCCCGGAGATGGCCCAATGCTGTTGTGGTGCAATTGTTCTCTGCTCAGTTTTGGTTTGCGCAGGCTAGGAATGGGGAACGCTTTTCAACCTGTGGGCCATGTTCTCTTCTGGCGGACGCCTGCCCGTGGTGGTTGGGGGCTCGGGCAAAAGTGGGTGGAGGAAGATATTTTATCTTGGTAGAGCTGGCTGTTTTCTATGCACAGCCACCCATCAGAAGGCATTATCAGGTACAGAACTGATACTCGATGGAAATGACACAGGAAATGGACTGGGACGCAAACGAAGCTCATAAAGCGACTGAACTACTATGTGTTAATATACCAACACAGATTTTAAAAACTCCAGCTTTTCTTTTGGAGAAGGAGATAAAAGAATAAAGACGGAATGTTTTATAATGGTGAAGACAGTAACTGGAGAATCTTCTTTACACTTTCGTAAACGAACTGGACAGTACAGTGGTACCTCAGGTTAAGTACTTAATTCGTTCCGGAGGTCCGTTCTTAACCTGAAACTGTTCTTAACCTGAAGCACCACTCTAGCTAATATGGCCTCCTGCTGCTGCTGCGCTGCCGGAGCATGATTTCTGTTCTTATCCTCAAGCAAAGTTCTTAACCTGAAGCACTATTTCTGGCTTAAAGGAGTCTGTAACCTGAAGCGTCTGTAACCTGAAGCGTATGTAACCTGAGGTACCACTGTACCGGGTAGAAGGCTGAAAAAACAACTTCCAGCAAAGGAAGGAACAATCAAATAACGTAGATTGAGCATTTGACTATTTGGAAGAAATATTGCATACACAACTGACAGACGGCTAGCTGGAAGTCTTTTCTTTTCCCCTCTCTCTATTTTTCTCTCCCTTGGTAGTTGTTTGTTGTTGTTGTTGTTGTAGTTTGTTGTTGTCTCTCTCGTATTTTGGTAAGAACTGTATACAGATGAAGGAGAAGGAGTTTGAGGACCCCGTGTGAGAGGCGGGTAAGGGGAGATCTCACAGGGTGGGAGGCTGTGACAAGAGAGGGACGAGCTCAGGGGAGAGCACACCTTCCTCTGTAGGGGATGAAAGTTAAGATATAGGGGTGAAAGAGGATTTTGTAGTTTCTTTTTCCATTTCTTCTTTCCATGGTTTATTTTCTTTAATTTTTTGTAGATTGCTTTGTTCTTTCTAATTGTACTGTGGAAACTTCAATAATAAAATAAAGTGAAGTATTATCAGGGTTCAGAGATGCATTCCAGCTAGAGGGAAAACATTTGCCAAGTGTGCAGACGGGTGCATGACAGGTGAGTCACGAGCAGGAATTGGCAAAGTTTTTGTGGCTTGGGCCAGTTCACGGTCCCGCAGACGCCGCAGTGGGCCGGAGTGTGCGCACACACACGCGCAAACGCTATTTCCTGCGCTCCTTGCGGCGCAGAGGATGCATGTGCAGCTTCCTATTGGCTGCGGGAGCTTCCTGCAGCCAATGGGAAGCCGGCCAGTGTCGCGGAAGGCGGTCTCCACTTTGCTCCGCGCCAGTTTAGCCCGGCGCACAGAAGCTGACAGAGCGGGCGGTGGAGGTCCATGGGCCGGTTAAACGACCCCCATGAGCCGCTTGTGGCCCATGGGCCTTAGGTTGCCAACCCCTGGTCACGAGGGCCAGGCTGAAAGGGCTCGAGGGCCACATTTCGGTCCCTGAACTTGAGGTGACACATCTGTGGTGTGGGCTGAGCTATCGGTAGATTGGGGGAGAGTGTAAGCCTAATTGACATTTCTGGTTGATCATGGTTCCCTCTCAACTCAGCGATTCTAGGTATCCCAAGCCAGATTTATTAATTTTTTAATTTGTATTTTGGCCTGAACCAATTTTTCCCTTTCCCCTTTCCTCCAGCAGCGATAACTTGTCTCCTTTGGGAATCAACTCGCAACTCCTCAGATCTGCTTTTGCTATAAGATTTCCCAAGAACGCACCACTCAAAAAAAGTCTCGTGAGGGACACATCCAGCATCACGAGGACTAAGGTTGGGTGCTTTGCCTGCCACCCCGTTCTCTTCCCACTGTTTGTTTATCTTTAAAAGAAGAAAGACAATCGCTCTGGTTGTTTCCACAACCGTCCCACTGCTGAACTTTATATTCCGGAGGCCAAAGCAAACAAACTGGTCTAGGAGATGCCCCAAGCATTATGGAAACATTTCGAGTATGTACACATTTACATAGCAAACAGAGCCTAGAGACAGGAGGGAGCCCTGCCATTCAAAGTACCATTTCTAGAAGCCAAACATACCTTTCGAATGCTCTTATTTCCTGTTTCTACTCAGCTACGCCACTCAGCACCGGAACTGCTTTGAATTAATAAGAGTGACGGCGCACACCTAACATTTTATTAGGCACGCCACATCAGGTGAGCATTCCTGAGTCGGCATACCTGGGGGGACGGGACACATACCTGTGCAGCTTTTTAGAAAGTCCCATGGAAGGTAAAACGGCTTGTTTGAAACTGCAGCACAATAATACAAGCAGAAGAAAAGAATAAGTAGGAGATCTCAAGGTTGTATCAAACCAAGTTCTGCTCATAGTACACCCAGTGAAACTCCTGGACCTCAGTTAGTCATCTGCTTAAACAGAAGTTAGTCATGTTCATTAACTTTGGTCCCATCTGTACAATACTTGAAGGAGTGTCACAGCACTTCAAATTTAGTTTGTCAAAGGTACTGGGAGTTAGGAGACGCCTTTTCCCCTCAAGGAGCTACAATCCCCAGAGTTCCCTGGGAAGAGGGACAGACTGTTAAACCCCTCAGAGTTACAGCTCTGTGAGGGGAATCGGGGTCTCCTAGCCGCTCTCATCACCCATAACAAACTACAGTTCCCAAGACTGGAGGAAGCCATAACTGTTTCAAGTAGCATGATAATGCTTGAAATGTTTAGTGCGGATGGGGTCTGGACTAGCATTGGATATAACCCCAACTTCTGAAAGCAACACCTTACAAATATGGGAATACTTCAATAGACACTGTTGACATTCTTTGAACTCTTCTAGTCCACTAAACAGATGCCAATGACAACTCCATCAGCAGAGCGTGACTCTTAATCTCAGGGTTGCGAGTTCGAGGTGCGGCTTGGGCAAAAGAAGCCTGCATTGCAGGGGGCCGGACTAAATGACCCGCATGATCCCTTCCAGCTCCAGAATTTTGTGATTCTATTATTCTAGGACGTTTGTTTGTTTGTTTAACTGCCACCGTGATAGACCAGTCTTTTATTTAAGCACAGGCCCAATAGCCATAGGCTTGGATTGTTTATTTGCTGTATTTTTCAGTCGCCTCATGCAAGGAGCCCCTAGCCTTCCTCAGCCTGGTGAGCTATGGAGAAAGGTCTGATGCCAACGAGGCATACATGATGGGTTTCCATGGCACATTTCCCTTTAAGACCACCTGACCATATTTCAAAGAAACACTCTTTACGCAGATTATCATGGAACATCAGTACTATTTTCACTTCTAGCACCCTACTCTCCCAAAAGCATTTTCAATAGCATGCCAACACAAAGCCAATCCAAACATTCAGATAGGCATGTAGGACAGCCCTCCTTCACCCAATGGGAAATGAAATAAAAATAAATATAATGTACTTCTTTGAGAGGGGCAGGGACAGCTCCCCGTCTTTAACCTCACACCCCCAGGTGGGCATGTCAATCCACACCTACAAATGTGCCCAGAAAATTTGGTGGGATCCGAATGACCATTATAGGGTGGAGATATAGGAGCATCAGTTGCACAAGGTGTTCCAAACCAAGGCTATGCAGACATGGCACCTTTAAAGCACAATCGGAGCACATGCTTTCCCTTAAAGGATTCTGGGCCCTGTAGTTTACCCCTCGCAGAGTTGCAGTTCCCAGCAGCCCTTTGCGAACTGCAGTGCCCAGAATTCTTCAAGGGAAAGAATGTGTTTCAAAGATATAGTGTGAGTCACTTCCTAGTTCCGACATTACCACCTCAGCCGGCACTGGGGAAACAGGAAGGGCATTAAGTTAGTAAGTCCAGAGTCTAAATTAAAAGTTGCTCACTCTGGACCGTGGTGAGAAAGGATTCCCTTTCCATTCACCCTGCACACCTAGAACAGATGTAAAGCAAAGAGCGATCTTTTGTTGCATGCAACAGGAATGGAAACACCGAAAAGCAAAAGAGGACTCGCTTGTACCAAGATGTTGGGCGTAGTACAAAATGTTCCACAGCCAAGGGGAGGCAGGCACCATGGCAAAACAAGGCTCACTCTCACCTGCCATTAAACTCTTGGCCATTTTTTAATCAGCTGCGGAACAAAAGTGACACATCTGTCCTCTTTATGGGGAAATCATATTGGTGACAAAAAACCACCCACACCCCTAAGCTTTGCACGCTGCAGTCCTGAGCAGAAAAGCCCAAGGTGGGGTGGGGAGACAAAAGCATCCAACAGAACACCAAACCCCACTTGCAAAACATTTCCCCCCCCTTTCTTCCCCTCAGAGAGAGAGAGAGAGAGAGGAAGGAAGTTTCCTTGAGTTGGGGAGCCGGCATGTAGTCAGAGAGAGGAAATCCTTGCAGAGCAGACGGAGAAGGGGGGGTGGATAAGATTCACGATGCGACAAGGGGTGGAGTTGCGCTTCCTGGGTGTGAGTTTGTCAAGTTTGCAGAGGAAAAGAGCTGTGGGGAAGGGAGGCACGAGGGAAGAACTGAAGCGGGTGTGGAAGTGGAGCGACCCCGGATCCTACTCCGCGTTGCTGGATCTGCACAGCAACTGCTCCCCCAGAAGAGAGCTTCAACTGACTCTTTGTCCTTGTGCATACCACCCTTTTAAATAATCAATCATCATAACCATCATCATCATCATCATCTACGCCTGCTTTCCCACAACGGCAGCTAACTCCCTCCTCTTTCCGCCTCACCTAGAGCTCTGCAGTTGGAAGGGGTCCCCCGCGGTCATCTAGTCCAACCCCGGCAAGGCAGGAATCTTTTCCCCCAACTTTTCCCAAAGTGCGGCCAAAGTGACAGAAATCCCCTCCAGGTGCAAGAGCCTCGCCCGGGTCCGGCTAACTCCACCTCGCCCTTCCCGCCCCGACCACCCTCGTCGCCCCCGGAGGACTCACCCAGCCAGGCGGCGAACTTCTCCCAACCTTTTCGAAGAAGGAGAGGAAACGTAGAAGGCTGCGGCTGCCGAGTCTCCGCCCGGCCACTGCGCCTGCGCTCCCCTCCCAGGACGGGCTCCGAGGAGGCGCTCGCGTGGGATCATGGGAGGCGTAGTCCGCCATTGATTTGGGCTGTAGTCCGGAAGCCTCTCGCTGGAGGGATGGAGCGGGAGGGGAGGATCCCGGGGATGACGCCGCCCCCGCCGCCCCATCTTCCATTGCACACACAGACCTGGGACTCCCCCAAAGAAGGAATCATAGAATTGTAGAGTTGGAAGGGACCTCAGGGGTCATCTAGTCCAACCCCCTGCGATGCAGGAATCTTTTGCCCAACGTGGGGCTCGAACCCCCTACCCGGACATTAAGGGTCTCGCGCTCCACCGAATGAACTACCCTCAGCATTCCACTTCTGCGAGCCATTAATATATAATATAATTAATATAATATAATATAATATAATATTTGTTTGCTTGCTCCATTAAAAATAAAACACTAAAGCAGATTCATAAAGCAATTTATATACTTAATGATAATAATACTGACATTTTGTCTGCAAATTTTGAGTGCCTGTGTTTATTGTTATTTTTAAAATAAATTGTTTCTTGAAATTGATGAGGGGGGTGTATTCTTCCTGGCTGGGAAGGTGTTGGTGTAATCAGGTCAATTCAAAATAAATAGCAGCAGCAGCAACAACATCGTCAACCAATATATGTAAAAACACACACAATACGTTTGTATAAAACATTACAAATAAAACAGTTTAACAGCTTAAAACTGGATGGGGGAGAAAATACTGCCTAATGCAGAAATTAAAAAGTAGTATGCAAAATATCAACATGCTCCAGATGATGTACTATATCTTATTTCCAGTAATTTGGATCCAAGACTCAACCTTCAAGCACCCATGTCTCACCTAGGGTACTGCAGACACTCCCATTCCAGTTCTTACCCAGAGTGGCCTTATGGACACTCTTATCATCGGCACACACTCCACCCAGAGGCCAGTAATTTCTTTTCCACATTCTCCCACCAATTCATCCAGGGTTGGGGTGGGGGTATAAACAAAGGTTTTTTGAGTGGCAGGGATGGGGGGACAGGACCCTTGCCCTTGTAACCTACAAAGCAATGACTTTTACAGCACTTTCTCTGAATTAAAGTTCATAGAATCAGAACTGTAGAGTTGGAAGGGAGACCATGCAAGTCATCTAGTCCCAACTCCTGCAATGCAGGAAACTTACCTAACCTAGAGCTCAAATTCATGAGCCTGAGATTAAAGTGTCTCATGCTCTACTGACTATCTGAGCTGACATAAGGGGAACAGGGAAGAAACATACATTTCAACGTGCATGTTTCTGAAAGAAAAATAAACAGTTTCTAATGATCAAGTGGGCTTTAGATATTGGGAAAACCATTAACTTAACAGCATGGGAACAACTATGGGGAAAGAACTGGAAATTTATAGCCTGTGAAGTATTGAGGGATAACATAATCAAGATGTTTTATAGATGGCACTTAACACCTACCAAAATAGCTAAAATGTAGACGAGAAAAACAAATCTGTGCAGAAGGTGTGGTAAAACAGAGGGGACACTTATACATGTTTGGTGGACCTGTGAAAAAAATCAAAAGCTTCTGGAACACAGAGTATTTTAAAAAATGTTTAAGTATAACTTTATGAAAAATACAGAAGCTTTTCTACTAGGGATAACGGACACAGGCATAGCAAGAGAAGATCAGAAAATATTCCTCTATGCCACAGGAGCGGCAAGGATCCTAATTGCTAAAAACTGGAAAAAAGAAACTGTGCCAACAAAAAAGGAATGGCAAGATAAACTGTTAGAATATATTGAACTGGCTAGATTAACAGGCAATTACAGACCACACTAGACAAGAGTTTCAAAAAGCATGGGGAAAATGCAGAGAATACTTCACAAAACAGTGCCCTAAAATACATACCTGGACTTGTTTCGATTAATGTCTGCAGGAGACTTTGTGGATATTTAAGTTATAATTAGAAAAATCTTAATAATTATTCATAAAGGACACAGTTTATAAGAAGTAAATAAAGAGACCAGATACAGGATAAAGGAAGTCTTTTATTTGGTTGTTTGTATTGTTGTATGTTATGTTCACTGTATGTTATGTTCACGTTTAATGTGTTTTGGGGGCTGGGGGTTATGTTGTAAATAAAATTCCAATAAAAATTAAAAATTAAAAAAAGAAAAGGAAAGGAAAATAAATAGTTTGAGCTTAGTACTCATAAGGTAAAGGTAAAGGGACCCCTGACCATTAGGTCCAGTCGTGGCCAACTCTGGGGTTGCGGTGCTCATCTTGCTTTATTGGCCGAGGGAGCCAGCGTACAACTTCCGGGTCATGCGGCCAGCATGACTAAGCCGCTTCTGGCGAACCAGAGCAGCACACGGAAACACCGTTTACCTTTCCGCCGGAGTGGTACCTATTTATCTACTTGCACTTTGACGTGCTTTCGAACTGCTAGGTTGGCAGGAGCAGGGACCGAGCAACGGGAGCTCACTCCGTCGCAGGAATTCGAACCGCCGACCTTCTGATCGGCAAGCCCTAGGCTCTGTGGTTTAACCCACAGCGCCACCTGCGTCCCTTAGTACTCATACTATGCTCTAAAAAGAAGCAAGCCATCATCCCCCACCCCTTTTGCCTTGCAAGTTAGAAACAGAAATTTGGGAACTCGTGTAGCAAAGCAATAAAGCAGCATCTTCGACTTAACAGTCAGACATGCCTCTGCCACTGAATGCCACTGAAATGCCAGGTCTTTTGTATCCACCCAGAACACTGCCAACTTCAGTTCACACTACCACCATCCACAACAGTGGACAAAAACAGGATCATCATTTTTACTACCTCTCTCAAACCAGGTTCAGTTTTGAGCAACCACTCACCTTAGCACATGAATCAATCTGTTTATAGTGGTGGCCGGACGAGAGAGAGTTTGCCCAGAGATGGAAGGCCTTTGATATCATTTGCCATCAAAGCACAGGGTGATCAGGAAGGCACACCTGAAAGACTTGTTCAGGGATGCACAAAGGAAAGGATCTGGTCCCGAACTGATCTATTACTAAGAACTGCATAATGCATGGAAGAACCTATTACATTTTTGATAGAGAATGGTGCCCAGAATAAGCAGAAGCACCACATGGGAAATCAGAGTTCTGCATACCTAGGTGGTCCATTGCCAAGACAGCAGGGCACAACCTATTTTGCCATAGGTCTTAACATGGGGAGGAAAAACCCTAATAACTTTCAAACTGCTGATCAGAACTTCATTAGGCCAATGAAAAGGTCAGGTTGACTACAAGCCTGAATAAAATGCACCAGTGCCCCCCCCCAAATTGGAAATAAATAAATGATAAAGGTAAAAAAGGTAAAGGACCCCTGGCAGTTAAATCCAGTCGCAGACGACTCTGGGGTTGCGGCGCTCATCTCGCTTTACAGGCCGAGAGAGCTGGCGTTTGTCCACAGACAGTTTTTCCGGGTTATGTGGCCAGCATGACTAAGCCGCTTCTGGCGTAACGGAACACCAAAACCAGAGCAGCGCACGGAAACGCCATTTACCTTCCCACCAGAGCAGTACCTATTTATCTACTTACACTTTTTTTTGGCATGCTTTCGAACTGCTAGGTTGCAGGAACTGGGACAGAGCAATGGGAGCTCACCCCATTGCAGGGATTTGAACCGCCGACCTTCAGATCGGCAAGCCCAAGAGGCTCTGTGGTTTAGACCACAGTGCCACCCGCGTCCCCTAAATAAATGATATGCTTTCTTAATAGGGAAAACAAGGCCAAAGTGTCACTTGTCGCTTCGGTAGCAATTATTATCAAATCAGTTTGGAATCTGGCACTTTTTCAGACCTCATGTGAACATCGGGTAGTTCACATACGCCGCATTTCGTGTTGTTAGCCCAACTAATGTCGTTTTTGTAAGCTGCAGAATCTTACAAGGCTTTTCCATGACGTAGCCTTGCTTTTACCGCCTGCTTTAACTATACTTATGGTCCATTGTCATTTCCCCACTTCTTCGGGGCTCGGGATGGGAGAGTCCCACATGAAAGACAATGCTATCTTAGAGCTCTTTGTTCCATCCCATGAAAAGCACCCTCTATGCTAAACCGGGAGTTTTCTGCTACTGATCTGCTTGAGTTGTATAATGGCTGTGACAGTTTCCTCTGAGTGTGATAGGCGGGAAGGGGGGTGGCGCTGAGAGATGCCACCAAGCCAAGTTGAGTACTTCTGGCACCCTGCCCATGGTTTGGATGAAGAGAGGCTTTTGTATGCTCAAGAGTATGCCTGCCATTGAGCAGAGGTCTATTATAATTCTGCAGTGCTCCTTAGAAGGCGAGTCTTTTCCCAAACTTGCAACTACATGCTTGAGCAAGGGAGATTTTTAAAAAAATATATAGTCATAGTAAAACTTCCTTTTCAGAGGAGTAGCCTAACTTCTGACATCTACCATGAAACAGAAATTTAAACTGTACCAGCTCTCGGGGAAACACAAAATGTTTAAAACACACACAGAAGAGATGAGTAGTTGGCGGTGCTTATGTCTTTAAGAAATATAAAGAGAGAAAGAAAGAAAGAAAGACGAACAAAGACAGAAAGAAGCTCTTTTTGCAGAAACTCAAGTAAAGAGCCCAATGAAACATTGCAAGAGGGAATCTGTGATTTGTTAATTAGAACAAGCGGGACCTGCTGCAACAAAACGCAGCGGTGCACAGTGTTCCTGTTCACATTCCAGCCAGCAAGTCACACCCCTTTCCAGAACACTCCATTCCACCATTTATTTATTTACTAGATTTATATCCCACCATTCCTCCATAGAGCTCAAGGTGGAGTACATGTTTCCCCCTGTCATTTCCCCCAATACTTTTAATTGTCAACTCACATTTGTGCAGGTTTAACAGATGAATAAAGTTGCATAGGATTAATTGACTAAGATTTCTGTAAAAGGGGGGGGGAGGAGTCCACATTGATCCAATAAATTGTTTGATTGACACAATAAGTGTGTGTGCAGCAGCAGTCCTATCCCATCCTTGCCATTGCTTCCAATATCTCTGGGCCATTTTCCTTTTTAGGAGGACAGAAGTGTTTGCTCCACAGAGCTGTGACAGCATCCCCTTACCTGGGCTACTGCTCTCAGGTGTAGTGGAGGATGCAATTCTATCGCAAAGTTAAAGAGTCAGCTGTCAATCCAGTAGGCTTCTATATGTGGCAATTGGTGGGGAGGCACAACCTCATCCTTGGCCTCCACATGTCTTGAACTAGCCCTAACCTGGAGTTCCCATCATAGAATAGCTTGAGCTTGGGAGAGGAAAAGAGAAAAAAATAATATGCCTTGGCAGATGTAGGTCTACAGCTTCCTCATATGTCAAGCATTCATCCTGATTTGCTTGCACAAAGCTTATGCAGAGGTTAGACTATGCCTGGTCTTTGCTGAGCATTCATCCCAATTTATTTGTGGGAACTTATACAACAAAGAACATTCATCCCGATTTGCCTGTGGGTGTTTAGATGTCCTCCTGTTAATCATTAGCTCATCCCACATGTTTGAATTCATTTCTCCATCTCTTTCCTAACTGCAAAAAGTCTGTTTCTTTTTAAAGATGGACTTGTTAAACGAGGGCAATCAATAGAGTGTTTTAATCCACTAATTGTGCAAACCTACATTTGTTGGGGGACGTGGGTGGCGCTGTGGGTTAAACCACAGAACCTAGGACTTGCAGATCAGAAGGTAAACAGCGTTTCCGTGTGCTGCTCTGGTTCGCCAGAAGTGGCTTAGTCATGCTGGCCACATGACCCGGAAGCTGTATGCTGGCTCCCTTGGGCAATAAAGCGAGATGAGCGCCGCAACCCCAAGAGTTGGCCACAACTGGACCTAACCCTTTACCCTTTACATTTACTTTTGTTGGAGTACACTTGCACCTTTCCTGTGAAGAATTTATTATTATTATTATTATTATTATTATTATTATTATTATTATTAATATTATCACAGGGTATTTTACAATATACAAGTACAGAAAATACATACCATAGTAACAAAAAACCCCACAATACCCCCACCTCCAGTTTAAAAGGCCATTGATTGTTTAATTAGCCAAAGGCCTGGGAGAAATAAAATATCAACCAAACAATGTTAAAAACACTTCAATGGCTTTGCTAGGTGAACAGATGCACAATCACGATCTGAATCTTGGTGCCGTTTCAGTATCAGGAATAAGGTCCACTGAAAGAGTGCGTTTTTGAGTGGGGAGCCAGCCCCATACATGCAGGTCCTTTGATGAGTGCATATCTTCACGGGTGGTGACAGAAATGAGCTAAGCATCTTGGGATGACATGTTCCAATTCCTTCCTCATAATTAAGTCATCTATATTGTGTCGCTGCAAAGAGGCACACTGTTTAATTAAATGAGCTCATGGTTCATTATACATCAATGATAGGGGAAGATTTCTTTGATGCTTACCAGACTGGCTTTTCTGGTGGTTCCAGTTTAGGAATCAAGATTGCTGCTTATGGTTACGTTCTTCTTTAACAAGCGCTTCCACATGAACCTGGAAGGATGGTGCTCTGCTATAATTAGAACTTGTGATCAAGATAATTTCTAAGATTGCCTCCAAGGAAAGGCTGGGACAGACAGGTGTGTCGTTCAGGGAGGAAGAGAGGCAGTCCCCACCTTTCAGTCTCGGTGAGTTAGGATATTACTATTCCTCCAGAGGGGACGCGGGTGGCGCTGTGGGTTGAACCACAGAGCCTAGGACTTGCCAATCAGAAGGTCGGCGGTTCGAATCAGCGCGACAGGGTGAGCTCCCGTTGCTCGATCCCTGCTCCTGCCAACCTAGCAGTTCGAAAGCACATCAAAGTGCAAGTAGATCAATAGGTACCGCTCCGGCGGGAAGGTAAACGGTGTTTCCGTGTGCTGCTCTGGTTTGCCAGAAGCAGCTTAGTCATGCTGGCCACATGACCTGGAAGCTGTACGCCGGCTCCCTCGGCCAATAAAGCGAGATGAGCGCCGCAACCCCAGAGTCTGCCACGACTGGACCTAATGGTCAGGGGTCCCTTTACCTTTACCTTTATTCCTCCAGAAGGACCCAGTTCTCTGGTTATGATGAGATAATAAAAAGTTAACAATCAAAAATTCTCTGAGGCAGGGGAAATCTACGGTGCTTTATGGGAATTTAACCTTGAATGCATGCAAGAGTGTGTTATAACCTTACTTGTAAGTAATCTGCCCCACTCCCACTCGAGATCACTCTTCTGGGAGCTAGGAGGACTGAGATCTATCTACATGATCCAAGCTTAGAGTTCCTTATGCCCAGTGAAGGATCTGCTAAACATTCTGTTTTAAAACTCAAAGATAGGTTCGCCCATTAGGAACCACTGCCCCCCTGCAAAAACCCACAGTTGGGCAATACTTTGATATTGGGGCTAACCAGAATGTCACAAAAGAGTGAGCAAGCTTTCTGAGTTTTCCGTAACTCTTGCCAGGCAATAAACCAAGGGATTGAGGGGAAGGGAACAGCAACAAAAATTAGGCTGGATGTTGTAGGCATGAGGTCTGGATTTTGACTTACTGTAGGGGAAGAGCCATAGCTTAGCGGTCGAGCATCTGCTCTGCACACAGAAGGCACCAGGTTCAATCCCTAGAATTGTAGAGTTGGGACCCAAAGGGTCATCTAGTCCAACCCCCTACCGTGCAGGAATGCCCTGGCAGCTCCAAGTAGGGATGGCAATTTCCCAATGTGACCTTGATGGGCTCAATGAGAGCCATGCCTCGTCCTCCTGAACATCAGATTCAACCTCGGAACTTGTGTGCCAGAATTTGGGCACATGCCTCTGAGCATATGCAGAATGTCGTTCCGCTAACCACTGAAAAATAATCCCCAGTTGCAAGGCTACAAATAGGTGTAGAGGAAAAGAACGGTGGAAATGGAGGCACCCTGACCTGTTAACACAAATTGAAATAACGTGAGGAAATCAGATTCTGTTACGCGTTGCAGTAAATCTATGTTTTATTATTTTAAAAGTTTATGTTGTGGTTTATAGCATTGTTTTGATTTTGAATTACATATGGGGGGGGGAGGTACCATAATCTTTTCAGAGCTTGGGGCCTTTAAAGGCCTTAATCTGGCCCTGGACCAATGGTCAGGGATGATGGGAGTTGTTGACCACCAACATGCTGAGTTCACAAAGTTGGCTGCCCCTGGGCTGGATTGTCAAGATTAGGAGCTGGGAGGCAAGGGTTCAAACCCCTTCTCAGCCAGGGAAGGCCCCCAGGTGACCGTGGGCCATTGACCTTAACCTACCTCACAAGGTGTTTTTATATTGTTATAAGGATGAAACGGAGAGGTGGGAGGAAGCATGTACACTCTTTGGAGCAAAAGGTGTAATGCAAATGAAGTAAATAAATATACTGCTGCATTGCAGGGTGTTGGACTAGATAACTCTTTGGGTCCCTTCCAATCCTATGATTTTTCTATACAACTAAAACAAACATTTAAAAACCCATTAGGTGCGCTTCCCCAGCCCATCAGGCATACAGAGGTAGCAATGTGGACACCCACACCCGCGCTGCCTTTGATGCAGCTACCAAAGGCAAAGGAGCTTGGGGAGCCGGACAAAGTTGGCCACCCCAACCTACCTCACAGAGTGAAGTAGACAGGCAAACTAAGGCCAGTGTACTGGAAGAAGCAAAGATCACCAGTGTCAAAGCGATGATTCTTCAACATCAACTCCATTGGACTGGTCATGTTGTGCGGATGCCTGATTACCGTCTTCCAAAGCAACTACAGTGGTACCTCGGGTTAAGAACTTAATTCGTTCTGGAGGTCCGTTCTTAACCCGAAACTGTTCTTAACCTGAGGTACCACTTTAGCTAATGGGGCCTCCTGCCGTCGCCATGCCACCGCTGCGCAATTTCTGTTCTCATCCTGAAGCAAAGTTCTTAACCCGAGGTACTATGTTTCTGGGTTAGCGGAGTCTGTAACCTGAAGCGTCTGTAACCCAAGGTACACTGTACTCTATTCCAAATTTAAAAATGGAAAGTGTAATGTTGGTGGTCAACAAAAGAGGTTCAAAGGCTCTCTCCAGGCAAATCTAAAAAAAAGTAGTATAAACACCGACAACTGGGAAACAGTGGCCTGCGAGTGCTCCAATTGGAGAACAGCCTTTATCAAAGGTGTCATGGGCTTTGAAGACACTCAAACTCAGGACGAAAGGGAGAAACATGCTAAAAGGAAGGCACGCTTGGCAAACTCTCACTATGATCAACTCCCGCTCAGAAACTTATGTCTCCACTGTGGAAGGATGTGTGGATCCAGAATTGGCCTCCACAGTCACTTACGGACTCATTGTTAAAACCGTGTTTATGGAAGACAATCTTACTCAGCTACGAGTGATCGCCAAAGAAGCTGTGAGGATGAAATGGAGAGGGGGACGGAAGCCTGTGCTGTGCGCATAGCTGTCAACTTTTCCCTTTTCTTGCGAGGAATCCTATTCGGAATAAGGGAATTTCCCTTTAAAAAAGGGAAAAGTTGACAGCTATGGCTGTGCGCCCCACCTCCAGCTCCTTGGAGGAAAAGATGGGGTGCAAATGCAATAGGTTAATATACTCCTGCATTGCAATTTCCCCCCCAAAATGCATTAGGTGCGGTTCTGGACCGGGCAGACCCCGGCCAGGCAAGGGATGCGTCGGAGTCCCAAGAACTACGAGTCCCAGAGTGCTCAGCAGCGGCGCTGAGGCTGCGCAACCGCCTTGCCTGGCTTGGCTGCAGAGAAGGAGGGAGCGCCTTGCCTGTTGACAGCCCTCTGGGGTGGGCTTTTCTCTTTTTTGGTGGGTGGGTGGGAGCGTGCGGGCGAGAGAGGAGCGCACCATGCAGAGAAAGGCCGGCAGGCGGACGGGATAAATCGTGCGTCCGCCCGGGAGCAGCGGGCAACGGTGCAGCAGCTGGTAAGCCCGCGGTCGTCACCCCCCCCATCCCGACCCCCGGATCTCTCCCATCTCGGGATGCGTGCATGCATGCACGCTCGCTCGCTGCCCCCCCACCCGCCCTGCCCTGAAAGGATGGAGCCGAGCATCCTTCACCAGCCCAACTCCCTTCTGCAAGGAGAGCCCGGAGATGATGGCATGGGGTGCATAGCAGCCAATTCCTGGGAGCCGAGGTCCCTTGGCCCCCCCATAAAATATTTGAGGGGTCCAGGGATCTCCAAAGTTGATGGGCATTGCCATCCAAATGGTATGTGCGCCCCGCATCTTGTGATCGATTATGCGGGGCTTCCTTCCCCCCACCAATATTTTATTCAGGTTGGCACCCCTAATGGGGTGCAATGGTGCATTCTCACCCCACCTCTCCTGGATCTGCCTGGGGGTGAAGCCACTCCTATATTTGAGCCGCGGAGGGGACAGAATGGTCCCCGCGTTGCCCGCTGCTTGCATTACATCTCCTAAAGATGTACTATGCAATGATGCTCCGTTGAGGCTCAGCCGCCTCTGTTGCCAGGCGGTGTGGGCCGTGTGTGTGGGTTGGGGGGGGGGAAGGCGCTATGGGGAGGGGCGATGTATTGGATGTGGGGCCTTCTCGGGTCTTTTCCCAGGGGGAACCCGCCCGGGAAGCAGAGGTGGGGCACGGAGGAGCTGTTTCCAATAATACAGCAGATCTTTGTCAAAGGGAGCCACTCGCCTGGGAAATGGGCAAAGGGAAGTGGGGCAGAGGCGAGCGGGTTCAAGACGAGCAGGACCAGGGATGCCAATCTGAATAAAATATATGGGGGGGGGGAGTCCCCCAGGTAAGCCTCGCCCCTGCATAATCGATCGCAAGTTGCAGCATGCACACACCATTTGTTGGCAATGCCCATTAACTTGGGGGGAGGCAGGCCCCCTCAATTATTTTATTGGGGGGGGTGCGAAGGCCCCTATGAGCAGGAATCCGGATTAGAGCTTTGCCAAAGGGGACTCGGTCAGAAAAGTGCAGAGGGAATGGGTACGCATACAAATAATAGTAAAAAAATGAATAATAATAGCAATAATTATCCTCATCCCAAAGAGGTTTCACTTTGATCTTGCAGCACTGGGTTCCTTGGGGTTTGTGTGTGTTTTAGGATAATAATGGATTGCTGTTGCTATCGTGTGTGTGTGTGTGTGTGTGTTTTAAAATGCTTCTATCATGAGAAGTGGGTGTTGTCAGGTGGTCCGTGGGAGAGCAAGGGGCTGCTCAAACTCTGAACTTCCTGCCCTGACCAGGATGGGGCTGGACTAGATGACACCTGGAGAGCCCTCTCTCTGACTCTTACGATTCTGTGGCACGTGGTGGTTCTTTAATAGGTGTGTGTGCACTTAAGATATTTATAAAGCCCTTTGCTAGTGGTCCTCAATAAACGGCTCACATAGAAATGCTAAAACAGTAGGCACCTGTTTAAAAATAGTATAAAAATAGCAAACACAAGCTACAAAGGACAGGGTGGGGGCTTTAAAAAAAATCTCTCTTTCTCCTCTGCTCAGGGCAAGATGGTTCTTGAGTAGGCTCTCTGGTGGCGTGGGAGAGGCAGAACTAGATGATGGAAAGAGGCTGTTCTGCCTCTTCTTTCCCCTCCCCCTTTAAGCATTTTAAGGTGTCCTAGGGATGCTGGTGGCGCTGTGGGTTAAACCACAGAGCCTAGGACTTGCTGATCAGAAGGTCGGCGGTTCGAATCCCCGCAACGGGGTGAGCTCCCGTTGCTCGGTCCCTGCTCCTGCCAACTTAGCAGTTCATAAGCACGTCAAAGTGCAAGTAGATAAATAGGTACCGCTCCAGCGGGAAGGTAAACAGTGTTTCCGTGTGCTGCTGTGGTTCGCCAGAAGCGGCTTAGTCATGCTGGCCACATGACCCAGAAGCTGTACGCCGGCTCCCTTGGCCAATAAAGCGAGATGAGCGCCGCAATCCCAGAGTCAGTCATGACTGGACCTAATGGTCAGGGGTCCCTTTACCTTTACCTAGGATTCTTTAGGTGGGTTTCTAGAAAGCTGCCTTATACTGAGTCAGACCACTGGTCCATCTAGTTCAGTATTGTCTTCACTGACTGGCAGCTGCTCTCCAGGCTTTCAGGCTGTGAAAAATTCCCAGCCCTTATTTGGAGAGGATGGAACCTGGGACCTCATTCCTGCAAAGCAAACTAGATGAATTTATTGACCCTTGGGGTCCATTCTGACTCTACAATTCTGTGATTCAAACTGAGCTGCAGCCCCTCCCCAGCTGCTGCAAGAGATGAACAGCACAACCCTGTGTGTGTTTCCTCAGAAGTAAAGTCCCATTGTGCTGAATGGCGCTTACACACCCTAGTCAGTGTGTTTGGAATTTCAACCTAGCATAGTTAACCTTTCAGAATTGCCTTGATTCTCCCCAGCGCCGCAGATGTAATAGATAAGAAGAAAGGGAGGTGGTTGTGCTATTTAGTTCTGAATGGGTGGGGCACTGAAAAGAAGAGCAATTAAAAATATTACTTTAAGTGTCCTGTATTTTTTTTTTATAGATTTGACAGGGATTTTTTTCAATAAGATAAATGCATAACATAAGGAGACAGGATGGTGCATTAAGTAAAAAATACGAACGAATAAATAAAATAGGTTCTTGTATGCTAGCAGATAAAATGCACAGATTCCTTCCGCGAATATTTCACAGTGCTCCTAACACTGTGGGTGGATTTGCATTTTCTTGCGCCAACACGTGATAGAAAGACCCAATTTTCCAACAAAAATGACTGCAGGGTTGCTGACCCTTTCCCCTTAATATGCATTTTTTAAAATGCAACAATAACAACAACAACCAGATAACATTCTTAAGATAGTTCATTTTTTAAAAAGAGATTAAAATGGACCCAGCTGCCCGAGTCAAACAGCTTTTCTCCCGCATTATCTTTGACTGAGCATCCCCTGCAAAGGACCTCCCTATAATCCAGCTGTGGTTGTGTAATCAGCAGAGGCTAAGAACAAGGAAAGTCATCTTGCCAAATGCTCATGCCAAAAGAAGCACAATAAGGGGGGGAAATTACAACAAACCATTTCACATCTTTGCTTCAGGACAAAGCAAGAAGCTTTTAGGATCGTCAGCCACTGTACCCAAGAGCTAAATCTCCTTTCTCTCTCTTTCCCCACAAATCCAAAACATGGCAACCAGCTGGATCCTGAGAATGGAACTGTCAAGCAGGTGTGGTGAGCCTCAGACCTGGGGGTTGTGGCCCCCCAAGCATCTCTGCCTGGCCCTCGGGACTCTGCTGACCCCATGCTGCCCCTCCCTCCCAGGTCACACCCAGCACAGATCCTGCTCCCCGCCTTCCTCTAGTGATTTTTACTTGGCTGAAATGTGTCCTTGAACTGTGACAATTCCTCTCGTTTGCCTGGGCATAGGATGGAAAGTGGTTGTGTGTTTGCCAACCCCAGCCTTTGCCACACTTGCCACTGGCTTGCGGCCCCCCGGATAGGGGCTTCCCCACTGCTGCTGCTGAGCCTTACCTAACAAAACCCCCTTTTTCTTGAGAAGTGATGTGCAGATGAGATGATCTGAGTGCTAAGTAGTGCTGAATTATCTTCGTTCTACATGCTTTGAAGCTGTAGTCCAGGGGTCAACAAACGTACCGCGCCTCGGGCCGGTGTCTCCAGCGCCGATCGCGCGACGGGCCAGAGGGCGGGGAAGCAAGTGCCCATACGTGTGCACACACGCTATTTCCGACGCTCTTCCGGGTCAGAGGAGCACTGGAAATAGCTTGTGCGCATGTGCACGGGCCTCCTCCGACCCTGATGTGCACCGGATAATGCTTGTGCATGCGCAAATAACACTTGTGCATGCGCAAATAATGCTTGCGCATGAGCACAAGCTATTTCCGGTGCTCCTCCAATAAGAGTGGGTGGCAGGGGTCACTGTGGGCCAGATAAACGAGTCCCTTGGGCCTTATCCGGCCCGCGGACCCTAGTTTGGGGACCCTTGCTATAGTCGCATTTCAGATCCCAGCTAGCAGAGACTGGGAAATCAGCCCTGTGGGAGTAAGCTGGGATAGCTCAATCCACAGAGCATGAGGCTCTTAATCTCAGGGTTGTGGGTCTGAGAGCCCCGTGTTGGGCAAAAGATTCCTGCATTGCAGGGGGTTGGAATAGATAATTCTTGCGGTCTCTTCCAACTCTATGATTCTACAAGACGCCCTGAAGAGATGCTGCCCTTCAGAATATACATGACTTTTTATCAATGAGGAACTTGACTCAATATGTGGGCTCCTGCAGATAATCCCGTTTACTGAGTGTTTGTCCTGATTTGTTGGCCCAAAGCTTACAGAATCATAGAACTGCAGAGTTGGAAGGGACCCTTAGGATCATCTAGCCCACCCTCCGGCAATGCAGGAATATGCAGCTGTCCCATATGGGGATTGAACCTGCAACCTTGGCGTTATGAGCACCACGCTCTAACCAACTGAGCTATCCGCCCCCTCTGCGGAGCTTAGACTATGTCTGGTCTTTGTTGAGCATTTGTTCTGATTTACTGGTGGGGAGGTTATACAATAATGAGCACTCAAGCAGACTTGCCTCTGGGGTGTTTATGTGCCTTGCTGTTCATCATGTGTTCGTCCTGAGCTCTCCACTGTATTTTCCTAAGAGCGAAAACACTGGGTGTGTTGCAACATAGCACTTTCATCTACTTCAGTTGCGCAAACCTAAATTTCCGGTATGCGCTTGGATCTCTCTCATGAAATGCTGGCGGGCTGGAGGTGACCTAAGTTAGTTCCACATGTTGCCAGGTGATGTTCGGAGAGCTTTTTAGCACCGCTTTTGGCACAGAGCAGAACATCATGTGCCAGACTTTTCATTATGTATTAAGATCTGGAACTGGCTGGAAGGCAGATTTATATTTCCAGCTCATGAGCGATGTGTCTTTGAGAGCACCTTTAATACATGACCTCTTTTGGACGTGCATCATCCATTATCCAACCTGCTTCTTTCTTCTTTTTCTTCTTTGGCAATCACTCATAGCCGAGTAAGATTGTCTTCCATAAACACAGTTTTAGCAGTGAGTCCGTAAGTGACTGTGGAGGCCAGTTCTGGATCCACATGTCCTTCCACAGTGGGGACATTGGTTTCCGGGCAGGAGTTGATCATAGTGAGAGTTTGCCAAGAGTGCCTTCCTCTTAGCACGTTTCTCCCTTTCATCCTGAGTTCAAGCATCTTCAAAGCCCATGCCACCTTTGGTAAAAACTGTTCTCTAATTGGAGCACTCGCAGGCCAGTGTTTCCCAGTTGTCGGTGTTTATACTACATTTTTTAAAGATTTGCCTTGAGAGAGTCTTTGAACCTCTTTTGTTGTCCACCAGCATTACGCTTTCCATTTTTAAGTTCAGAATAGAGTAGTTGCTGTGGAAGACTATAATCAGGCATCCGCACAACATGACCAGTCCAACAAAGTTGCTGTTGAAGAATCATTGCTTCAACACTGGTGATCTTTGCTTCTTCCAGTACACTGGCATTAGTTCACCTGTCTTCCCAAGTGATGTGTAAAATTTTTTGGAGACACCGTTGATGGAATCTTTCGAGGAGTTGGAGATGTATGTATGGTGCCTGTGTCAATGGTCATTGTCCTAGTTAGAGGCTGTGATGGGGGGTTTTTCTTTCCAGTAGCACCTTATAGACCAACTAAGTTTGTTATTGGTGTGAGCTCTCATACCAATTTTTTTTGTTTTGTTTCGACTATGGCAGAGCAACACGGCTACCTACCTGTAACTGGTCCCACAAAGTTGATGTTGAAGAATCATTACTTTAACACTGGTGATCTTTGCTTCCTCCAGTACACTGGCATTAGTTCGCCTGTCTTCCCAGGTGATATGTAAAATTTTTCGGAGACACCGTTGATGGAATCTTTTGAGGAGTTGGGGATGACATTTATAAATGGTCCACATTTCACAACCAGCTTTCTCCCAATTGAAGTGCAGAGTGTTTGAGGACCGGGACATTTGCAGGGAAACCAAAATGCTTGTTTACAAAGCATTACTGTATCCCACATGCTATCCTTAGAGTGTACAGGCAATGGCCGATTAATACGCACCCGAAAGATGCATGACCACGCACTCGCACACAGATCCGAACCTGAAAGGGACTGAAAATGTGACATAATAATAATAATAATAATAATAATAATAAGTGCAGAACTGGGATGGGGCTGTGTGGAATGGGGTGGGTCATGCTTTTATGCACTCCACTGATGTGGGGGGGGGGGGCGGAAATCGAACCCCTGCACAAAATTGTAATCGACTGTATTTGTGCATAGTAGCCACGAAGGGTTAAACCACAGAGCCTAGAACTTGCCAATCAGAAGGTTGGCAGTTCGAATCCCCGCGACGGGGTGAGCTCCCGTTGCTCGGTCCCTGCTCCTGCCAACCTAGCAGTTCTAAAGCACGTCAAAGTGCAAGTAGATAAATAGGTACTGCTCTGGCGGGAAGGTAAACGGCGTTTCCGCGCGCTGCTCTGGTTCGCCAGAAGCGGCTTAGTCATGCTGGCCACATGACCCGGAAGCTGTATGCCTGGTCCCTCGGCCAATAAAGCGAGATGAGCGCCGCAACCCCAGAGTCAGCCATGACTGGACCTGATGGTCAGGGGTCCCTTTACCTTTAGCCACGATGGATGCAGGTGGGCATGGTGAATCATTTGAGGCTGAGTGCCTGATCTGGAGCTATATGGTGTAGTGATTAGTGTGTCAGTGGTACCTCGGGATGTGAACAGGATCTGTTCCGGAGCCCTGTTCGCATCCTGAATAGAACATAAGATGCGACTGCACGTCTGCGCATGCGTGGGTTGTGTTTCGCTGCTTCCAAGCATGTGCGTGACATCATTTTGACCTTCTGTGCATGTGCATGCGTGGGCAGCGAAACCCGGAAGTAATGCGCTCCGTTACTTCCGGGTCGCCGCGGAGCGCAACCTGAAAATACTTATTCTGAAGCATATTTATTCCGAGGTATGACTGTACCTGGGAGACCAGGGCTCAAATCCCCACTCGACCATGAAGCTCACTGGGTAACCTTGGGCCAGTCACTTACTCTCAGCCCTACCTACCTCACAAGCTTGTTGTGGGGGTTAAATGAGGAAGGGGAGAACCAGGTATGCCCCCTTGAGCTCCTTGGAGAAAAAGCTGGGATATAAATGGAATAAAGGAATAAATAAAATACAGCGTTGCCTGATCACTGAGATTATGGGAGAAATATCTGTTGGCGGTCCCCCATGGCTCAGAGTAGCTATTAGATAAGCTGTGAATTCAGTGTTGTGGCCCAAGGGTGGATCTACACATGGCGGTGGGGGGATCACTATAAATAAGTCAGAAATTAAATCGTTATACCAAAAGGGAAAAAAAACGCTATGTAAAAATTGCATAGAAATTTCTTTTGCTCTCCGGTGCCATCTGGTGTTACACGTTTATAATGCATTCAAGGCATTGTGGTGTTGTTTTTTTTACTAATGTAGCTGAGTCCCTAGTCTGTGGAAATCCCTCCCAACTGAGATCTGACAGGCACCCTCCTTGCTTAACTTCTGGTGCATGACAAATACTTTCTTATTCCAGCAGGCACTTTCGTGTAGTGTTGGATCTGATGATGTCTTATTGGTTTATTCTCTGCATTTTTATGTACAGTGCTTAGAAATGCTAATAATCGAAAAGTTTATAAATACCTTAAATCAATAAATGAAATAAAAATGAGTGTTGTGATAAAGTATTCACTGTGGGACAGGATACCTGCCAGCCTTGACGGCACCATCAAGCATTACTGAATAACTAATAAAGTGGTTTTTCTGCTTTTATGAAAACATCCATCACTGGATTTTCTAGATGTTGTTCAGAGGATAAAAGCTATTTTTAGGCATTTTAATCCTCAAGTTGCAGTTGATCAGCAAGTGTTTGGGGCTTCAGGTTCTTTAGCCACAGCGCTAAGAAAAAGCACACACCCCCTCTTCTAAATTAGGCTGCTGAAATGTGCACACAGCATACATTTAAGGTACATGCCTTCCCCCAGAGAATTCTGGGGAGTGTAGTTTGTTAACGGTGCTGGGAGTTATAGTTTTGTGGAGGGTTGACTACTGTTTCCAGAAATCTAAATTGGAACAAACTTGGAAGACTCGATTGATGTTTGCTCTGATTCAGCGGTAAAGATCAGGTTTTCCCCGTGGAAAAGCAGCTGGACAAAGGAAGTCTGGCTGAGTTCAGAGAGATCTGGGTGTGGAGGTGAAGGAGGAGGAAAAGAGAGAAAGAGAGGGGGGAAGGAAGGAAGGAAGGAAGGAAGGAAAGAAGGAAGGAGGGAAGGAAAGAAGGAAAGAAGGTGTGGCTGTGCATTTAAAGCACACGCTGCAATTCTCAAAGAATCATGCCACCTTCCAAAGAATTCTGGGAACTGTAGTTTGTTAAGGGTGCTCATAGTTGTACGGAGATTCCTACACCTCTACCAGAACTACAATTCCCAGAGTGTTTAGCAATCAATCCCTCTTAACCAGGGAACTCTGGAAATTGTAGCTCTGGCAGGGGAATAGGGGTCTCCGTACAACTCACAGCACCCTTGACAAGCTAAACTGGAGTGATTCTAACTCTCCCACCCAAGACACAAACATCACAGCTGCATATTTCTGCAAGGCAGAGGGGGTTGGGCTAGATGATCCTCAGGGTCCCTTCCAGCCCGACAATTCTACGACTCTATGATCCCTCAGAGTCAAGGGTGTTTGGGTTGTTCTGTAAGTCTGGATCTGATCTTCCATCTGTCATCCATCTGAAGTGAGAAAAGACCAAGGAAGAGGCTTGTTCTTAAGTAGTCAGAGCCTACTAGTCTGGAAGAACTGGGCAATTATGTGAAAGATTGCTGCTATTAGCTGTAATTTTTTCCAAAGATGTCTCCCTTTCAACGAGGCTAGTCTGGTGTTCCCACGGAATGTTGTTATCGCTGTTTACAGGGGGGAAGCGAAAAACCTCAAACAGCAGCCTGGGAAACTTCCTCTGCGGGATACCAAAGCCATGATTCCAAAATTGTGACCTTAGATAACCACAGGGTTTTTTTGTTTTTGTTTTGAAACAAAGATATATATTTTTCCTGAACAGGATAAACTAGGATAAACTAGGGGAGGGCATCACATCGCTGGAAAATGTATCAGTGTGTCTCCAAGTTCTGATTGTTGCCCTCGTGTGAGGATGCAAAATCCTTTGCAGCAACAGAGCCATACAGTGTAGAGCAGACATAGGCAAACTCGCCCCTCCGGATGTTTTGGGACTACAACTCCCATCATCCCTAGCTAACAGGACCAGTGGTCAGGGATGATGGGAGTTGTAGTCCCAAAACATCTGGAGCATGGGTACGTAAACTAATCCCGGGGTCCGGATCTGGCCCAATTGCCTTCTAAATCCAGCCTGCGGACAGTCCGGGAATCAGTGTGTTTTTACATGAGTAGAATGTGTCCTTTTATTTAAAATGCACCTCTGGGTTATTTGTGGCACCTGCCTGGTGTTATTACATGAGCAGAATGTGTGCTTTTATTTAAAACGCATCTCTGGGTTATTTGTGGGGCATAGGAATTCATTCATTTCCCAGAGATGGGAAATAACCCAGAGATGCATTTTAAATAAAAGGACACATTCTACTCATGTAAAAGCATGCTGGTTACCAGACTGTCCATGGGCTGGATTTAGAAGACGATTGGGCCGGATCCAGCCCCTGGGCCTTAGCTTGCCTACCCATGATCTAAACCAGCAGTTCTCAAACTGTGGGTCCCCAGATGTTGTTGGACTACAACTCCCATCATCCCTGAGCTCTGGCCTTGCTAGCTAGGGGTGATGGGAGTTGTAGCTCAACAACATCTGGGGACTCACAGGTTGAGAAAGGCTGATCTAGGCCATGGATAGCTCCAGGTGAGTGTTTTGCTCCAACAAAGGCTTGGAGTAGACTGGGGGCCTTTGAAGCCTGTGTCTCCAGACTACCTCCTCCAAGCTGCATCCCCTTGTGGAGAACCTCAGACTCCAGAACCAGCCCCAATCCAACCTGAAAATGGACACGTCTCCTCGGTTCCAGAAGCTCCCTTCAGGTGGACTTCTTTGTGCTGCTGTACTGCTGATGTGCGGTGGGGACATCTGGTTCTTCAGGTTAAGGGGAAGGCTCCTGTGAGGGTCTGGAAAGTTCTTCTGGGGCCTCCTTTTTACCATATTTTTTATTAAGTTTTCCAAATACATTTCAAAGGGACGTGGGTGGCGCTGTGGGTAAAACCTCAGTGCCTAGGACTTGCCGATCGTCAGGTCGGCGGTTCAAATCCCCACGGCGGGGTGCGCTCCCGTTGCTCGGTCCCAGCGCCTGCCAACCTAGCAGTTCGAAAGCACGTCAAAGTGCAAGTAGATAAATAGGGACCGCTTACTAGCGGGAAGGTAAACGGCGTTTCCGTGTGCTGCGCTGGCTCGCCAGAAGCGGCTTAGTCCTGCTGGCCACGTGACCCGGAAGTGTCTCCGGACAGCACTGGCCCCCGGCCTCTTAAGTGAGATGGGCGCACAACCCTAGAGTCAGACACGACTGGCCCGTACAGGCAGGGGTACCTTTACTTTTACCATCACCTTTCTTATCCATTCTTTGGGTTCCTTCCATTTTAGTGTGCAAAGAATCCTAGCTGCAAGTTGTTACATATATAAACATCTTAATCATCTTTTTGGGGACTTCTGTAAACCTTGGTAGAAAAGTTTCAGATTTTTTTGGGTATCTTCTGGGGCCTCCTTTAGAACCACTTCAGGTGTCAGCTCTGAGGCCTGACCCAGACCTGGCTGCCCACCTGTTGCCCTGCAGACTCTGACTCTATGCCCATAAAATGCTCTTGTTGCACTGTTTTTTGGAGGTTTCCCAGACATCAAAGTGGAAGGGTGACCCCTCGCATCAACCCACACTTCTCTTCCCTAATGCTGAGCTCCTTCATTTTTCTCTAGATCAAAGAAAGAGGGGGCTGGTTTGCATAAATAGCCGTATCGTTACATGGGCAACTTTGTCGAGATGGACAGAAAAGCATTGATTGACTTGGTCCATTAGAGAATGACCAGATTTGGTCAAATAGAAGCCTTTTCAATAGTTTGTGTGTGTGATTTTGGCCGGGGGGGGGGGGATGAAAGCTTTCCCACCACCAGAATAGCTTCTCGCCATCCAAAGACACATTTCAGTCAGTCAGAAACACTCAAACTTCTTTTGGGAATTATAGGGACAGAACTACCCCAAATGTATAGAAACATATTCGTGTATGCGACTACAGCAGCAAGAATGGTACTCGCCCAAAAATGGAAAGAAGAAGAAGTCCCAGCAAAGAAGGAATGGATGCAAAAACTTATGGAATATGCGGAAATGGCGAAGAATAAGAAATCAAGATAACATTTTTTAAAATAAAAGAATGGAGATGGTTTATTGAATATTTACAGATACATTGTAAACAGATAAGAACATTGGCAGGATTATTGTAATAACCTGCAGTTTTGTAAGAGCACATATTTAAAGAAGATGAAATAAATGAGCAAATAAAGTTAATTTGGATATGCAGAAGATATTAGAAATAAATTTAAGGAACCGCAGAAAGAGGGGGGAAGGAAGTCAAGTTTCAAAATGTCAAAATGATTGTAAAATTGCAAAGACTATCTACAGAAATATTGCAAAATTAATGAATGTTAGAATGATGTTGGATAGAAATTAAGTGGTTTTCAGCTGTAATACTATAAGGGAATATGAAAAATGGATTATTAATAGGTAAAAATTTAACGTTATAATATTTTAAGATTAAAGACTAGGAATAAACAAAGAGGGTAAGGATTTGCTGAACCAACAAATCGAACTGGAATACAAAAAAAGGGAGGCGTGAGGAGGTCCGGGAAACAAGTTAATGAAAAATAAGTAATGGAAAGAATGAGTTGTTTTTAACCATTTTTATTTTGTATTTTCTTCTTTTTTTATTTTTATTTTGTAACATTTTGAAAATCTCAATAAATATCTTATAAAAAACAAACAAACAAAATGATTGTAAAATTGGTGAAATGTATAAACTTGAAAAGAGGGATGCGGGTGGTGCTGTGGGTTAAACCACAGAGCCTAGGACTTGCTGATCAGAAGGTAGGCAGTTCGAATCCCCGTGACGGAGTGAGCTCCTGTTGCTCGGTCCCTGCTCCTTCCAACCTAGCAGTTCGAAAGCACGTCAAAGTGCAAGTAGATAAATAGGTACTGCTCCAGCGGGAAGGTAAACGGCGTTTCCGTGCGCTGCTCTGGTTCGCCAGAAGTGAATTAGTCATGCTATTTTCTGGTTTGCCTCAGGCAGCAAAATGTTGGCCTAGCCCTGTCGCCATTTCTGCCTGACTCCCCACCACTGCTGCCTGAGGCATCTGCCCCCCTCTGCCTAATGGTAGGGTGAGCCATGAATGCCACACACCTCTCCATCCCCCTTCCAGGCAAGCAAGAGGCATGATCACAGTTCCATGACCCATTCCAGGCAGCCAAATACAATCATGGAGGCTCCCTACCCAGTACTTAAGAAAAGTATTATATAAAATACTGCTTTCTGGTCTGTGAACGCTGTGCTGTATCTGCAGACTGGAGGCAGTTGGGCTCCTATCTAAAGTTCAGTCCACATTAGATGAGCAGTGACTCATATTTTTGTGGAATAATCTGGTTATTTTGTGTGGGCAAGTACAACCCAGTCATGAATGTGCATTAGATCCTTCTTTTTCTGCTGAGTTGTTGCTTCGTTGCTGCGTACCTTGGCAAGCTCTGCTTCGCTCTAATGAGCCCCATTACCCAAGTGAGCAAGTCGCTTGGAGAGGATGCCAAAAAAGACAAGGAAGGAGGGGAGGGGAAGGGAATGAGAAGAACAGAGGATATGACCAATGAACTCTTTGAGAGCCTCAAGCTGTAGACAAGATAAGGCTCTCAGACAGGGCATGGCACAGTTTATTTGCATAAGGCTAAGGGTGGAGAATCCAATTAGCAAGGCAAGCATGGTGATCATATGATTAAATGGCAATTTCCTAAGAGCTGGAGAAGTAAACATTTCTTTCCCCAGCTGACTAGTGCAGAAATGAATCTCATCTCTTTTCTTTTCTTGCCCTGTACTGTGGAAGAAAAGAATACTGGTGTAATGCCATTGGAGAGAATGAGTTCTGAATGGATGAGATTTGAAACAACAGGTTATCTTGGTCCCTGGCTCTTATCTTTGGCTCCCACTCCTGACTGAATTGAATGCTTGTTTTGTTCAGAATAGACCCATTGAAATAAACAAAGCTATGGTCGTCCTGTTCATTCGCATCAGGGGACAACTGTGAATAGAACACAGGTTACACAACCTGAAGAGTGCAATCCTAACTACGACTACTCAGAAGTCATCTTTCTTCTTCTTCTTTGGTGATCACTCGTAGCCAAGTAAGATTGTCTTCCATAAACACGGTTTTAATAGTGGGTCCATAAGTGACTGTGGAGGCCAATTCTGGATCAACACATCTTTCCACAGTGGGGACATAAGTTTCCAGGCAGGAGTTCACCAAGCATGCCTTCCTCTTTGCAAGTTTCTCTCTTTTGTCCTGAGTTCGAGCGTCTTCAAAGTCCATGACACCTTTGGAAAAGGCTGTTTTCCAATTGGAGCGCTCGCAGGCCAGTGTTTCCCAGTTGTCGGTGTTTATACTACATTTTTAAAGATTTGCCTTGAGAGAGTCTTTAAACCTCTTTTGTTGACCACCAGCATTATGCTTTCCATTTTTAAGTTTGGAATAGAGTAGTTGCTTTGGAAGACAATAATCAGTTATCTGCACAACATGACCAGTCTAATGAAGCTGATGTTGAAGAATTATTGTTTCATCATCAATGGTGATCTTTGCTTCTTCCAGTATACTGGCATTAGTTTGCCCGTCTTCCCAAGTGATGTGCAAAATTTTTCAGAGACACCGTTGATTTCGGAGACAATCTTTTGAGGAGCTGGAGATGGCATTTGTAAGTGGTCCATGTTTCACAAGCATACAGTAAGGTTGGTAGTACAGTAGCTTTGTAAACAAGCATTTTGGTTTCCCTGCGAATGTCCCGGTCCTCAAACACTCTGCACTTCAATCGGGAGAAAGCTGCACTCGCAGCCAAATTCAGTGAGGCTTACTCCCAGGTTAGTGAGGTTGTGATTGCAGCCTTACTCTCCAGTTTTAGACCTCATAACATCTCAGCTGCAAGAGACAAGAGAGGCATTTTTTTCCCATTTAGTTCTAAAAAATATTTTCCTTCTTGTGCATTACTGCTGGCTGGAGTACTTGCATTTCCTTGATATTTTATTTTTAAAAATCGCTATTTAGATGTTTTCTTAAAGGTTCAGCCCTGTTCCTTGTGCATCTTTCAAAGTGGCTGTTAACAGTTTGCATGTAATATTTCGGAGACATTTATCTTTAAAATGGGGGCGGGCAAGGGGTGTAGTGTGAGCTCTAATGTAGATCAAGTCAGCTTTTGTAAAACTAATGCCTGTATTTAGCAGCAGAAAACGGCAAAGGATTATACTAATTCTCTTTGGCTCCTAGTTTCGCATAACCCTGTTCATCTATTAAGATTTATTAGGGTTGCCAGCCTTCTAGGATTCCACAGGACCAGTGGGTGAGAAGAAAAAGCTGTTCTTTTTTAGGAAACTAGTGTTGAAGTCTGAGGGCTGAACTACTGCCCTGAGATCTACAATAAAATAAAATAAAAACCCAGTCTGATGTTTGGCATATAAAAATATATATATATATATTTGTTCTTATTAAGCAAAAAACAAAGAGAACTTTTTTCACAGGGATCGGGAAGACCGACTCTTGAATGATTGACAGGCAACCTTCAAAGGACCCTGTTTCGAAAGAGCCATGTCGGTGCCGTTCCGGAAAGAGTTGGAGAAATACAAGAATATCAACGAAGATGAAATTCTCAACAAACTCTCTGAGGATGAGCTAAAGCAGCTGGAAAGTGTTCTTGATGATCTGGATCCAGAGGTGTGTACCAAACATGACATTCGTTTTTCAAAGCCTAAACAACGTAGACCCTTCATATCTGAAAGACCACCATCTTCCCTGGAGACTCTCTTAAGATCAGCAGAGAGGGCCCTCTTGGTAGTTTTACTGTCCTTGGAATTTCATGGGGTCTTTGGCCGGGCCAGGTCAGGAGAGGCAGACCCTCCAAGTGTCCCTATCTTCCAGGGATGTCCCTAATTTAGAGAAGCCGTCCCAGTTTCTGATTTGATCCCGTTTTTCCTTAGGACAGGGGTCAGCAAACTTTTTCAGCAGGGGGCCGGTCCACTGACCCTCAGACCTTGTGGGGGCCAGACTATTTTTTTTTTTTTGGGTGGGAGAACAAATTCCTATGCCCCACAAATAACCCAGAGATGCATTTTAAATAAAAGCACGCATTCTACTCATGTAAAAACACCAGGCAGGCCCCACAAATAACCCAGAGATGCATTTTAAATAAAAGGACACATTCTTCTACTCATGTAAAAACACACTGATGCCCGGACTGTCCGCGAACTGGATTTAGAAAGCGATTGGGCTGGATCCGGCCCCCGGGCCTTAGTTTCCCTACCCATGCCTTAGGATGTCCCTATTTTCATTGGAGAAATGTAGGAGGGTATAGAGTTATCTGACACCCCCCCCCCCAGCCGTCTGAAGGCAATCCTGTATAGGGAAGGGTTTTTTTTAAATGTTTAATTATGTTTTTATATGTGTTGGAAGCTGCCCAGAGCGGCTGGGGCAAGACGGTAAGATGTGTGGGGTATAAATAGTAAAATTATCGTTATGGATTGGATGCCCCTAATTTCATCAGAGAAATGTTGAAGGGTATGGGTAGGGCCTTCTCTGTGGCAGCCCCTAAAGTTGTGAAATTTCATTCCCAGAGAGGTGCGTCTGGCACCTTCGTTGTACAACTTCCATCATCTAATGAAGACACACCTCTTCACTCTGACACCCCATATGTATTTAGGACCCACTCTGTTCTCATATCGTAGATTGTTTTATCTGATTTTAATATTGTAGTTTTACAATGTTGTAACCTGCTCTGGGACCTTCTGGTGAAGGACAAGTAAAAAGTCCAATCAATAAGAGTAATTGGATTTTAGCCTTAAGGATCACAAATCAAAATCTTCACAAAGCTCAGAGTTACATGTATTGTAAAACTCGACCCGTGGAGGATGAAGGTGAGCTGGTAGGAAGAACTACCAAAATTTGATTGTTCCTAAGGGGCAATTTCAAGGGGAACAACATTTTTTTGAAAGGCTCAAGAGAGCTTTTCTTCTGTTTCTTTTTTGGTGGCAGCCATAGTGGTTCTTTTTTTATTTCTCACAACATTTTTAGGGAAGCTTTTAATGTTTGAAGTTTTATTCTGTTTTTAATGCTAAAGCCACCCAGAGTGGCTGGGGAAACCCAGCCAGATGGGTGGGGTATTGAAATAATAATAATAATAATAATAATAATAATAATAACTATTTTGCTGAAATAAATGATATGCCACTCATTGGATAGGCATTAAATATTGATGGTATATAATTTCACTTGCATAGTGCTCCTGGAGAAGGGTTGTAAGACTTGAAATGTGTTGGCGTTGGGCTAAAAAAAATGTTTTCAGCTCACCTTTGGAAGCTCCTGTCTCATCGTTCTTTGCTCCCTAATGAGCACACGCAAGAACTGGGTGTAAAATTACAGATAATGTGGAAACTTTCTGAAAGTCCACCGTCTCTCAGCTATCGTCTGGCAGCAGTGATTGCAGCAAGTTACGGCAGTGGGAGAGATGGAAAACAAGGGCAAACACTAGCTCTGGCTGCTTACATCCTGAAGCTGTTTTCATTTCAGCTGGTCATCAGGATAACTATTCATTCATTCATTCATTCAAATTAAAGTTTTACACTCACATATCCAACATACATAATATAAACAAGATTCCAGAGAATCTCCTGGACTCCCCTCCTCCCCTTTGTGGGTCCTATTGTTAATAATTTCCTCCTGCATCTTTTATGATAATCCAAATCTTTTACATCTCCATTATATCCAAAATTCACCATTAAACTACAAGTGTTATTCCAATCCTGCTAACGATTTTAATTGTTTACAATGATTTTTTAAGATAAATTATAAATCCGCCCCCCCCATTCCTTATTAAAATTCTGGTCTTCCTGATTTCTGATTCTTCCGGTCATTTTTGCCATTTCGGCATAATCCATCAATTTAATCTGCCATTCTTCTCTGGTAGGGACTCGACTACTATTTAAGAACGTGTGTCCCAGTCTTCAAAAATGTGCACCTGGAATTGCGCTCCCCTTTCCTCTTCCCTACCCCTCGCTTTTTCCTTTTGTGTCGTGTGTTTTAGATAGTAAGCTTGCGCACAGGGACTGCCTTGTTCTAGCTGCTCTGGGAACCTAGAGAATTGCTCTAAATAAAGACAGTAGTTTGCCATCCTACTGACTCTCTGCTCCCCTCTCTCATGTCTGCCTTGACAGAATGCGCTTCTGCCGGCAGGCTTCCGTCAGAAGGATCAGACCAGTAAACCTGCCACGGGACCTTTTGACAGAGAGCGGTTGTTGTCCTACTTGGAAAAACAAGCCTTGGAGCACCAAGACAGAGAGGACGTCGTGCCCTTTACCGGAGAAAAGAAAGGTAAGCCTCCATCTTCACGGATAGCCAAAATGGCAGGGTAAATGGGTGGCCTCATGCTGAAAATCAACCTAGCAACGGAAGTTCAGTGCCAAGTGGCAGACTTTTAACATATGATTTGTATTCTTCTTCTTTGGCGATCACTCGTAGCTGAGTAAGATTGTCTTCCATAAACACGGTTTTAACAATGAGTCCGTAAGTGACTGTGGAGGCCAATTCTGGATCCACACGTCCTTCCACAGTGGGGACATTGGTTTCCGGGCGGGAGTTGATCACGGTGTGGATTTGCCATCGTACCTTCCTCTTAGCACGTTTCTCCTTTGCTTCCTGAGTTCGAGTGTCTTCAAAGCCCATGACACCTTTGGTAAAGTCTGTTCTCCAACTGGAGCACTCGCAGGCCAGTGTTTCCCAGTTGTCAGTGTTTATACTACATTTTTAAAGATTTGCCTTGAGAGAGTCTTTGAATCTCTTTTGTTGACCACCAACATTATGCTTTCCATTTTAAAGTTTGGAATAGAGTACCGTATTTTTTGCACCATAACACTCACTTTTTTTCTCCTAGAAAGTAAGGGAAAATGTCTGTGCGTGTTATGGAGGGAATGCCTACGGGTGGCTTGCCTACGGATTTTCCTCCTCTAAAAACTACATGCGTGTTATGGTCGGGTGCGTGTTATAGAGCGAAAAATACGGTAGTTGCTTTGGAAGATGATCATCAGGCATCCGCACAACATGACTAGTCCAACGAAGTTGATGTTGAAGAATTAGTGCTTCAACACTGATGATCTTTGCTTTTTCCAGTACACTGATATTAGTTCGCCTGTCTTCCCAAGTGATTTGTAAAAGCGCACCCTGGTAAATTACAAATTTGGTCTCTGGTCTGCCCCCTCAGTCAGAAGCTGTTTTGTCCAAAATCCACAGTTAGGCAGTGCATTTTTTTAAAGGACCAGTCAAAATGCAACAACAGCAACAACAACAGTTTATTATTTATACCCCACCCATCTGGCTGGATTTAACCTGCCACTCTGGGTGGCTCCCAACAGAATATTTAAAACATGATAAAGCATCAAACATTAAAAACTTCCCTAAACAGGGTTGCCTTCAGACAGCGAGCCAGTTTTCGAGTTCTGCAGAGTTTCTTTTCAGGGTGGGTGTAATGCAAAAGCAACAAAAAACAAAAACCCATAAAAATGGGCATGGTGTGGTGTAGCCATAAGGTCTGCACCTGGACACAGGATGGGGAAGATAAGGCTGTCCAGGTGTTGCATGAACTACAACTCCCATCACCCCTGGCCATAGGCTTATGCTGGCTGGGGCTGATGCAAGTTGGAGTCCAACAACTGGTCAAACTGGGGAAACTGGTTTTCAAGCTTCCTTAAGGCTGTATACACCCCCCACCAAAAAACAAAGAAGCCTGAGAATTGTAGTCAAGGGTGCTGGGAATTATAGTTCTGTGAGGGGTGAACTACAATTCCCAGGATTATTCCGGTGGGGTGCGCGTGCTTTAAATGTACGGTGTGTATGTGAACCATTGTATCTAAGGACAGGTTGTCTCCTGCGAGTGCTGTCTTGCTACGATAACCTTTCGCCGTACGAATGAGCCCTGTGGGAGACTTCCGGGCTCTTGCACAAGATGCGTCTCCTAATTTGAAGCTGGCAACACTTTATCGTCGTTGCGTAAGGGTCAGGCGCGAGCGAGGCTGGCAGGGTGTGTGATCTATGTGGTGTTTCTGACCACAATATTTATTTTGGCAGAGCCTGTTGTATAAATGGCAGGGCGACGATTGTTTGGAAAGCTTTCGTAGCCTGAACCTCACTGGAAATGAGCTGTTTGGGGGGATGTTGCCAGTTCCACTTCTGGGAAGGAAGAAGAGGGGGCCTCCTAAGAAAAGGGTGTGTGTGGCTGCCTTGGAGGCTTAGACCTGAGGTTAGCCATCCTTGAGGCAGCGACAAGCCAGTCGGCAGTTAAGCAGAGGGACAGCCAGTCTCAGAGCAGCGCACCTTGCACTGTTGCAGATTTATGGAAGCGGAGGCACTCGTGCATTTGTATCACGTGACATTGCGCTGAGACTCTCCCCGCACTTCTTTTTCAGCTGCTGAAATGGCTGCGCTCACACACGAAACAACAAGAAGCAACACGTTGGCTAATGATATACTAAGAAAATTTTCATAACATTATACCGTTTCAAAATTCATAAGCAGAAGACATAACCCGTACGCAAATTAATTGAAACAAACAATGTAGTTTATTGTACAAAACTCACAGATACATGTACAAAACTCACATTAGTAACGGATATGACCTCTGCTATTTTAAAGCAGCGTTTGAACACGGTTTGGCATGGAGTCTACTAGTTTCGAACAGTCGCTGTTGATTTTCGGATCCCTGTACCACACTTGAATCAGCGCCTGAATGAGCTTCTACATAGTCGTACAGTCTACAGCATGGAGGCAACTTTTGCATATAGCCCACAAATTCTCAATGGGATTTACCTCTGGGGAATTCCCTGGCCAATCAAGTACTTGTGTTTGCTGCTCTGTCATGAATTTCTTCACCACTTTCAATGTGTGACAGGGGGCTAGGTCCTGCTGCAATATCCCAGGACCATCAGGATACCTCTTTTCCAGCTCTGCAAGAGCTCTCTTTCGTAGAACCTCAATATATTGTGGCGAGCGCATCATTCCTTGTATTGGCTGCAGGCTTCTGACACCATAATGATCAACTGACTTTTCGTGTTTGTTTTGAGTACAGGATTACGAGTAAGATAGAAAACATACTTTGTTTCAATTAATTTGCACAAGGGTGTATAATATGTGCATGGAGTCACAAATAATAGGAATCAAATAATTGTTCCATAACCAGGAATTGTAGGGTTGGTAAGTCACTGTCAAAGATCACAGAAATGGAGGAGAATGCCTTTCCACAGTCAATATCCTACAAATGTGAGGCGATAGGTGCTCTGACAGAACAGTTCTTCCAGGATAATGAACTGTTTCAGTGATAATTCTTCCTCAGCTGGCAATAATATAAAATGAAATCCATTACATTCAAATGCAATACAAAGATTGAAACGACAGGCCTGCATATAAACAACCAATAATAAATACATACCAAATTAATTGTGAATGGCCATGGATCAGCAATCACTTAAAAGCAGGCATGGTCAAACTTGTCCCTCCAGATGTTTTGGGACTACAACTCCCATCATCCTTAGCTAACAGGACCAGTGGTCAGGGATGATGGGAATTGTAGTCCCAAAAACATCTGGAGGGCCAAGCTTGCCTATGCTTGGCTTAAAAGTGTAGTAAGCTGATATTGTTGGCAGAACCCTTGTAGCTTTATAAAGGCTACCCACAGGTGCAATGAATCACATAAATTTTCAGGAAATTTAAAGATACAGTATCCAAAAATCTGGCAAAGAGAACACAAATAGTAGCCATATTGTCAGAAAACTTCAATAAAACAATTGAAATCTAATTCAGTATTCAAACTCCCCGGGTGGAGAGTCATTTTGGACTCACAGCTGTCCATGGAGGCGCAGGTTAATTCTGTGTCCTGGGCGGCTGTGTACCAGCTCCATCTGCCTGCGGACTGTCTTGCCAGAGTGGTGCATGCTCTAGTTATCTCCCGCTTGGACTACTGCAACGCGCTCTACATGGGGCTACCTTTGAAGGTGACCCGGAAACTGCAATTAATCCAGAATGCAGCAGCTAGATTGGTGACTGGGAGTGGCTGCTGGGACCACATAACACCGGTTCTGAGAGATCTGCATTGGCTCCCAGTACGTTTCCGAGCACAATTCACAGTGTTGGTGCTGACCTTTAAAGCCCTAAACGGCCTCGGTCCAGTATACCTGGAGGAGCGTCTCCACACCCACCGTTCAGCCCGGACACTGAGATCCAGTGCCGAGAGCCTTCTGGCGGTTCTCTCATTGTGAGAAGTGAGGTTACAGGGAACCAGACAGAGGGCCTTCTTGGTAGTGGCGCCCGCCCTGTGGAACGCCCTCCCTTCAGATGTGAAGGAAATAAGCAGCTATCCTATCTTTAAAAGACATCTGAAGGCTGCCCTGTTCAGGGAAGTTTTTAATATTTAATGCTGTACTGTTTTTAACACTGGATTGGGAGCTGCACAGAGTGGCTGGGGAAACTCAGCCAAATGGGTGGGATATAAATAAATTTTATTATTATTATTATTATTATTATTATTATTATTATTTAAATAGGTAAATCAGTCTGGTTTCTTGTTGGTGCACACATGACACTTGATCCATCAGCTCCCTTGTCCTTCCACACCGATGCACAGCTTTTAAAAAATAATATTTCAAAACTACTTTTTGCCAGCACCAGTTTAAAAATAAAAAGGACAGGGAAATGCATGGCTGCCTCACCGCTGAGTTTGCTCCCCATGGACCTATTGAAACACACACACACACCCCAACCAAAAAAACCCTACTCCCAGCTTTGGGACCCTCCCCCACAACTTCCAGATTCAAGCCCCACCCAAAAAAGTTCTACCTTGAGACCTGGTCTGGGGCAAAGTAGGAGTGTTCTTTTGGATTGCATGTAGTGCCAGAGTGTGATATTGCGCAGATGGTGCATGTGAGTCTATTGATGCTTTTTTTAAAAAAAGAAAAGCACCATCCCATGCGCAAATGTTTCACTCTGGAATCAAGGTTCAGCTGTACCTGTATGTAGCACATCAGGGGGAGGGACAGAAAGAGCGCCGCCGGAGGCGAGAGTTTAAAATCCACTCTTCTTCCTGGAAAAGCCCTGCAGTTAGAAATTTCTCTCTCTAGCTCAGCAACTTTCCCCTTTCTTTGAAGCCGATGGCTTCGCTAGGGAATGCTTGAACGAAAAGAGCTCTCCCATGTCAACCAGCTGGTTAAAAGATGAACGCTCAGTTGTGTGTGTGTGTGTGTGTTCTTTAAAGTCAGCTGTATGGTTTTGATTATGTTGTGGAATAAGCTGGGGGAAGCAGGGCAGGAGGAGAGAATTCCAAAAGCTTCATAGGAAGGCTGTGGAATCGGGAAGGAATTTGATAGAGCGGCTGCTCGCATTTTCTTAGGAATCTTAGGAAGTTGTATAATCTTTGAAGAGGCACGGCTGTGACTATCATGCAAGGACCCTACACTTCTGAATTTGCCACTATGCTATTGTACTTAATGGACCTCTTTACCCTCACTTTTGACACTTGGAATGTATATTTTTAGAACCCACTTTGTTTGTGTTGGGACGTGCGTGGCACTGTGGGTTAAACCACAGAGCCTAGGACTTGCCGATCAGAAGGTTGGCAGTTTGAATCCCTGTGACAGGATTGCTCCTGTTGCTCGGTCCCTGCTCCTGCCAACCTAGCAGTTCAAAAGCACGTCAAAGTGCAAGTAGATAAATAGGTAAACTGGCGGGAAGGTAAACGGCGTTTCCGTGCACTGCTCTGGTTTGCCAGAAGCGGCATAGTCATGCTGGCCACATGACCCGGAAGCTGTACGCTGGCTCCCTCGGCCAGTAAAGCGAGATGAGCGCCACAACCTCAGAGTCGGTCACGACTGGACCTAATGGTCAGGGGTCCATTTACCTTTACTTTATTGTACTTAATGGACCTCTTTACCTTCACTTTTGACACTTGGAATGTATATTTTTAGAGCCCACTTTCTTTGTGTTAATTTTAGGTTAAAACTTTTAAATATTGTGCTTTAATACTGATATTCAAGTGTTCCCTAGCGAAGCCATCAGCTTCAAAGAAAGGGAAAAGTTGCTGAGCTAGAGAGAGAATTTACTAATACACAGTTTTAATTGTTGCAACGTGCCCTGGAACCTTAAGGTGAAGGGCAGGTAATAAATTGCAGCAATTATTATTGTTATTATTGTTATTATCATCATCATCATGAATATATTGTAGGGGGAAATAAGGTTTTAATGGGCATTGCTAATATGGGGAGAAGTACTAGCGTGGAGGCATTCCTTTGGGAGTTGTCATAGTATTGCTAGCTTCTAAGTCTGGAAATTATGAATCACCTCCCTAAAAATAATACAAGCAGCTAAATATCACAAGGCAAAATCGATCAGCTCTGTGCATTATTTGTCTCTTGTTCCTCGAATGCATGAAGCAGCCTTAAACTGACTCAGACCCATCTAGTTCACTTCTTGTCTGGGTTCTTCACATTAGTAGCCAAACACTGCTAGGTTGGGCGGAAAAAAACCATGGAGAACAGCTATAAATTTACCTTTTTATTAAACTAATGCAAAATGATGATGAGCTCAAAGAGTTGGATCAGCTGCATCAGTGGCAGTAGTGAACCTCATGCAAGATTGGGAATGCAGGGCTACATCCAATGCAGTGCTAAGACAAAGCCACTTAAAGAATAATAGAGTTGTAGACTTGGAAGGTTCCCCCAAGATGAATTCAGGTCCAATCCCCTGCAACGCAGGAATTGCAAGAAAATTAAATACCGTATTTTTCGCTCTATAGGGCGCACCGGCCCATAGGGTGCACCTAGCTTTTTTGGGGGGGGGGAATAAAGGGAAAAAAATTATTTCCCCCCAGGCGCGGGGCTGGGGTGGGGGAAGCCCGAGCTTCCTCCGACCCCAGCCCCCAGAACAGGCTGCTATCCGCAAGCCTGGAGAGCCTGGCAGGAGTTCCTGCCGGGCTCCCAAGGCTTGCGGATATCTGCCCGAAGCCCGGGGTGCGCTGCGAAGGCTTGCGGATAGCTTCCTGAAGCCTGGAGAGCGAGAGGGGTCGGTGCGCACCGACCCTCTCGCTCTCCAGGCTTCAGCGAAAGCCTGCATTCGCTCCATAGGACGCACACACATTTCCCCTTCATTTTTGGAGGAGAAAAAGTGCGTCCTATAGAGCGAAAAATACGGTAAATAAAAATTTCTGACAGATGGCCATCCAACTTGTTCTACTGACAAATGTTTCGTGCTGCTGGAACATGGTTGCCTCAAAGAACTTCTGGTAACTTGCGGGGAAAGTCATGTTCGTTTGATTCCCACAGAAAGTGCTTTGTAAAATCTAGGGTCCATCGGATGCTAGCAATCAAATAGGCAATGCAGCTTTGTGGAGACAGTTCTTCAGAGCCTGTGAGGTTTTCTGAAGGCTTCTGTGTGATGGGATGTTCCCACAGAGGGGTGCTTCTTAGAGGGTTGTCGGATCCTTGGAAAGCTTTGCCTTTGTCATCCGATTCATAAAATGAGAGGAGAATGCACGTGATGTTCTAGCTCTGCTCTCGTCGAAATCCATAGGGAATGAGATGACGTTGGCTGGTGGGAAAACCCAGGCCAGGATGCAAATGTCTTGGAAAACCCTCATAATGAAAGTCAGCTGCTTAGCGTTCAGTTCAAGAAAAAGATACTTGGGTGCTGGCTGTGTTTTAAAATGAGCAACCACTGAATCCGTAGCATTTCATTTAATTTTATTTATTCCTTTTGTGAAATTTATATTCTGCTTGAGTGTAAACAACAATCAGTATCCAAACAAACCCGTGTTGCAAAGAGAACGTCAACAATGTTTAGGCAACATGACGACCATATACATACGTAATAAAAAGGTAAAGGTACCCCGTACGGGCCAGTCTTGCCAGACTCTAGGGTTGTGCGCTCAGCTCACTCTATAGGCTGGGAGCCAGCGCTGTCCGCAGACACTTCCGGGTCACGTGGCCAGCGTGACAAGCTGCATCTGGTGAGCCAGCGCAGCACACGGAACACCGTTTACCTTCCCGCTGGTAAGCGGTCCCTATTTATCTACTTGCACCCGGGGGTGCTTTCGAACTGCTAGGTTGGCAGGCGCTGGGACCGAACGACGGGAGCACACCCCGCCGCGGGGATTCGAACCGCCGACCATGTGATCGGCAAGTCCTAGACGCTGAGGTTTTACCCACAGCGCCACCCGCGTCCCTGCAACAATGTTTAGGCAACATGACAACCATATACATACGTAATAGACAATCTTTATAGAATTCCGTCAAACAATAACAAGTTCAAAATGAAATCTTAGTCTCAAAATCTCTGAAATTCAGTAAATATAATCTCCAACACTGAACAGAGATTCCGGATATTGACTGCTGTTTTGTAGATCTTCATCAGCGTGGTGGGAGAATATAGAATTGCTTCATAAGCTGAAAATAAAATTTTACGGACGGTGACCTGCATGACATATCACTTTACAAAAAGGAATTCTATAAAGATTGTCTATTACGTATGTATATAGTCATCGTGTTGCCTAAACATTGTTGAGTGTAAACAACAAGAACCCTCGAGGCAGTTTGCAAAAAGAATGTTATGGTTCAAAATTTACTGTAGAACAACATCTTTATTGGGACTACCTAAAAGGTCACAAAACATCAAGCAAGCTTTCCAGTTCTCCAAAGTTCTTCTTCATCAGGGTTCACCAACCTTTTGGAGCCTGGGGACAGATTGGCAGGTGGGAGAAATTCTTGTGGGCACCACATCCGAGCCGCAACTTATTCTACTGACCACAGCAGGCTGCTTCTATTAAACCTAATTTCAGCAGGGAGAGGAGGCGCTGTGGGTGCCAGGGGAGGCCTTGTGGGCATGTGTACACCTGTGGGCACCACCCTGGCTACTTTGCAAGATGGAGTTGAGCAGGTATTGGGGCCCTTTGGCCCTCCAGATGTTGCAGAACGACAGCTCCCATCTGCTCTGACAGGCATGGCCAATGGCCAGGGATGAGGGGAGTTATAGGTCAGTAACATCTGGAGGGCGAAAGATACAGGCACTCTGCATCTGAAATCAAGTACTGATAATCCTAGACAAACTACCAGTTAGTTTCCGGGCCCAATTCAAAGTGCTGGTTTTGATCTATAAAGCCTAAAACGGCTCAGGACCGCAGTGTCTCAAGGACCACCTCTTCCCATATGAACATACCCGGACCCTGAGATCATCTTTTGAGGCCCTTCTTGTGTGCCTCCTCCGCAAGAGGTCCAGAGGATGGCAACACGAGAACAGGGCCTTCTCTGCAGTGGCTCCCTGTCTGCGAAATGCTCTCCCCGGGGAAGTCTGCCTGGCGCCTTCATTACACACCTTTAGGCGCCAGGCAAAAATGTTCCTTTTCAACCAGGCCTTTGCCTGACTTGATCTACATCCTATGCCCTTTTTTAAAATGTTGGCTCTTTTGGTTTTTTTTTTAATTGGGTTGTTGGTTTTGTTTTGATTTTATGAATTTGATATTTATGTGACTATACCTTTGGGTATAGGTCGGAATAGAAATTATATTATTATTATTATTATTATTACATTGAGAATATCTGAACACTCAGAACATCAACAGTGTGGGTCTGGAAAGTGGAGAAACAGGCATCTTTTTTTTCCTTTTTCCAACATTTGCCCGGGATGGTCAGCAGTCACATGTTCCATGACGGCATTTACCAGAATCTGGGCATTCACACTACACAAAGATCCATACAACTTCTCTCTGAATAAACTCTTAAGTGGGTGAACCCTGCCAGTCTAACTGATGGTTACATCACATCTATCCAGTTTAATTTGCTTTCTCTTCCTTTTCCCTTTTTCTTTTTAAAGGAAAAGCATTTATCCCTAAAGAAAGACCAATAGAAACCCGCACAGAGGAGAAAGTAACTCTGGATCCAGAATTAGAAGAAGCCCTGGCCAGTGCCTCTGACACTGAGCTGTACGATCTAGCAGGTTTGTTGCCATCTTTGAACAGTTGGGTTATCTCAAACTGGGCCTGGGTGTCTTAACACAGCTGGCAGCAACAGCCCTGGGGTTTTTTTTTCAACTCCTACCATGCTTCTCAAGGGGGCCATCCATGATGCCGCAATATAAGATGACACGACCAAACCACACATTCTGTTTTTGTTTTTGTGATATATATATATATATATACATATATATATATACACACACACACACACACACACACACACATATACTGGGACGCGGGTGGCGCTGTGGGTTAAACCACAGAGCCTAGGACTTGCCGATCAGAAGGTCGGCGGTTCGAATCCCCGCGACGGGGTGAGCTCCCATTGCTCGGTCCCTGCTCCTGCCAACCTAGCAGTTCGAAAGCACGTCAACGTGCGAGTAGATAAAAAGGTACCGCTCTGGCGGGAAGGTAAACGGCGTTTCCGTGCGCTGCTCTGATTTGCCAGAAGCGGCTTAGTCCTGCTGGCCACATGACCCGGAAGCTGTACGCCGGCTCCCTTAGCCAATAAAGCGAGATGAGCGCCGCAACCCCAGAGTTGGTCACGACTGGACCTAATGGTCAGGGGTCCCTTTACCTTTACTATATATATATATATATCACAAAAAAAAACCCAGAATGTGTGGTTTGGTCCTGTGTGTGTGTGTGTGTGTGTGTGTGTATAATTTTCTGTTTTACAATTTAGAATATTCATTTAAACAACCTTAAAATATCAAAGACTTCCCTTCTCTTTCCATGGTTCATTTTGCATAACATAAATCCCTGCATACCGTATTTTTCGCCCTATAGGACGCACCTAGTTTTTTGGGGGGGGAAATAAAGGAATTTTTTTTATTCCCCCCCTCCCAGCCGCGGATATCTGCCCAAAGCGCGGGGCGCTCTGCTTTGGCGCGCCCTGCGCTCCGGGCAGTAGGCTGCTATCCGCAGCCTAGGGAGCCCTGCAGGAACTTCCGCGGGCTCCCCAGCCTTGCTGATAGCTTCCTGAAGCCTGGAGAGCGAGAGGGGTTGGTGCGCACTGACCCCTCTCGCTCTCCACGCTTCAGCGAAAGCCTGCATTCGCCCCATAGGACGCACACAGATTTCCCCTTCATTTTTGGAGGGGGAAAAGTGCGTCCTATAGGGCGAAAAATACGGTATTTTATATAAGCGAAACCATTCAGTACATCAAAACACACATTCTGTTAGCAACAAAGCTGTGCCTTTCCCCCCTGCACACAAAAGGCTAGTGTGGGGTTCCTGATCTGGATTGGGTCCTTAGCATGGGGAACAGGAGGGCTTTAACCCTTTGTCCCCTCACTATCCTTAAAAAAAAGAAAAGAAACAAAGGAGACTCGCCCCTGATTACAGGTTTGGGATTCCCAATCTGGACTGGGACCACAATCGAGGGATAATGCCCCCGGATGCTAGGACGCCTGTACTTTAAAGGCATAGCTATGACTCAGTAGCCCAAGTCCGTAAGCTCTTATAGCACAAAGGCAAATGTAGATTTCCCCCCCCCCAAAAAATTTTTTTTCCATTGCTGGGCTATTGAAATCCTATATTGCTGGGCCTTCTCGGTGGTGGCACCCGCTCTGTGGAATGCCCTCCCATCAGATGTCAAGGAAATAAACAACTATCTGACTTTTAGAAGACATCTGAAGGCAGCCCTGTTTAGGGAAGTTTTTAAGGTTTGATGTTTAATCATGTTTTTAATATTCTGTTGGGAGGCGCCCAGAGTGACTGGGGAAACCCAGCCAGATGGGCGGGGTATAAATAATAAATGATGATGATGATGATGATAGCTGAAGCTAACACCTGTGCTCTTGGTGGTTTTTACAGCTGTCCTAGGAGTGCACAACCTGGTCAACAACCCGAAGTTTGATGAAGGAACCACCACTAAAGATGGCAAAGAAACCGTGAAAAGTAAGCAGGCACTTTTCTTTCTCCTAGATGGTTTGCAAGCGTTCAAGCATCCAAAGGGGAAGTTCCAGAATATTGCTGTTTTCCGGGGAGGGGGGGTCTGGAAAGGACTGAGGGCCTTCTGGCGGTTCCCTCGCTGCGAGAAGTGAGGTTACAGGGGAACCAGGCAGAGGGCCTTCTCGGTGGTGGTGCCCACCCTGTGGAACGGCCTCCCAGCAGATGTCACTATCTGACTTTTAGAAGACATTGGAAGGCAGTCCTGTCTGGAATGTCTGGAAGGCAGACATTGGGAGGGGTGGCTAACACCCCAGAGGACAGGATCACACTTCAAAACAACCTTGACAGATTAGAGAACTGGGCCAAAACAAACAAGATGAATTTTAACAGGGAGAAATGTAAAGTATTGCACTTGGGCAAAAAATGAGAGGCACAAATACAAGATGGGTGACACCTGGCTTGAGAGCAGTACATGTGAAAAGGATCTAGGAGTCTTGGTTGACCACAAACTTGACATGAGCCAACAGTGTGACGCGGCAGCTAAAAAGCCAATGCAATTCTGGGCTGCATCAATAGGAGTATAGCATCTAGATCAAGGGAAGTAATAGTGCCACTGTATTCTGCTCTGGTCAGACCTCACCTGGAGTACTGTGTCCAGTTCTGGGCACCACAGTTCAAGAAGGACACTGACAAACTGGAACGTGTCCAGAGGAGGGCAACCAAAATGGTCAAAGGCCTGGAAACGATGCCTTATGAGGAACGGCTAAGGGAACTGGACATGTTTAGCCTGGAGAAGAGGAGGTTAAGGGTGATATGATAGCCATGTTCAAATATATAAAAGGATGTCACATAGAGGAGGGAGAAAGGTTGTTTTCTGCTGCTCCAGAGAAGCGGACACGGAGCAATGGATCCAAACTACAAGAAAGAAGATTCCACCTAAACATTAGGAAGAACTTCCTGACAGTAAGAGCTGTTCGACAGTGGAATTTGCTGCCAAGGAGTGTGGTGGAGTCTCCTTCTTTGGAGGTCTTTAAGCAGACCATATGTCAGGAGTGCTCTGATGGTGTTTCCTGCTTGGCAGGGGGTTGGACTCGATGGCCCTTGTGGTCTCTTCCAACTGTATGATTCTATGATTCTGTTTAGGGAAGTTTTAAATGTTTGATTGTATTTTTAATATTCTGTTGGGAGCCGCCCAGAGTGCTGGGGAAACCCAGCCAGATGGGTGGGGTATAAATAATAAACTGTTGTTGTTGTTGTTGTTGTTGTGACAGTCATTATTCAGATAGTATTTCAGACAGTTTCATCACAATAACAACCACCCTGAGACCTGCAGGTATAGGGCAGTATATAAATTTAATAAATAACAACCACAACAACCATATTCTGTCGTTTAAGATGACCCAACACTAGCGAATCTCATTAGGAAAGATATCATCCTAGAAAGAGAGAAATGAGGGGTGTCCCTATTTTTCTACAGAATTATGCTGGGCGGGGAATGAATGAATGAATGAATGAATAAATATTCAATCGCATATGGGCAAATCCAGGTTGCAGAATTGGAATGCTCACTCAGTTGCCAGGGTCATCTAATTGCTATGCAGTCAAATCAGGATGAATGCTCAATATAAATGGGTTGTATGGAAGCACATTAAGTCACACCTGGTTTATACATTAAATATCTTCTAGGATAACAATGCACACGCACATGACTAGGAACTCTCCTCTCAGCAGCAAGAACCATCATAACTAGACACTGGATGGATCTCTCAGGAATGAAAATTGACGGCTGGTATGGGAAACTGCCCTAGTAGAAAAGTTAACCAACAAACTTAATATTTATATACAGCCTTTCATCCAAAGGTCACAGCATAAAAAGATAAAATCATTTGTTTTTCAAGCATTTCAAAGCAATTTAAAGTCCTCAATGGCTTAGGACCATGGCTTACTTCTCCCATATAAACCTGCCCATATATTAAGTTCTTCTGGAGAGCATCGTCTCTGCATCCCACCAACATATCAGGTACATTTATCAGGAAATGGGCAAAAGAGATGTCTCCCTGCCTGCACCAAGGCGCTAGAACTCCCTTCTTGAGGCGGCTCATTTGAAGCCCTTTAATGGTTTTTCACTTGTATACATTGTACTTTTGACCAACTTTAAACCAACTACCTTTGGAACCAGCCCTTTGTGTGGGGGCTGTTTAAGATTAACTGCGATTCCAGTTGTCTTCCCACGTTCGTAAAGCCCCTGGGAAATGTGGAAGAAACGGGGCAGTTTTTATTCCACCCAAAATGAGGCTGATGTTATAGCCCTCCCGGCTAGAGGCCTGTATGCTGCCGCCCTCAAAGGGCTTATGTTGCTAATTTGTGTCCCTCTCTGTGATTATTTTATCTCTCTTTTTTCTGCAAAGGTCCTCCATTCCAGCTTGGTGGGTCTGCTAAGCTGCACTCCTGTCACATATTTAGCAGCTAGGAATTTGCTTTGTCAGACATCTTCATTCCAAAAACAATACTCCCCTCCAGCAGATAGTTGTTGCTTTGTTTTCAATTGGGGGGAAAAAAAGGTGAGGGATGCATTTTAGGAGCCCCTGAAGAAATAAGATTATAAGCAGACTGAACGAGGAGAGGCTCCACAGGAGGGAAGAAGAGGAGCTGTTGTGTTGCACTGGTTAGACTAGGGTCAAAGAGACCTGGATTCAAATCCTGCCGCAGCCTCCTCAAAAGCTGGCTGGGCAAGCGTTGTCTTTTTCTGTCTCTTAGTTCAGTCTAGCTCATGGGACTGTAGCAAGGATGAGGCCTGGGCGATATATCAATATTGTGGGAATGTTTAGGGATGTGGGGGAGGATATATTGTCTAAGATATCCTACCCCAACTTCTCTTTACAAGTTCAACAAAATCAGCAGAGTTAACATTCCCCTTTTTTAAATACACACACAGCAGATAGCTTGCTCAGTCTCTATAAATATTTCCTGGTATTTTCCCCGTTTAATCCCTCCTAAAATAAGACGCTACACAGTCTTCTGTAAAGTATAAAACGTTAACTCACAAGTAATCATCTGTTCACACAAAGGTTCCCTGAAGGCAGACTTAAAAGGTTAGAACATAGTTTAAATGTGGTGACTATCTCCTTATGGGAGAAAGCCCCCCCCTTTCTTCTCTTGGCCTGGAGCCAAGGGTGCATCTTAGTAGTGCTGTTGTTAAGATGGCGTCGATAGAGACAAGAGAGACAAGATGGTTGCCAGCCTGTGATTCTGGTTCTTTCTTACTTCAGGAGAGGCCACGCCCATCTCAAGTTACACATCTCAAGTTTCGTCTCAGTCCTGGAAAGCAGGAGGTTCTGGCTGGAGGACTGAGACAACCTTCATGTCTACTCTAGCAATGTTGTGTTTGACTGCACCTGATTCTTACATCCCACAAATATATCGCCCAGGAACGGTATGAGGAGCAGACTGTGATGTCGGCTTCATTCAGCAGTACAGTCATACCTTGGGTTGAATGTGCTTCGGGATGAGCGTGTTCGAGTTGTGCTCCGTGGCAACGGAGTGTGTTACTTCCGGGTTTCGCCGCGTGCGCATGCGCTCAAAATGACGTCACGCGCATGCGCAGAAGCGCCAAAACGTGACCCGCACACGTGCAGACACACGGACATGGGTTACGTTTGCTTCTAGATGCGAACGGAGCTCCGGAACGGATCCCGTTCGCATCTAGAGGCACTACCGTATATCGCTGGTGAAACTGCCACCGCTCCTGAGTCCCTCTGCTAGCGACTTCCTCCAGCGATACATCACTCAGTGAAACCGCCATCCCACTCTGCCTTCATCCTGCACAGAGGAAGAAGAAAGCTGCATTGGCGAGGCACTGATACAGCTTGTTCCTCCCTCCGCATCTTTAAACCTCTTGGCTGAGGACTGGTGGGTGGCTGCTCCCCTCAGCTGAGCAGTTAAAGGATCCCCCAGCCTGGCGCTGGCTCCCACACAAGCAGGGGGAGCACTAGGGTTGGCTCTGCCAGGGATGAGGAGCCCTCCCGCACCCCAGCTGAGTTGTCAGGCTTCAGATAACCCAACCTCTCCCATTGCTGGCAGCCAAGAAGTTGATAAACGAGAAGCGTTCTTACCAAGTCTTTTATTCAATATTCACAAAGAGGTAGATGTGGAAATGCAGTCTCTCTCAGATAATGGCGTTGCTCCGAGTAAAATCCCACCCCCTCCGTCTTTCCTATTCCATGTCATCCCTGTGTCGGCTGACCTGTGCGTTCTGCCTCTGAGCTTTTGGTTCTCTTACTTTCAATGCACGCTGGGTCCTGGCAGGGGTTGGGTCAGGAACGCTTTCTAAAGACACTGAGTCTGTCGGCTGTCTCTCCCCTGGTCAGGACCGGATTTAGGTTTGATTAAGCCCTAAGCTATTGAAGGCAATGGGGCCCTTTATATGTCCAGCTGTCCTTTGTCAACAACAAATTGTCGCTGTTTTAGACTTTCAGAACGGATTAAGTTTAAGAGCCAAGATACCACTGTATATAGAAATGAGCAAACCAGTGATATTTTAGGGAGCAGGCTAGCAGGCGGGGCCCATTACTTGCATCATAGGAGCCTACACAACACAAAACACTGCTGCTGCATGTAGGTTTTATTTTATTTGTTTTTTATCTTATATCTTGGAAATGTACATCCAGTTTTTTCCCCCTTTAAATTTTTTGGGGGCCCCCAAGAGAGTGGGGCCTTAAGCTATAGCTTGTTTAGCTTATATGTAAATCTGGCACTGCTTCTGGTGCTTCTTCTTCCTGCTGCTCCTCTCCCAATATTTCCCAGCTTTTCCCCTCTGCAGCCTCTGAACTATGACCTTCTGCAAACCACCGTTCTAAATCTATACTGTCCTCCTCTTCTCGGGAAGGATCAGGAGGAGGGGGGCGGTCTCCACCTTTCCTCCTCAGTCCAGTCCCTGACATCAGCCTTACAAACAAGCTGCCTTTTCCCAGCCCGCTAGGCACTGGGGTGAAACTGCCTCTGCCCCCACAGTGAGAGCTGCAGCAATTTCACCCGGCGCTCGCAGGCTGAGGCCAACTCAGCTTGGTTTTTCAACACCATGTGTCAGGGAACTGCCATCAGTGCCAGAGGGAGAGAGCAAAATCCAGAGGGATTTCGGAGAGCGTCCCGGGATTGGGAGAGGCAGCCCATCTTCTGGGGAAGAGAATCAGCGTAGCACTAGTGGAGAAGGGGGCAGATGGGGAAGCGGCGAGGCGGCCCCAATAGACCTCTGCCAGGACCAGCGGGGAGAGTAGGGTCCTCCGCTGCCTACGCCCTCCTTGCGCAGAAGGCTTTCGCAAGCAGAGAGAGTAGGAGGAGACGAGGCTGTCACATTTCTCTTGCCATGGAAGAACGTTTCAGTAACGCCCACTGACGGATATCATGTTGTGTATCTGTAGCACACACCAGGATCTAGGGCTGTGTGATTACCGCTCGTATTTGCATGAGGGCAGAAGCACACTGGCCATTTAGCGTCCAGATGCTTCAGGTTGCGTTTTTTCGGATTATGAACCCGCCGTAAGCTGGAACAGGTTACTTCCGGGTTTCGGCGGCCGTGCATGCGCAGAAGTGCTAAATTGCGCTCTGCACATGCACAGAAGCGCTGAATCACAGCCCGCGCGTGCGCAGATGCGCCGCTGTGGGTTGCGAACGTGCCTCCCACACGGATCACGTGCGCAACCCGAGCATCCACTGTATATCGCCAGACCACGATGTTTGTTGATATACCACAACGTTGAAAAGCTGATATCGCCCAGCCCTAGCAAGGATTAGATGGAACCTTGTACACCCCACTGAGCTCCTGGGTGGAAGGGCAGGATTAAAAGAAAGGAAATAAAACACTCAGTAAAAGCTCCCTGGCAGGGTAGCATTTCATATAACTGCAGAAACAGGATCTGTTCTACAAAAGCTTATCGCACAATACACATGTTACTCTTCAGTAGGGATGGGGCAGAAATTCAATACAGTTCACATTTAAGGCAAAGCTAACCTAAGTTGCAGCTTCCAAGACAATACACACTTCTCTTAATTTTGCAATGCAGTCCTCCAGCCGAAAAATGTATACAAAAATGCATTTTCAAAGGGTCAAGAGTGCATATAATTGCATAGGTTTGTGGAAAATAACATGCAGAACTGTGTTATATTGAGGGAAATTGTAGGAAAAAATTGCATAAAAATGTGCAAATAATAGGAGAAATTTTGAATTGCCGAAGGGTTTTCATGAGGAGCTGAAGCTGACAAATTCACCCATCCTAACTCTTTATAAAGTGCCACAGAACTTGTGTGGTTGCTGGAACAGTCTAAGGCAGTTCCCTGTCTCAAATTTCTCTTTAATTTGTATTTGGCTTGGAGATCGCTGGTTGCTAGAAGTATAGCTTTCCATACGGTAGCTGCTTGGGTGGTCTAAGCCTGCTATTTATCTCAGTCTAATATTTAAGAATTACAATTGCAGATTAGCATTAAAAGCTGTGGGGTTTTTGTTTTCTTTTCTTTTTTAAAAAGCACTTGCAGGAATAATCAGTGCTGCTTTATATAGCTCAGGGCTGCCAGCATTGAGAATGGTTGTGCAAGCAAGGCTCCTCAAGACTTAACAAATAATGGGTTGGCAAAGTGAGCAACTCTTCACTTGAAGGATGTGCAGATGTGGCAATTTCACAAGCACCAATTGAATTCACAGTTGGAGCATGCAGGGAATGTCCATAAGTTAGTTCAGACCAGCATAATTCTGTAGAACAATAGGGACACCCCTCATTTCTCTCTTTCTAGGATGATATCTTTCCTAATGAGATTTGCTAGTGTTGGACAGAATATGGTTGTTGTGGTTGCTTTTATTAAATTTATTTACTGCTCTATACCTGCAGGTCTCAGGGTGGTTGTTGTTGTGATGAAACTGTATGAATGACTATCTGAATAATGACTGTCTGAACAACAACAACAACAACAACAACAACAACAACAACAACAACAGTTTATTATTTATACCCCGCCCATCTGGCTGGGTTTCCCCAGCCACTCTGGGTGGTTCCCAACAGAATATTAAAAACATGATAAAATATCAAACATTAAAACTTCCCTAAACAGGGTTGCCTTAAAGGTAAAGGGACCAGTAGGTCCAGTCATGGCCGACTCTGGGGTTGCGGCGCTCATCTCGCTTTATTGGCCGAGGAAGCCGGCATTTGTCCACAGACAGCTTCCGGGTCATGTGGCCAGCATGACTAAGCCACTTCTGGTGAACCAGAGCAGCGCACGGAAACACTGTTTACCTTCCTGCCGGAGTGGTACCTATTTATCTACTTGCACTTGATGTGCTTCCGAACTGCTAGGTTGGCAGGAGCAGGGACCGAGCAACGGGAGCTCACCCCGCCGCAGGGATTCAAACCACCAACCTTCTGATCAGCAAGCCCTAGGCTCTGTGGTTTAACCCACTGCGCCACCCACGTACCTTAAGGTTGCATTAGATGTCTTCTAAAAGTCAGATAGTTGTTTCCTTGACATCTGATGGGAGGGCGTTCCACAGGTGCGTGCCACCACCGAGAAGGCCCTCTGCCTGGTTCCCTGTAACCTCGCTTCTCACAGTGAAGGAACCGCCAGGAGACCTTCGGCCCTTGACAGAATCCCACCCGAAAACAGCAACAAGTCTGGAACTTGTGTGAAAAATGATCTCCCAGAATTCCCCATCCTATTTGTGGGTGGTGAAATTGGTGGTGGGGGAGCATTCTCCTGAATATTTGGGATGGGGTGGTAATTCTGCTGCAATTTGGATGGTGACAAAAAAAGGAAACTCATCAGAAAACTCCCTGGGAAAATTGCTGGCTCACGTAACACCCAGCATGATACTTGCAATGGTCAAATAACCAAGGTTCTTGGTCCAAGGAGCATCTTTAAAAACTGGGCATGTGGTGGGACATGAATCTTCAGGATGTCTTCCCTCTTTCCCATGACTTTACCTTCTGCGCAGCCAGCAGCACATTGTTCCATGGGGGTAGAAAACTGAAGATGTCCAGAAAGTCAGTCAATCCACCTGAACAGCTTTCAAGACAAGAACAGAAGAAGGGATCTGAATGGCTGCTAACCGCTCCAACTGACTGGGCTTTCAACTTAGCCAGGGATCCTTTCAAGCAAGTCACCTGGTTTCCTAGGAAACAAACCATTCCCCAGGATTCCACAGCTGGTTGTGACGTCAGAGCCTGGCCAAGGACGGGAGCCAATGGGCTCTGGGCTCCAGGAACGCTCTCTCTGCCAGGCCCATGGCACCACTGGGCAACCTCAGGCAGCTGCCAAACGTCTGACCCACCTTCTTTCCCTCAGAGAATCCCAGGCACTGAAGTTTACCTCTCACAGAGTTACAATTCCCAACAACTGAACAAGAACAAGAATAAGAATAGTTAATTTATACCCCGCCCATTCGGCTGCGTTTCCCAGCCACTCTGGGCGGCTCCCAACAGAATATTAAAAACACGACAAAATATCAAACATTACAAACTTCCCTAAATTTCTCTGTGTTTTTAATAACAACAACAACAACAACAACAATTTTTTAAAAAATCTGGCTCCCAACAGAATTAAAAGCACAATAAAACATCAAACATTAAAAACCTCCCTAAAAAGGGCTGCCTTCAGATTTTCTAAAAGTCAGATAGTTGTTCATTTCCTTGACATCTGATGGGAGGGCGTTCCACAAGGTGGGCGCCACCACCAAGAAGGCCCTCTGCCTGGTTCCCTGTAGCTTCACTTCTTGCAGGGAGGGAACCGACAGAAGGCCCTTGGCGCTGGACGATGGGGGTGGAGATGCCATCCCAATGCGTAACTTGTTTATGTTCTTTTTAGATGTAGTCAAAGGTGAGAAGGTCAAGCCAGTTTTCGAGGAACCGCCTAACCCGACGAATGTTGAAGCCTCTTTGCAAAGGATAAAGGCAAATGATCCCACACTCCTGGAAGTCAATCTGAACAACATAAAGGTAGGGATAGCATTGCTGCTCATCTGATTGCCCCATTGTGCCATTTTTTAAATTTGTAAAGTATTCCTAAATGGTCTTAAATTTGTTTTATAAAGTATTGTTATGACACTACCCCAATCTTTGAGTGGTGAGAGACTTCAGGGTACCTCCGCTTCACCCAGGGTTTAGTTACCTTGGAATAAGCAGGGACTGTGGCGTCTTTAGGATATATGGTTTTATTTACACATACACAATTGAGCATAGGATAGGGAGCTCACAGCATTACCACCACAACAGATATTGCTTCTCCATTAGAACTCCAGGGAATGACCCTTGTTGTCCCTTCCAACTCTATGATTTGGATTCGAATTCAATAGATATTCATTTTTAAATATTGTATTTTCTCGATTAATACAGAATATCCCCATTCCAACTTTGAAAGACTTTGCAAAAGCTTTGGAAACCAACACCCACGTGACGAAATTCAGCCTGGCTGCTACTCGGAGCAACGACCCTGTTGCAATTGTAAGTTTGAGAAGAGTATCCTTCGGAGAGAAAGAAAAAGCTCTTCACTTTTGGCTGAATCAAAGTGCGGTGTTCCAAATGCCGAGAAGCTTTGTCTGTGGGAGTGCAAACTCAAAACCAGCTCCAGGGTCACGGTGTTTTTGAGATTTTGTCAGCGAAAGTTCTCTCCACAGTTTTCCTCTGCCCTGTTTGAGAGTTCACTCTCTATTTCCTTCATTGCTGGATTTGGGAACATAGGAAAACTAGATTTTGTGTCCGGCTGCTGAGCAAGCAGAAACTAATCAGGCATAGCTCTCCTCGCCTCTGCCTTTGATAGAAAAGACCTCACAGCTGTGCTGCTGTTAAAATGCACCAGGGTCCCAGAAGAAGAAATAAAACGGCAATTCAGCATACTGGTTATGGGGGTTATGAACTGTTTTAGGAAAAAAGTAACTTCCCTCACCGCTTAATGGCCAAGGGAGTTGCTCAGTGGCTTCAATGACACCTGGGAAGAACCTCAGAGTTGGTGACTCCTGAGTTACAACAATCCAAGCACATTTTATCCAGAAATTAAATTATATCCCATTTTAGAGCTCTAACATCTCTGATTTGTAAGCTGCATTGCTGTCTCACCAGCATCCATAGATGGAGGAAGCGAGCATGTACAGTGGTACCTCGGGTTACAGAAGCTTCAGGTTACAGACACTTCAGGTTACAGACTCCGCTAACCCAGAAATAGTACCTCAGGTTAAGAATTTTGCTTCAGGATGAGAACAGAAATCGTGCTCTGGCGGTGCGGCGGCAGCAGGAGGCCCCATTAGCTAAAGTGGTATCTCAGGTTAAGTACAGTTTCAGGTTAAGAACAGAACTCCAGAACGAATTAAGTTCTTAACCCGAGGTACCGCTGTACGTGCCCACACCAAACACAGAAAGCATCCTTCCTTCCTCTTCATCCCAGCATGCCTTGCTTCTGAGAACCAATCGCAGAAATGAGAATAAACTGCTGTTTATACTGGCCAGGCTCCAGCATGCTAAATCCTCCTTCCGCTGAGTCTGTGGCCACTGCTTCATGCCTCATGAGTTCTTCTTCTTTGAATCAGCAGGGGAGTCCCCACGTTACATGAGGGGACGGGTGTAGGCTTCACCGTTGGGTCCCCGGGATTGTAGAGCTGAAGAGACTTACTGGAGCTAAGCGTTGCAAGAACGCTTTCCTGCGTGGCCACCCTTTGAGGGATGTTTCACATAACCTGTGGGTGTTGATTGGACAAAACCTCATCCCACAATTTTTTTTCCTGAGGGCCAAACAAGTCATGGCATTAAACAGGCCTTTGCCTTTAACAGACCGTGGTTTGGTAGTATGTTTGGACAAGGCATAGGCAAACTCAGCCCTCCAGATGTTTTTGAGACTACAATTCCCATCATCCCTGACCACTGGTCCTGTTAGCTAGGGATGATGGGAGTTGTAGTCCCAAACTTCAGGAAGGCCGCGTTTGCCTATGCCTGGTTTGGATCATGCGTAGTTCAATGGAAATAGAGTTCCAGAACTGTGGAGGCGAAGAAGAAGAAGAGGAGGAGGAGGGAGAAGCTACCCTTTTGATTGGGTTACCTGAGCCACTGTGGGTGGTTTCCAACAAATCAAAACACAATATGACATTAAACATTATAAAATTCCCAGATGTCTTCTAAAGCTTTTGTAGTTCCTTATCTCCTTGGTATCTGATGGAAGGGAGTTCCTGTGTCTTGTGCCCACTAACCTAATGGAACTTACTGGGTGGAAGCTTAAATGTTGGGCCTCAAGCAAAGCTGATCTTAACACCCAGGCAGAATCACATGGATGATGGTGGTCCTTTAGCTAACGGATTCTGAACCATTTAGGCCTCTAAAGTTTAACACCGACAGTTTGAATTGGGTGTAGAAATACATCTGTAGGCAATGCAGCTTATGCCAAATGGATGTCAGGTGTTGCAACTTTATGTCATTAACATCAGTATCAAAACTTCCACAATCAGGAACTGGAAAAGGCACATTGTTAGTCTTGGGAAATTCTTACATACATATCCAATGATAGGAGCCTATATTTTCCTGGGGCCATTACATGTAGGTATTGTTGTTGTTCCTGTGGGATGTAATCCATAAGAGGCAGTCAAGTACAACATTCCTTGAAATGCTAGAGAAGACATGCGAGGGAATGTTTGGTCCAGCCAGGTGAAACTTCCTGTTCCTCCTGGCTGGAGCAGCCTTCCTTTCGCATGTGATAGAAGGTGGGCGTGACCTAACCTGTCCAGGTAATAAAAGAACGAGTCACGCAGCACACCTCCCTCTTTTTGGACTCCTTTGTTTGACCAGCTTTTAGCTAGGACAGCTCAGCTAGCAGAGGCAGTGGAATTATTCCCCCATATGGGGTAGATCCACATATACATATTTGTAACTAAGGCTGCCTTCAGGGATCCAACTGTGAACTGATGTAAGTAAACTTATTTTATTGACTTTGAATAAGATTGCCTGCTTTGCATGTAAAAGGGGAATGTAAACTCTGCTAAGTAAAGTAACTTGCTAGTGCAAGTTAGGAAGGATATTAATGAAAAATATATTCTCTCCTGCCACCCTGAACATTCCCACAGTTCCTATTACTACCCACCCCATACCAGCTGGTCCCGGGGCAGGTTACAGCGCTTTGTGGGGTATCCCGGGATCTGAACTCACACCACTCTTTTCCTCCCTTCAGGCTTTTGCAGATACATTAAAAGTGAACAAGACGCTGAAAAGTCTAAATATAGAATCCAATTTCATCACGGGGACAGGCATCCTGGCCTTGGTTGAGGCCCTGAAAGGGAATGAAACATTGACGGAGATAAAAATTGATAATCAGGTAAGGAAAGGGCATCAGACTGGAACTTAAGGGTTAGCTGGAATCTGAAAGTTGCAGCTTGACCATGAAAATTAGCCGGGAGGCAGCGTCCAAGGTCTTGTGTTCAGCAGTAGGAAGGCAAAGCTTTTGATTTTCCTTAGTACAAGGATGGGGAACCTGTGGCTCTCCAGGTGTTCTTGGACTCCCAGTGCCCATCAGCAGCATGACTGATGGTCAGAGATGATTGACACCATCTGGAAAATCAAAGGCGATCTGCAGAGTTGTCACCTGCCCCACACCCAGGGGCGCCAACTAGAGGGGGCTGAGGACATCCCCCAAAATTTCTAAGGAGGGGTCTGGGCCCCCTCAAAATTCCATGGCGGCCGTGCACGTGTGCCACGGGGCATGCTTGCGTCATGCGCACAAGCCCTTCAGCGTGCACATAACACGTCAGCACGCCCCGCGGCATGCCCGAGTGATGTCAGCATGCCCTGTGGCGTTTGTGCATGATGCCAGCGCATGTCCGTGCGTTGCCCAGCCCCCCTCAATTGCGGGGGCAAGCTGGTGTGCTTGCCCGCACCTGATGGCATGGGTGAAGCCATGTGCCTTTGGAAGCACCGCTGTGATCGGCGCAGGGTTTTTGCAAGCTGCGTCTTCACTTGCAACACAGCTGATGTCATATGGTGTTAGACTTCGGGGAATCAGCTCCCTCCTCTGTGGCGGTAGAAGATCAGACAAAAGGAATGTCTTACCAGTTAGATTCTTTAATAATCACAGTGAGAGAGAAAAGAACACATCTCCGGTGCTCCCAATTAAGGCTCACTCCCCCTCTATTAATCTACGTCACTCCTACGTCTTGTAATCTGAGTTTGTACCGTCTGCACTTTCTGTTCTGAGACTTTCTGAGCTATTCTCGACCTTGGGAAGAGTGGAGAAATGCTGTCCAACGACTGTGAATCTGTTAACCCTCTCTCTCCCAGTGTTTCTTCTCCTAGCTGTTCCCCATCCAGTATTTCCCAGCTTCTGCCTTCTGAACTATGCCCCTCTGCAAGCCACTATTCCAACTCTACGCTGTCCTCCTGTTCCTGGGAAGATTCGGGATCAGGGGGAGGGGGTGCCTCTCACCATTCCTCCTCGGTGCAGCCCTCCTCAGCACAGTCCCTGACATATGGGGAAGCAGCCTTGTGAACCCAAATGGGGAGGCCTTGGGATATTGACCACCTTGGGAGCCGGATATTCCCTACGACTGCTGCAGAGGCTAGCCTTGCCCTTGGGCACAGTGACCATGCCCCCACCCCACCCATCTGTTCAGTTGGTGTGTGAAGGGGATCTGTGGGCACACAACCCATATGCAGACAGAGCATTCCTATCTGCCCTGGCCATACTTGTGGACTGTGGGAAGGAATGGTCACTGTGTATGTTGGGGGCATGGCTTGCCGACATGGCTCTGCATCCGCCTTCAGATATTCTATAAGGAGGTCATCTAAACTCCCCCACCCAGTACACACATGCACACACTTAAGATTTGCACAGATCCGTCCCTGAACAGATCCTTGTTCCCCCCTCCTCTCTCTGTTTGGTCTCCCTGCCTACCCCATGTGTCTAACCCTTGACTGGAAGCCCTCTGAAGCCAGCGACTTGCTTTTTCCTGTAAAGTACCATGTATGTTGGTGTGCTATACAGCCATACCTTGGGTTACAGATGCTTCAGGTTGCGTTTTTTTGGGTTACGGACCACCGAAGCCCGGAAGTACTGGAACGGGTTAATTCCAGGTTTCGGCAGCTGCGCATGCGCAGAAGCGCTAAGTGACACTTTACGCATGTGCAGAAGCACCGAATTGCAACACATGCATGCACAGGCACGCAGCTGCGGGTTGCGAACGCTGCGGGTTGCGAACGTGCATCCCACACGGCTCACGTTCGCAATCCGAGCGTCCGCTGTGTATAAAGCATTGGAGGAAATCTGTGTGTCTGCTTCTTTGTGCTAAGGAAGTAAACATTTCCACCTCCTTTCCCAGAGACAACAGCTCGGCACAGCGGTAGAGATGGAGATTGCTCAGATGTTGGAGGAGAATTCACAGATCCTCAAATTTGGGTACCAGTTTACAAAGCAAGGCCCAAGAACCAGGGTCGCAGCAGCCATCACTAAAAATAACGATCTAGGTAAGACCTGCTGGTTCTAGCAAGACCTCTGGGACCTTCTTCAGTTGCCAAGGTAACATTTCCCAGCCTTAAGATCCCCTGGTAACATTTCCTCACTAGTCTGAGAATGGTACCAAACTTTTTTTTTACAGTAGCACTTTTTCAGAGTTAGGATTTTGGGCAGTCGTGCTGGGGAACCTCTTATCCTGTATCCTAATGTCAGAGCAGAGAAATGCCATTAGATAAAGGCACTTTCCTGCCTCCTTTGGGCTGAAGCAGAATGATGCTTGTATACCTGTACAGTAAAGGTAAAGGGACCCCTGACCATTAGGTCCAGTCGCGGACTACTCTGGGGTTGCGGCGCTCATCTCGCTTTATTGGCCGAGGGAGCCGGCGTACAGCTTCCAGGTCATGTGGCCAGCATGACTAAGCTGCTTCTGGCAAACCAGAGCAGCGCACAGAAACGCCGTTTACCTTCCCGCTGGAGTGGTACCTATTTATCTACTTGCACTTTGACGTGCTTTCGAACTGCTAGGTTGGCAGGAGCTGGGACCGAACAACAGGAGCTCACCCCTGTCGCGGGGATTTGAACCGCCGACCTTCTGATCGGCAAGTCCTAGACTCTGTGGTTTAACCCACAGCGCCGGATGGGGAAAATGTGGCTTTTCCAGATATTGTTGGACTACAACTCCCATCATCCATACCTGCTGGCCACATTGGCTGGGACTGATTGGAATTGGAGTCGAGCAGCACCCAAAGAGCCACAGATTCTTCATCCCAGCTGTATAGTCAATAGCAATGGAAATGAGTTCTAATGCCTATGTTCATAGCCTGGATGTGGGTGATTGTAGCTGTAGGAAGCTCATCTCTCCAACCTTCAGGGGGCATTTGCTCATCAGAAGTAAAGCCAGGCAGGGCTCCTTCTAATGGTGGAGACAGGATGATCGCCTTGGCTTTTGATGGTGTGACACAGCAATTTAAAAAAATGAACTGAGAATCAGAAGCCTCTCTTCAAAGCACAGCCATGAGCTCAGAGGAGTGCATTTAACTTTTCAACCTTACATTAAGGCTGTGTACACACCATACATTTACAGCGGGTGGCGCTGTGGTCTAAACCACTGAGCCTCTTGGTTTTGCCAATCAGAAGGTTGCTGGTTCGAATCCCCATGACGGGGTGAGTCCCGTTGCTCTGTCTCAGCTTCTGCCAACCTAGCAGTTCGGAAGCATGCCAGTGCAAGTAGATAAATAGATACTGCTGCAACAGGAAGGTAAACGGCGTTTCCGTGCACTCTGGTTTCCGTCATGGTGTCCCGTTGCATCAGAAGTGGTTTAGTCCTGCTGGCCACATGACCCGGAAAGCTGCTTGTGGACAAACGCTGGCTCCTTCAGCCTGAAAGCGAGATGAGCGCCGCAACCCCACAGTCGCCTTTGACTGGACTTAATCGCCATGGGGTTCTTTTTACCTTTACATTTAAAGCACCGTCTAGCTTCCCCGCCAACAAACAAGAACAAATGTTCAATCAGCAGCCATTGTTGTCTAATCTGTCTGCAAACAAATCAGGATGAACGCTCAATAAATAGTCTGAATGCAACTCTGATGGTTTGCTGGTAACTTTGTTTTAACTCCTGACTTCATTGACTAGAGACTTTATGCATTGGCAGAGCACAAGCTTTGTACAGTCGTACCTCGTTTTGCGGCCGGGATCTGTTCCACAGCCCCGGCTGCTAGCCGCAAAGGACACAGGTCAAAGCGCCAAGTCTGCGCACACATGTGGAGCCGTTTGCGCTTCTGCGCATGTGCGAAGTGCAATTTTGCGCGAGCAGCAAACCCGGAAGTAACCCGTTCCGGTACTTGCAGGTTTGCTGCGGATGTTTGCCGGACTGGACACTAGGCAAGGCGGACGTTTGCGGAGGTATTACTGTATGTAGAAGGGCTGGGATAGCGCAGTACGCAGAGCATGAGACTCTTAATCCTAGGGACATGGGTTCGAGACCCACATTGGGTGAAAGATTCCTGCATTGCAGGGGGTTGGACTAGATGACCCTCGTGGTCCCTTTTCAACTCTACAATACTTTGATTATAAGGTCCCAGGTCCAATTCTATAAGTAGGGCTTGCAAATACTCCTCTCTGAGACCCCAGAGAATTGCTGGAGATGCCAGGGACTGAATCTGGGAACTTTTGCATGCAAAGCAGTTGCTCTGCCACTGAGCTTCAAGCCTTCTCTCCAGTAAGCTTCACGCAAACGTCACATAACTTGCATTGAGCACCTTGGAAGAAGGGCAGGACACACCTCTAATACATAAACACAACACAGATAATTAACTCCCCCCCCCCCAAGTTGCAAAATTAGTAAAGCGCCTCATGACACTTAGCAAGCTGTGCTTTCTCTCCCCCTCTCTCTAGTTCGCAAGAAGCGTGTGGAAGGAGAACGTCACTAGTCTTGCCAGGAGGTGAACAAGCTAGATGTCAAAGAGAGCTGTTCTATCACCCATCTCAGAGAATTCACTGGTCTTAAGGGAAGACACTGGAAAGTCTTTAGAATGAAGCTGCTCATGTTCCATTATCCCATCCCCTTCCCCACAAACCTTTTTTTTTAAAAAAATGATTCAGCCTGATTTTTCATAAAAACATACTTCTTCTTTTTAATCAATTATCTAAAGCCAAAATGCACACCATGCAGGCCAAATAGGCATTCATGTGGATCTTCTGAAACCACTAGAAGTCTTCCGTTGACTTTAAAAAAAAAAAAAAAGGTTACAAGATGCTGTATACAAGGCCAGGGCTCACAAATGAGTGTGGCACTTTTTCAGTCCTGCTGAATTCTTTCGGCATAAGTAAGGACCGGTCTCTGCAATGCCTCTCTCACACTCTTTCCTTCCACCCTAGCAATCTATAATCATGCCTTGAATTAAGGTGGTTCTGAGCCTCTGGTCCTGGGCCCTGCCCAAGACGGGAATGGGAGGGCCTAGGATGGGAAAGCCCAATGGCAACCTCCTGTCCCCATTAAATTCACAAGGGCACAGTCCACTAGGAAGGTCTCCCCACTGAAATGAATGGGAGATGCCTGGTGAATTGTTCCTCGTGGATCAGAACTGTCCATTTCTCTCTCCTGAAACCTACCAGCTCATCTTGCCTCGTAGTACAGCGGGATCTGGTCTGTTCCCATACAAACCACTTAGCTACCTTCCTGAGCGGAGCTCTGTGTGGATCATAAAAGGGACCAAGAGGTCGTTTTTAAAGCAACCTCTCGCATCCAGATGGGACCATCTCTCCACCAGCAACCCCCACTCACCAAACGGATCGGCCTTTGAAATCCAGTCTACAATGTGCCAAAAAACAGTGAGTAGAGAAGAGGTTACTGAACAAAGGAGTTTGTTCTAAGTCACACAAAGGCTCAATGCGGACAGCACAACGTGGTTTGCACTAACCATAGTTTAGAGGCCAAAGTATGGTATGAGCTTCCAAACATACAGACAAACCATGGTTCAGAGGAGCTAGTTCGCTTTCATTTTCCATCTGTCAGCAAACCACATTCCAATCGCTCAACACTCGTAGTTCTTATGGTGTGGTTGCCTCTGGGACTGGAGTGTCACAACTAAGTATTTGGGCATCACACAAACATATTTAGCTCAAACTACGGTTTGTAGATCTGTCAAATCTTGGCTTCTGATCCTGGTTTGCTGACTGATTGCAAACTATTCTTTATTAATTCAGACATCACCGCTAACCATGGTTTGGTGTTTTCTGAATATAAGGCTGGGATCACCACCTGCCCAGCCTGGGCATCATCTGGAGACAATTCCTTCCTGAACCCAAACAGTGGTCATTCAAACTCTGAGTGCAAGGGAAAACCCCTCCACCCAGGCAATCCGAAGAGAAATTGAATTGGGCACATCTTCATACTACCAAAACATCCTGTTCCCTATAACCATTATGTTGCGTGAACCCATCTGTGCAATCTGTCTTGTCAAAGCTTACTTTGTTTACAAAGGCTGGAAGTTAGGCTAGCCAGGTTTCTGATCTGTTTTGTCCTGTTGGGTGATGTCATGTAACAAACACTAGCTTTGCCAAACCTTTAATACCTTTACAAATTATTATTGCTGTTATTTCAGGAAGCCGGGGTTGCCACTAACAGTCTCCTTAACTTAGAGCAGTGTTCTAATAAGCAAAGGTGCTGTGTTTTTCAAACCATTTCATGTATGTGTGTGTGTTTAATTACTGACATTTGCATTTATTGCTATTGCCGGCTGCTGAGACTCAGAGATTCCCAAATAGTGGCTGTAGATTGATCTGTGAGTAGCAGAAGAGCAGTGAGTGAAATACCAGATTGCAAGGGGTGGGTTTATTGCTAATGTAGGGACACAGGTGGCGCTATGATCTAAACCACTGAGCCATTTGGGCTTGCCAATTGGAAGGTCAGCAGTTCAAATCCCCGTGAAGGAGTGAGCTCCCGTTGCTCTGTCCCAACTCCTGCCAACCTAGCAGTTCGAAAGCACGTCAAAGTGCAAGTAGATAAATAGGTACCACTGCGGCGGGAAGGTAAACAGCGTTTCCGTGCGCTCCGGCTTCCATCACGGTGTTCCATTGCACCAGAAGCGGTTTAGTCATGCTGGCCACATGACCCGGAAAGCTGTCTGTGGACAAATGCCGGCTTCCTTGGCCTGAAAGTGAGATGAGCACTGCAACCCCAGCCTTTGACTGGAGTTAATCGTCCAGAAGTCCTTTACCTTTTTTGTTACTGTACACTCGCTCCAAAGGCAAGCCTGACTCAAGATCCAGTTCTATCAATGAGTCCCCCTTCTAAGAAGCTTTACATAAATGTCCTTAGGGCTGCAATCATACATTCCTTTACCTGGGATGGGAGAGAGTCTGCCATCTGCTAAGGAGACAGGTAGAGAGGATTGTACTGTGAAATAGCTGATACAGCAAAAGCCATTTCTTGCCAGTGAATGGGAAAAGGAGGAGGTTAGAAGACGACTAAGGGCTGTTTCACAAATTACACAGGGGCGCACTCCTGTTTGCCCCTGGGTGACTCCTGGGCTATAGGGGGAGAAATTTGGTTTGGTTCACATTTAAAAGCCAATCTATTGCCTCGGCAGTTTCCAAAATAATGAGAACCAAAACACAGGCATGCTTTCAAATTTGCACTTACCCGAATTCTGTAGTGTAATTCTCAAACCAATGCTCACAAAAATGCATCAGTTGGGTTAAAGTTTACCTAAAAATGAATGTGTTAATGAAAATGACGTACAAAAATGTGTGGGATTAGGAGTAATTGCTTGCAAAAAGCGTGTTCCTTAGTGAAAACTACATACAAGAAAGTGTTTATTAGGAGAAATCTGCACTAAAATGCTGAGGAATTTACATGAGGATTTTGTTTGATCTCAAATTGCGAACTAAATTTAAGATTGGAAAAATGAGAGGCTCCCACACTTCTTTCTTGTATGATCCACCTGTTTGCAAGAATGCATTGCTAACATTTTCACTTTTCGCATCTATTGGTGCACACTTACAAACATCTTAGACACATAGGTAAGATACATCAAACGTAATGTGCGAAGAAGCCTAGAGAAAGGGCATTTGCCCAATTTACCTTTTCAGTCTCAGAAATCAGCACATTTCCCATGGTTCAGCAAAAAGCTGGCAGAGCCGCAGCAGTGAAAGTAGCATGACTCTTTCCTTGGCTGTGGGGAGATTGTGAAAAAAGGCTTTTTAAATTCAAAATGCAATTTAAATATGTCTGTCTCTGTGTGTGCAGACACTAACTTGTAGTCTGCAAAATAACCTTGCGTAATCAGAAGCACCAGATTACTCCATCTTTTATTTGAAAGAATGGCAGCTTATTCTTGATCCCCGCAAGGAAACAAGGAGGGGAAATGTAATCACCCATTTGCTGCTATAAACTCAGTTTAATAAATGGGAATAGAAAACCGAAGCTAGCAAACAGCCTGGCATTTTTAAATTACTGCGGGTCTGAATCCACCCCCAGCAACCTTTCCCTCTCTCTGCTCCCCACCCATTCTTAAGAATATTAGAAGAGCTCTGCTGGGTCAGGCTGAAGGCCCATCTGCTCTAGCATCCTGTTCTCACAGTGACCAACTAAATGCCTCTTGAAAAACTGCAAGCAGGACCTGAAAGAGCAGTGCTCTCACCTCTTGGGTCTTCAGGACCATACTGACTCCAACTGGTAGACCACAGATGCCGTGGCTAATAAATAGCATTGATAACCTCGTTCTTCATCAATTGGTCCAATCCTATTTTGCCGCCACCCAAACTGGTGACAGTCACTACCTCTTGTGGGAAGGGATTAAGTGTTAGGTGAAGAAGCACTTTATTTTGTCCATCCTGAATCTTCTGACATTTATTTTATTTAACAAAATTTGTTTACCACTTAAAGAGGAGGAAGAGGAGTTTGGATTTGATATCCCGCTTTATCACTACCTGAAGGAGTCTCAAAGTGGCTCACAATCTCCTTTCCCTTCCTCCCCCACAACAAACACTCTGTGAGGTGAGTGAGGCTGAGAGACTTCAGAGAAGTGTGACTAGCCCAAGGTCACCCAGCAGCTGCATGTGGAGGAGCGGGGAAGCGAACCCGGTTCACCAGATTACGAGTCCACCGCTCTTAACCACTACACCAAGCAGCTTTATCAAATGGCCCCAAGTTCTAGTATTATGAGGGAGAAGTTTTTCTCCCCATCTGCTTTCACAATGGATATTATTATGTACCTGTGTTGTGTCCCCCTACCCTCTTGCTCACCTTTTCCCTGAGTTAAAAGCCCCTAACATTGTATACTTTCCTCATAGTGGGGTCGGTGGATCATTGTTGTCGCCCACCCTGCTTCTTTCAGGTTTTCTAGCTCTACAATACTCTTTTGGGGGGCTGAGACCACCAGAACTCTGTACACAGTATTCCAGGTGTGGTCTGTCCTGAAATCCAGGCTCCTTCAGCTCCCAGGCAGTCTGTGAGAAGGAATAGGAACTGCGCACGCCTGTGGTCCAGGCACTGTGAAGCAGCTCCCGTTTGCTTCAGCTGAGATCTTTGCTTGCATACAAATGATCGCTTGATATTGCAGTCCTCCAGTAATGAATATGCATCTGTGAGCTCAGCCTCAGGGTAGTAACTTATGACTGACTCATGGCTGTGTTTGTAATCTCTGGAATGCACTGTCAGAGGCAGTCTGGGAGTCATAAGCGGGGAAAAGCGGTGTTGCGCTGAGGTTCTGCTTGTGGGCTTCCCATAAATATCTGCTTGGCTAGTGTGAGAACAGGATGATGCCCGGAGGAGCCCTTGTTCCACCAGGGCTCTCCTTAGGCTCTTATGGAACCCAGCAGGTTTAACTGGGGTCAATGCCTTTTCTCCCCATTAACCTACAATGCTGTTAAAACGCAAGCTGCCTTTTAGCCGGGCAAGAGCTGCAGGGCCCAATTGCACTCATGGAAGGGTAATGAGCAGAAATCATGCAGAAACAGGATGGCAATGTAGTATATTCCCCACAAGGCCCTTGTGGGGATAGCCTGGTGGAAGATGGTCAGGATAGTGGAATCGGGAAAGGAGGGAGCAGCGGGTATGGGGTCACTTAATCTACCACGTTCCTTCTGGGGCCAACTGATTTCCAAACATGTATGTCTGAATTCATGCTATGCAAAGTACATGAGCACTGTGCATTCATAACATTCGCCTGGCCTGTGGCAACTTGGCAAAGTAATATTTGTGTGTCTGCTGCACATCAGTCTTCTGTTGAGCATGCCCACGGATGCAGCTTCTGTTTCTGAAAGTGCAGTAGCCCTATAGTTGAGTTGCTTTCTAATACACACAGGGGGACGCTGTAGTCTAAACCACTGAGCCTCTTGGGCTTGCTGATCGGAAGGTCGGCGATTCGAATCCCTGCAACGGAGTGAGCTCTCATTGCTTTGTCCCAGCTTCTGCCAACCTAGCAGTTCGAAAGCACACCAGCGCAAGTGGATAATTAGGTACCACTGCAGCGCCATTTTCATGCACTCTGGCTTCTGTCAGTGTTCCATTGCACCAGAAGTGGTTTAGTCATGCTGGGCACATGACCTGGAAAGCTGTCTGTGGACAAACACTGGCTCCCTCGGCCTGAAAGTGAGATGAGCGCTGCACCCCATAGTCACCTTTGACTGGACTTAACCGTCCAGTCCAGGGGTCCTTTACCTTTTCCCCTTACACACAGGTGCCGCTTTCTGAACACAATGCGTTCTCAGGAAATTGTCCTTTATGCAAATGTTCACATAACGAGCAGATGATTTCCATTGTTTCCTATGGGAACATTTCTAATCCGTGCTCTCTCGCCAGTCTTTCTGCCTGAAACTGCTGCAACCAATCAGCGGAAGCCAAACAAGGGAAAAACTGGTTTGTCCAATCTCCTTCCCTCCCTCCCTGGTTTTTGCCCGAAATATCTGACGCCGACCAGCAAAACACAAACAATTAAGGAAGTGGGCAAACTCTGGCCGTTCAGTTATCTGAATCAGCCATTTGTGTAGTGAGGATTGGGTATAATTCTTTGTGTTTGGATAAATGAGATTTCAGATAACAATTGCAGGACTCTTTAGACAGGCTTGTAACTATTTACACACCTGATTTCGTGAGGCAGGTAGTAGTTGTCTCTTGCATGACCAGGCCAGGGAAATTTTAACAAAAATTATTTTGTTCTCTGGCATCCCATTGTAGTCCAAAAGTGATTAACTTGTGTGTGTATGAGAAGGCTGCTAGTAAACCTTCATCTTGTGGTCTAGTCACCTGTGTGAATTTATTTGCAAAGCAGCTCTTATCCTTATTTGCCCTTAACTGGTGCATGTAAGCTTGGGTATGAGTGTTTGGATTCGAGAAAAATTCCATGCTGTTTTCTTAATTCTATGCACATTGGAGATGAGTTAAATAAATGTGGCTTTTCCAGGAAGTTGGTTACTTAGCAAATCAGTTTCATTCAACAAAGTACACATGAGATATCTATCAATTCTCCTTCCTGCACACTTGCTGTTGTTGCAGTTAGCAGTGTTCAGTTTAAGTTTCTTTATCTTGACCCCAAGCCAAGAAAGCTCAAGGCAGTAAAATGCATGAAACAAATCAACTGCAATATGCTGTCCATTCCCCCAGGTCAGGAAGATGGGCGCTTGGGAGAGAGCTCAGACGAGGCTCCACCCTGATCTGACAACAGCTTCCTTGTGTTTCTTCCTCCTGAGTAGCTCCTTTGCAGCTAGCCAGACACAGCAATTGGAGTTTGTGCCTGGCTCACTTCTTCTGCTGCTTTTGTCCTGTGGCCCTGGGAGAGATCAGGGGTAGCTGAGGCTGGCCAGGAACCCAAGCAGTTGCTGCGAAGATCTCCAGTCCTTGGGTAGAGATATCTGCATCCATTGTCTCTTCAGGTTCACCGGCAGTGTGAAGATCTGCTGGAGGGTCTTGCTGCTCCTCAGAGGAGACCTCAGGTTCAAGGTCTCGGCCAAGCAGGGCAGGGCAGAATCTTGAGATATATTTAGAACTGGAAAACCATTTTGGAAGATGCAATTCAATGAATTGTTTTCCCCAAACCATCCACGCCTGATATCATGTGTGAAGTCAGGTAAACATGTGTCTGCGAAGGAGCCACATTGGGGAGCTTCAAGTTCACTCATGGTTGCTCCTTGGCAAACAGGGCTCACTAACAACCAGTTAGTCAGCCCCGACAGCAAGTCGCGTTGAAGTTGTCCATTTGCAGGTGTGGTACGGGTGCATACTGTGGCTGCAAAGTGATAGTCCTTCTCTTTGGAGACAGCCCCGCCCACCTGTCAATGTGGCCCACAGCTACAAGTGGGAGAGGCAAGGATCCAGCCCACCAGGCTGAAAAGCTTCCTCTCCTCTCTATTGATTAGACAAAAGAATCAAGAGCTTGACTTGGTTTTAGGCAGCTTACTACGTTCCATGAATAGGGATCCGGCCTTAGCAAGGATGCCCTGGCTCATATATTGCTTTCTCCTTATGGTCACCCTGAGAGGGACATTCTTAAATGTATGAAGCAGAGTGCTGTGTTAATTGATTCTTCTTTGATAAGGGTGTCCTGAATGCCAAGAGCGTAATTATAATTGTAACCTCTGTATATATGATGCTGTGTTTGCATGTGGTCATTCTGTTGGACATCCTATCTGCATTTTTTTTTTTAAACACCGTGTCAAATGTCACTGTTGCAAATGTCCTTTGATCCAAGCCATATAATGGGTATATCATTATGCACATGTGAGCAACGTTTTGTAAGATTATGCTTTGTTGCTTAACCCAGCCTTGTAGCCCAATTCATCTTCCTTCTCATTTCTCCTTGGCGGACTTTTTGCACTCACAGGAAAAGAAATACAAGAGTCATACTATTTAAGTGATTCATCCTTAGATTATTTGAGTGGAAATATTTTGATCAACTAGGAGGTGCCTCCAGTTAGTCAGCATTTAAAAATAATTTTTAATATGTATCAAAAAATTTAGATGACGACTAAAAGGGGAATGCTCTTTAAATATGCCACAACCCATGTATGCCTCTCCTAAAAGCAAAGGAAGTGTGCTTTCTTCCCTCTAGAATTATTGTTTTTTCCCCATATTTTTATTATTTATTTGCTTTGTAAACTGCTTTGAGGTTTTAAAACAATTGAGCGGGGTATAAATTTCATGACATAAATAAACGATCACCCAACAGTGCTATCCTATGCATGTCTACCCTGATGTAATTTCTACTGGCGACAATGGGACTTGCTCTCAGGTGAGCTGATGGAGAGTTGCACAACCAAACATACAAAGATCAGCCCTAGTAAATATTGCAAGTGGTTGGTAGGTGAGTGTACATGAGGCTTATTGGAAGCCTGCTATCTGAATAGTTACAAGTGACTGCTTCTCCACATATCTGAATACATGGTTCTTATCATCACTTTGGCTTGATGCCAATGATGACAAGCTCTTTTGGTGAGAGAGGGCTCAGCCTGGCATTGTTTGGTTGTCTCTACTAGGCTCCAAGTGATAGGGACGTGGATGGCGCTGTGGTCTAAACCACTGAGCCTCTTGGGTTTGTTGATCCCTTGGGTTGGCGGTTCAAATCCCTGCAACGGAGTGAGCTCCCGTTGCTCTGTCCCAGTTCCTGCCAACCTAGCTGTTTGAAAGCATGCCAGTGCAAGTAGATAAATAGGTACCACTGCGGCGGGAAGGTAAACGGCGTTTCCATGCGCTCTGGTTTCCGTCACAGTGTTCCGTTGCGCCAGAAGTGGTTTAGTCCTGCTGGCCACATGACCCAGAAAGCTGTCTGCAGACAAATGCCAGCTCCCTCGGCTTGAAAGCGAGATGAGCGCTGCACCCCATAGTCGCCTTTGACTGGACTTAACTGTCCAGGGGTCCTTTACCTTTTTTACCTTATAGGCTCCAAGTAACATCTGACCAAATGGTAGGCATTTTACCACACATCCACCCTTACCCAGACACCCAAGGAAGAGGGACACACACACACTGTTTCTCAGGAGTTTACCAACCACTGATCCAAGATAGACAATCAGCAAATTGACGTGATGTACAGAGTTAAGGCTGGGGCTGAAGAGGAAGCCTTCTGCCTGACATGCTGGTTTTGTTAAGTGCAAGCAGTTTCAAACCTGCATCCTCCCACCTGAAGTCTGAAGCGGAGCAATCCAGCAACCAGTAAATGAGTGAGAAATTTCCCTGAGTTCTCATTTAAAGGCAAACTTAACCCTAATGCACACTTCCCCAAAAAACGAGAGAACAGAGAAACGGCCATCCTTTGAAATCCACAAGTCTCTGAATTTTGCAATACATCTTCAAAGCCGGGTGATGTGTACAAAATTGTGTACCCTACAGTAATACATGCATTGCAATACATATACCGTATTAGTGAAAATAACATGCCAAAAATGCATTATGTTTTTTTGGGGGGGGGGATGTGTTGTACAAATGTAATCCATGTCAGGAAGAATTCTCAATGAAATGCTCATGAATTTTCATAAGAATTTAAAAAATAAATAAATCGCAAACTGATAGAGAAATGTGGAGAATTTAACTTAAGGTGGGGCGGGGGAAGAAATGGAGAAAAACCAAAATTGATAAGGTCCGCCCATCCCTAATATTGCAACATACTTTTGATTGTGTAACACTGCTCTAAGATTTTAGGGTTTTCTACAGTGATTCCTTTGCCAAATGCAGCTTTCCTTAGGTGTCTTGTTCTTGACATATGCTTGCCCACACAAAAATTTCAGGTCAGGTCAGGCCACTCAATTGACCTTCAGCTTAATAGTCTTAACACTATAGGGACTCGACAGAATTTATTCCTCACCAAGGGACACAGCTGCACCCAAGATATGGAGAAGGCTCTTTAAACCCTCTGCACGCTGGCCGTAACACTTTCCAGAAGCACATGCTGTGTTGATAACCAACAAAGGGAGGTATGCTACATATTACACAGGACGGGACCCTCCTAGCCTGCTCTTGCGAGATCCAGCAGGAACACATCCAAATACTGGTCCATTAGGGAAAATGAGGCACTGCCCTCAGCCAGCCCCTACCTGCCTGCCTTCTTACATCCAGTCCAGAAGGTACCACTGACTATCAGCTTCTTCCCATTTAGTTCCCTTTGTAGAACTCAGAAGGGAGGAGGATGGGGACATATTTGGAATCTGTTGGCTTTGCCTATCATTGGCTCTGGCCACTAGGCACCAGCCTCCACTGTCCAGCTGAAGGCAGACTCACCTGCCCTTTTTCTAGCATTAGTATTTGATCTAGCTTTGTTCTAAGGTCATCTTCCAAGCAGACAAAGCTCACATATACAAGAATAATGGGACATTAAGGCATGAATTAGAATTTCCACTTCTAAAATAAATAACATTGCAAAGGTTGGGGATTAGCTAGCCAGGTGTTTTCGTTTTTGTCTCTCTTTTTTTGCACTTTGCTGTTATTTGGTGTGTGTTTTTTAAATAAAGTTTTCCATGTGCGCTGTTGGCCATTACGTGCAAAATTTGTGTATTTTTATAGTGTGCAAAATCTATATACACGTTAAATGCTACTGGTTAAGTGCTGTTTGGTTTGCGGGTGGGGGGGTGGGGTGAACAACACTGCAGCTTCATAGCCCTACAGCAAAGGGAATCACTGGAAGATGCGACATTGGCTTCTGATCGTGTTGTTGCTTTTGTAAAATAAACTTTCATATTGATTTGGTTTCCTGTGGCTACTTGGTGCTATGGAACTGAGACCTGCTGCAGGCAGATTCCTAAGGAATTTATTACCACAAGAGATGCTGATGGCTGAAAACTCAGATGGCTCTTTAAAAAAGGGATAAGACAAAATTCATGAAGGGTAGGTGGAAGGTCCATTCACAGCTCTAAACTGAATCTTCTATAAACAGAAGCAGTATATTTGAGTGTCAGATACTGAGATCCCAAAAACAAGAGGGTCTTACTTGTGAGCTTTCTGGCTGGCTGTTGTAGGAAACAGAATACTAAACTAGATAAGACTTTGGCCTGATCCGTCAAGGCAATTCTTAGGCTCTAATTCCATGCACATTTAGGACTAATGTAGATTAAACCCTCGTGATCTGTGATAAGTTACCCTTCAGGTTTCCCTAATGCAGGCATGGGGAACCTGTGGCCCTCCACATGTCACTAGACTCCAAATCACATCAGCGTCAGCCAGCATCATCAAAGATGATGGAAGTTGTAGTCTGTCACCAACTGGAAAAACACAGGCTCTTGATCCTGGCCCCAAGGGGAGAAATAGCAAATTAGACTAGCAGTAATGGGTACAGGGGATCATGCCTAGCCATGGCCTGGTGGCAGACACAAAATGCTCAAAGAACAAGCACTCCACAAGTCAAGGACCCTGAGGAGTAGGCAAGGTGTCCTGGAATCAGTGCTGAGGACCTCTTTGAGGGGCGCTGTGGTGCAAGACCTACTGAAGAACCTGCAGAGCTGTCGGAGGAGGAGTTGGAACCACCCCTCAGGCCTCATGAACACTGACAACAAAAGGTTCAGGCCCAGGCTGAAGAACAATGACACAGCATGTACCTATGGACCCAGAATTGACATGTGATTTGTGAATAAGCAATCCCTGAGACTCCATTACCGCCAGCAGCTGTGGTTAAGGTGTGGTCTGGGAGACCAGAATATATACGATTTATTGAGCCTTGCAATTGCTAGACATGGCACAGGTCACCCCCTTGTAAACTGAGAGCCAGTGTGGTGTAGTGGTTAAGAGTGGTAGACTCGTAATCTGGTGAACCGGGTTCGTGTCTCCGCTCCTCCACATGCAGCTGCTGGGTGACCTTGGGCTAGTCACACTTCTCTGAAGTCTTTTGGCCCCACTCACCTCACAGAGTCTTTGTTGTGGGGGAGGAAGGGAAAGGAGAATGTTAGCCGCTTTGAGACTTCTTCGGGTTGTGATAAAGCGGGATATCAAATCCAAACTTTTCTTCTTCTTCCTGTGATATTGAAGTTGGATTATTTTCAGACCATGGGTTGTTGGGCCTGTGCTACAACTGTAACACTGCTTGTGTTGGTGGCTACTTTGGTGAGAGCCAAAGGGACTGGGATCTCCAGGGACTGGAATCATGGCCCCCAAGGTGCTTAAAACAGGAATTGTCTCTGTTCTGAGAGCTATAGTGGCTGGTCTTAAGCCAGTGAAAACACCCAATATTTATTCAGTCCTACCACTGTCCAGTTTACGCTTCCATTCCAGCCAAATTCTTAGAGGGGATTTGCAAAACACATCAGAAAAGGTGACAGGTCAAATCTCTGGCAGGCCATTGAGAGAGAAGGCCGATTTCTCCAAATAATAGCCTGCCGCAGTTGATGTCCCAAGAATGTTCTGTATTGAAAATATGTTTTCACTAGGAAAAGTAAGTTGGGATAAACAGTCTCCAACTGTTTGGGATCAAATCTCTAGCCAAGACAAATTTGCAGAATCTCTGGGTTGCAAGGTTGCATATTTTTTCCAAAGCATATTTTTCTGTATGCAGTCTTTTCCAAATCTTGCATTGCTCTGAAGGACTATCATCCTGTGGATTTATGATAAGAGATTAAACAAGGAATCCTGGGACTGTTCACCTGTGGTCACTGGACTCCCGACTGCCATCACTCCAGACCACTGGCCATACTGGTGGGATGGAATCCAACATCTGGAGACCCTTCAGTTCCCCATCTCTGGCTTAGTTGATTGTCTAAAACTTTTAGTTAACTAAAATGTATCTGAAAGGCTGTCTTCTTCCCTGCAGACCCTCTTGGGGATTAAGAATTGGCAGAGGGGGGCCGATTGGCAGTGGCGGAGCTTCATGCTCCAGCAGCGGGGGGTGGAGAGCAGGCGGGGGCGGGACTGCCACATGTCCCGGGGCGTGGTGCGCCACCCACAGGGGTGTGGCGCCCAGCGCGGGTGGGGAACAGCCATGCAGGCACCCCACTGGGATCACACTGCCAGGAGCGGTGGGCTCCCCCCGCACTCCTCTTCCTCCGCCGATGCCTTTTGGTAGTTCCACCCCCCTAGAACTTTGGAGGGTGGCAACTGTTATGTACTGAAGTTCTCACCCTGGGCCAGCAGGGGGATACTGTAGATAGTTATGCAAATAAGGGATCGAAAGTGACGTTCAGTGATTGGATAGTTTTAGAAAATTGTTACAGTTACGTTGTACTGGACCTCTATATAAGCAGGCTGACTGAACCTTTCAGTTCAGTTCTGTTCTGGCCTGTGAATAAACAAGAGCTGTTTGAAGAATCGCTGTGTCATCTGATATGTTCAGCCACAACTTAACAGCGACCTCGGAGAGGGTTTTCTCTGTGGCAGCCCCCCAGTTGTGCCATTCCCTCTCCACAGAGGTGTTTCTGGCACCTTCATTATGTACCTTTCATTGTATGCTGAAGACGCACCTCTTTACTCCGACCTTCGACAGAATCCATTTCAGCTGTTTTAATATTGTATTTTTAAAAAATAGTGGTGTCCCAGTCTGGGACCTCGTGATGAAAAGCAGGTAAGAAATCTAAATATTTAAATAAATATTTAGATTATTATTATTTAATTATTTAAATAAACATCCACGTTATTAGTATCAGAAAATGTTTGGAAGATAGTGAAATAAGATGATGTATTTAATTTAATTTTTATGTTTTGTAAGTTTTTAGTAACTTTTTCTGTTGAGAGATAGCAAAGTGGGTGAAAATAGAAACAAACCAGAAACGCAAGTTGGGGGAAGTCTTGGAGGGGATGGAGGGAGGAATATATAGTAAACGTTAAGAATTTGAGATGTATGTAATGAACGAAAATGAAAAATGAATATTTTTTTTTAAAAAATCTAAATAATGCTACTTGATTAATGTTTAATTCAAGCACTTACAAAAACTCCACGTGGCAAGAAGTTCTGTTTCTGTCTCGCGTTAAGAGGGAACGTCTTTCCTAAGATGGTTATGCAAGGACACGTTCATAGATTGCCTAAAAACCAAGAGTGACTTTGCTTCAAAAGCATTGCTTTGTTTACATGCGAGCCTGTGCAGATATAGCCAACTAACCAATCAATAGCACAATCCTGTGCATGTCTACTCAAAAGCAGGTTTGATTCTGTGATCCCAGCTGCCATTCCTAGAGGCAGCCCAAGGCATTATATGACCAAAGAGATAGGCCTCCTTTTACATTCCAAAAACAAAATATGTTCTGTTTCGCCTTACCTTAAAGAAAACACATGTGCTTTGTGATTTATTTTCGCCATGAAATTGCTTTTAGGAAAGAATACATAACTTTTCTTGACTTATGCCGAGAATCAAAATGACAGAATGAATGCAGCCAACTTAATTTTTCTCTTTGACAGCTACATTCCTCTGCTCTAATGGGTTCCTGTTGAAAAACCCTGGCATCCGTACCCAGGGCTGCTTAATTCCTCTCGCCTGCCTTCTTTAACCATCAGCCTTACCATTTGTTAAAAAGCCACTCAGATTGGTCAGAGGAACGCTTCATGTTGTTGTGGCTAAGTATTCTGGAGGCTTTTTGAATTATGGTGTTGGAGGAGACTCTGGAGAGTCCCACGGACTGCAAGAAGATCAAACCTATCCATTCTGAAGGAAATCAGCCCTGAGTGCTCACTGGAAGGACAGATCCTGAAGCTGAGGCTCCAAGACTTTGGCCACCTCACGAGAAGAGAAGACACCCTGGAAAAGACCCGGATGTTGGGAAAGATGGAGGGCACAAGGAGAAGGGGACGACAGAGGACAAGATGGTTGGACAGTGTTCTCGAAGCTACCAGCATGAGTTTGACCAAACTGCGGGAGACAGTGGAAGACAGGAGTGCCTGGCGTGCTCTGGTCCAGGGGGTCACAAAGAGTCGGACACGACTAAACAACAATTCTGGAGGCTTCGTTTAACTCTGCCAAGACTGCAATTCTCCTCCACTCCCAAGACGGCTTCCTCTTTTGTAGGAAGCAGGCTGGGCTAGCGTAACTCATCTCTAGGCTGTCAGAATTTTGCAGGAGGGATTCAAGTGCATATTGGAAATGTAAGAGTGCTTAATTGATTAAAGCACTGTTGACATAACGGGTCTATTTTTTATTTTATTATTATTATTTAAAAAATGGACTTCTTGCGATTAGGAAAGCGATGGAGAAATGCACTGAAAAGTGTGTGATGAGACTGGAAAAGTGAAGATGAATAACTGCGGAAAGGTGAAGGATGGTGGAGAAGATAAATACATATGTCTTACTTTAAGTGGTGTCTCTGCTCAGATTGCCTGATATGCTATGCCTATTGCTGCCCTAAGTACAGTACTGCTTGGGCTACTTGTGGAAGCCCTAAGAGAACGACCTCAATGTTCCTGTTGTTCTTGTCCATTTCAGAAATATAGCTGGACACAAACAAAAGAACAACAGTTGGTCTTAATGAGGGTCTGTCTGTCTGTCCCTTATAGTGACGGTTGGAGTTATTGAGTGTGACGTGAGGGGGAGAATAGCCTGAATGTAAATCTTACAATTTATAGATTGTAGGTTG